TCTACTGTATTTGTGTAGCATAATTGCGTCTGGCTCTTATGGTACATTAGATTAATTCGATATACATTTGATTAAAGGAATTCATCGTGAACAAATATGCATCAGGCATATTATAAATAAACTATAATATATTTTGTTACAATTAATTTTCTTAAATTACAACTTTTAACAATTTAAATTGTGTAGCTAATTTATGTTAATATGCATTTGAAATTTTACATGAAATATGTTTTTATTTGTTCCACTTTCTCTTCTTCCAAAATTTAGATTTCAGAGGGCTTTAAAAAATATTTTTAATTTGAAAATTAAAATCAATACCTCTGGGGACTGAATTGGAGCTTGATCGATCTTTAGTTAAGGTCAAAATTACGATCTGTAGAGGAATGAATGGATGTATGAATGTGTCTGCCCTATAAACGGGTGTGACGTATCTCTGTGACAGAAGTCGAATTCTTGACCAAAGATTGCGCCACATGAAAACTAAAACAATCACACCCCCTCTTCCTTAATGGCTGACGACAACAACTGAGGTATAGATTTGTTATGGGAACATGGAGGACTTTGCAACTCGACAGATTTAACGTGCATCAGTCACCATTTACTGCGCGGAGAGTCTTCGGCCGACGGGGTTCGAACCTAAGAACTCTCAGGCATGGGCCCAGTGGCTTACCGACCTGGCTATCCTGGCTTGAATAACATAATTTAAAATCAAGAAATAAATTTTTATTTATTTACTAAATTTAATGAATAATTTTTTTAAATATCTTTATTTAAAATAGAAAAAAGAAAACATTTTTCAACATTTAGAAATGAAAATTAAAACTTGTGATTAACTGGGAATAGAACCAGCATCTTCTCGATTATGAGTCAGATGTCTTGTCACTTTGACCTGACATACATAAACTTCAAAATATTTTGGAATTAAATAAACTCAATCTTTGAGGAGTTTTATTGACCCTGAAACAGTGTTACAGCTAATTTTTATCCAACTTTATACTTTAAGCTATTCTCATTAATTTAAGCAAGGTTTTGTTTTAACCCTTTCGAATCCAAAAGTTGCCGTTATAAAATGATCAAAAGAGAAAAAAAAGAAAAAAACTGAAATTTTGTCTTATAATATTATTATCACAAATGTGATATATTGTCCCACTGGTACATACGATTAGGATATATGGTACATATGATTAAGACAATCTATCCTACAAAACAAAATGTGTCAAATTTCTAAATCTGATACTACAATTATTACTTAATGAGAACAAACATAACTATTTTACACAAAATATGGCAAAAATTTAGTTTACTTTCCTCAAAATTCAGAGAATACGTAAATTAAAACAAGATTGACTAGCATGCTCGCAAACGTAGCCCACCATTTTAAATATGAGAGTGTTGCCAAGTTCCTTTAGTCATATTTTAATTCCCTAATGCCTAAAGAACCCTGAAAACATAAAAACCCATGCAAAATTGGGATCTGTTTATCCATTAGAGAAAAGTTTAATCCTTAAGACGTATAGATCCCATTTGGGTTGAAAGGATTAATAGGAATTTTACTGATGTGTACTTCCCTTGTCAGTTAATTGCTTGCTGGAGTGTTTAAATTATTCAGACGAAGACTGAATAATTTTGAAAATTGTTTGAATTTCTCGCAGTCAAACTTTCAAAACATTTATAGCAACAATACTCTTTTGAGAGTTTGTAACGTTCTGTTGAATAAAAAATCATCAAATGACTGAGGTTACTTTTCAAAATTTGGCATTTTGTTTATTTTAGTGATTTTTGTTTATACGTCTTTCGGTAATTGCATAGTGATTTGNATATATATATATAATCACATTTGTAGTAGCAGATATTTTCTAGAAGAAATAAACTTTTTCTACACTCATATGAAGCTTATTTAAATGTTTATTATTTTGAGTATAAAATCTCTCCATTATCAAGGTACTTTAAGATTGTGTAAGCAAGCATTTTATTTTATCTGGTTTTTATTATCCTTTATTATTCAGAATAAAGTATAAAATAATTTTATGATTTTTTTAAAAATTGTTTTGAATTCTTTCTGTGGCCCAAAATTATTCCTAAAATTGACAATAATGTTTAATCCAATAACATGTACAAGTAGCATTCGTCGATCCTCCATTCACCTGTAGATTTCTAGGGGGATTGCTTTCCTTCTTTCAAAAATAATTTGAGATGTTTCATTCTGTGTTTAATGTGGGATAATATAACAAAAATATATATTGGCTTTTCTTTGAAACTTTTCATCATTTCTTTTTGAAACTTTTATTATCAAATAACTCATTATCAATGGATTCATTTTGACTTGAAAGTGCAAAACTGAAGTGATTTTATCATGAAAGAAACTCAATTTCTTTAACTACCGTATTTTTCGGCGAAAGCGCCGCACCTCGATAAAAATGAAATTTAAAAAAAAAAGTTATAGTAAGCGCCGCTCCGGCACAAGCGCCGCAATGGCGCTAAACTGTGTATATCAGCATCCTTTTAGAAGAGACCTTTAAATTACCATTTAGAATATCTGTGTAATAAAAAATTAAATTTTTTTATGCATTTCATAAAGTAAAGTTTTAATTTCTGAATTATAATAAAAAATTTCTTTTTCAGCAAAAAAAAAAAAAAGAAAACAACAAAACTATATAAAATAAAGTTGATCTTACCAGTTGGGGCTGCGCCAAAAATCAGAAGAACAGCAAAAAAATATTTGTATGTTCAGTAGCTGAATTACGGCTGAACTGATTACAGAAATCCGTATAACAATGTAATAAGAAAAATAAAATAAAAATTTATTAAAAGAAAGATTTTAAAATTTATTACTGTTAACAATTTGAGGAAAAACTAATACATTATAACGAAACAGCTAATAGTAACGGAATAACTAATAATAACAAGAATAAGAAATAACTAAGCAGACCGCAAAAAAATTCTGAAGGAAAGAGCGAAGGGGAAATAAGTTTCACTTTCACAATCTTTGAGGGTGGAATTTTAGTGGGTAGAATGCCCTCTCCTTCAATGGAAATAACCCAATGTAACTCAACTTAGAAAGAGAGAAGAAAATGTTTAAGAGAGGGGTGTACCCCACCTCCTCAACGTGTCATTTTTATTGGAGCTGTTTAGGAGGAATCAATCAGTTATAAAGAGGTTGGTGAAAAGACAAGGGTATGGGACCCCTAATCCAGCATTCCAAAATTCGGCACTTAATCTGATCTAATCTTTTTTTTTTTAAGAAATTTATATTGATAAGACAAAAAAAATCAGCTATATTCTTTTTATTTGGAATTTTATTATGTTGAAGTAACTGTAACTTACTTTATTTTATCTTTCAAAAATAAAAAAGAAGCTTGAAAAAAAAATAATAAATCTGTGTCAAAGGAAACATCTGTTTCTAAAGCAGTTTAAAATTAAGTGAGAAGTAAAAACACTTGCATTTCCAATGAACAAAATAAAGAAATGGAAGTTGGAAAAAACTGATCAATCAATCTTGACAGCTGTGCTTTACTGATTTGCCCCCAAATTTCCCTCTTCTGTTTGACCATAAATTGGCCACACCCAGTTGACATTGAAACTAATGAATTCTATCTCTTTTGCGGTTTTTTATTCGATTCATTATTTTTTTTTTATTTTGCCGCTTTTTATTTTTTCTTGTTAATTGTTGCTTGCTTGTTTTTTTTATAGTTATTAGTTTTTAGCTTGTTTTTTGTTGTTATTCATTGTTAGTTTCTTAGCATTAATTGTTTAAAAAAATTTTTTTTTATAGTTCCCTGTTAGCTTTTTTTTTCTTCTTGCGAGGTAAGCGTCTTTTGTTAAAACAAAATGTTATCTAAAAGAAAAAACGAGAACTATGATCTCGCTCCAAAGAAGAAACGATTATTTCTTCTTCATAGGATTCTGATTATTTCTTCTTGATTATATTATATAGATTATTATTTTGATTAGTAAAATTTCTCTTAAGATGGGCCAGTTTTAAATTCACCCCATCATAATCTACGATCGAAACTTGACTAAATTTATTGGTTTTTCTGAAATTAACAGTGGAATTGAATTATAGTAATATTTGGGGGCCATATTGGAATTTCCGAAAGAGATCCGAAGTTNACGAAAAATGTATTTCGATTAGAATAATTAATTAGGATAACATAAAAATATTAATGTTACATATATATATATATATCACATTTGTAGTAGCAGATATATTCTGAAAAGATATTTTCTAAAAGAAATAAACTTTTTCTACACTCATACGAAGCTTATTTAATTGTTTATTATTTTGAGTATAAAATCTCCCCATTATCAAGGTACTTTTAGATTGTGTAAGCAAACATTTTATTTTATCTGGTTTTTATTATCCTTTATTATTCAGAATAAAGTACAAAATAATTTTATGATTTTTTTTAAAAATTGTTTTGAATTCTTTCTGTGGCCCAATATTATTCCTAAAATTGACAATAATGTTTAATTCAATAACATGTACAAGTAGCATTCGTCGATCCTCCATTCACCTATAGATTTCTAGGGGTATTGCTTTCCTTCTTTCAAAAATAATTTGAGATGTTTCATGCTGTGTTTAATGCGGGATAATATAACAAAAATATATATTGGCTTTTCTTTGAAACTTTTCATCATTTCTTTTCGAAACTTTTATTATCAAATAACTCATTATCAATGGATTTATTGTGACTTGAAAGTCATTTTATCATGAAAGAAACTCAATTTCTTTAACTATATTGAAATGAATGGGCATTAAAATAACACCTATTGCATTGCTAATGGTATCTGTGGTTATAATGGAAGAATCACTGTTTGCATACATACTTAACATACATGCTTAGCATGATGAAGCCATTCTGGTCCACTTATTGTACCAGCACAGGGCTCATTAAAATTATTAGCATGCTTGTAAATATATTAATGTTGTTAAAAATTATGTATCTTGTATTTAAGCTAGGCTATTAAATACTTGATAGTGATGAATTCTTATGTTGTAGGAGTTGGAATGCTCGTAATTGGTCTCCTCTTATTGAACTCTTGGATACATGGTCTCCCCTTCTCCCTCAGTTTGTCATGGACAACGTTCTTGAGCAGCTGGTCTTACCAAAACTTCAAGCAGAGGTGGAAGCTTGGAATCCTTTAACTGATACTCAACCTGTTCATTCTTGGCTGCATCCTTGGCTTAATTTGATGAGTATGTCATCATTGTTGTTAAATTTGTTAAATACATAAGGGCTATCTATCTATATACATACATAATATCTTTCCCAATGTCTATATATATATACATTGGGGAAGGAGTTTGCTAATTGTTTATTTTTACCAACAGGGGGGAGGGGAAGAAGGATATGAGCAATGATTACGCCAGACATCCCTTTATTTTTAAAATTTTAAAAATCCTTTTATTTTTGAAATTTTCTTAAAAAGCAAAATAAAAAAAATGTATCACAATAAAAATGGAAAAAGCTTCAAATTGGGTATAAAAGTTGAATTTAAGGGAAGAAGAAAAGTTGGAAAAAAAATTTTTTTTTTGAAGAGTTTGAGAGGTCAAGATTTTTGAACACAAAAGTAAAATAAAAAGGATTTGCTTAGAATATTATACTCTGTTTTATGTTAAGTTACTTCTTTTATTTGAGTTTAATCCTTAAATGAGATTGCTTCTGTGAAAGTCGTTAATCAGTAAAGTCAAAAGTTATGTGACTTTCTCACATAAACATGGGAGAGGACTCGTAATTTGTCTTTTTTTGTTGACAAGGGGTAAAAGTAGTCCAAATTTGCCTAGTTGTTTTAAAAATTTATGCATATGTAATATTTGAACAGCCCTTTATATGTATGTATTATATATATATGTATGGGGCACAAGATTATGTAAACAAGCTTTTTTTAGCAGCAAATGTTTTGAAAGATTTTACATGGCAAAACTGTTGATACAATTTGAAAGCTCATATTTTAAGCTTTTGGAATTGTCTTTTTTACCCATGCAAAATTTGGATCCACTAANAAATAGAATTGCTAAAGCTAAAAATGAAAAGATGGACAAAATGAAAAAAAAAAGCATGAAAGAGTATTAGAGAAGAAAGAAAAAGGCCCATTACAACACCCGTGGAACATGAAGTTGCGAAAAACCCAATTACGGAAAAGTTATAGTACAGCTGAAATATTATTATCTTATTGACAGTACTGTTGTACAATTTAAATTCACATAGTGAGCTACAACCCCCTCAGTATAATGCGTATCTATATCTGTTATATTAAAGATTTTTTTTCTTTGAAATATGATGATTGCTTTGTGTTTTTAATCTTGTTCATATGTGCCCCAGGCCTGTTCACATGTGCCCCCAATAGGGGCACATGTGAACAATTGAAGTCATTTTTCTAAAATATTATAAAGTAAAGAAATATTTTATTGAAAAATCTCAAAAAATTCCACAAGACAAAGAAAAAACTATTTAAACATATGGACTTTTTTACTATGAAAAATTGATGATATTTTTCGAAAAGTGAGGAAATAAAAAAATTTGTTCACATGTGCTCCCCTCTCCCCTATATATACACATTAGGGAAGGAGTTTGCGAATTGTTTATTTTTACTAACAGGGGGGAGGGGAAGAAGGATATGAGCAATGATTATGCCAGACATCCCTTTATTTTTAAAATTTTAAAAATCCTTTTATTTTTGAAATTTTCTTAAAAAGCAAAATAAAAAAAAATTATCGCAATAAAAATGGAAAAGGTTTCAAATTGGGTATAAAAGTAAGATTTAAGGGGAAGAAAAAAAGTTGGAATTTTTTTTTTTTTTTTTTCGAAAAGTTTGAGAGGTCAAGATTTTTGAACACAAAAGTAAAATAGAAAGGATTTGCTTAGAATATTATACTCAGAATGATAGCATAAATTGTGTTTTATGTTAAGTTACTTCTTTTATTTGAGTTTGATCCTTTAATGAGATTGCTTCTGTGAAAGTCAAAGTTAATCAGTAAAGTCAAAAATTATGCGACTTTCTCACATAAGCATGGGAGGGGACTCGTAATTTGTCCTTTTTGTTGACAAGGGGTAAAGGTAGTCCAAATTTGCCTAGTTGTTTTTAAAATTTATGCATATGTAATATTTGAACAGCACTTTATATGTATGTATTATATACATGTATGGGGCACAAGATTATGTAAACAAGCTTTTTTTAGCAGCAAATGTTTTGAAAGATTTTACATGCCAAAACTATTGATACAATTTGAAAGCTCATATTTCAAGCTTTTGGAAATGTCTTTTTTACTCATGCAAAATTTGGATCCACTAAAAATGAGGAGAATTTCTTTCTGTCTTTAATACCAGCAATTTTGAAATCATTGTATGGGATTGTAATATTAATATTAGAATGATATTTTAATTATGAAAGTATACAAAAGGGGAAGAAGCTTTTAACTGTCATTTTGGATTGAAAAGGACACTAATTCTAAAATCTTCGAGCATGATCTTTTAAATTGTGAGTTTTGAAGTATTCTCATTGTGAAATATTCCAAAACATTTGCTGGAAAAAGATTCTTTACATAGAATTAGTATAAAAGTATTTTCATAATTATGTCAAACCCCTGTATATATTTACAGGGTAGCTACTCAATACTGTAACACTCCAAAAAATAGGATTTAATTTTAATTGCTTGGTAAAACAATTGCTCTCTCTCTATTCCTGTGCGTGTCACTTTCATTGTCTCTAAATGCAGACAATTTTTGCTTAGAACAGAATATTTAAAATCATTTTAAAGATAGAATGAAGAAGGTTGATGGTTAGACCGTTTTTTGATCTTGGTTTTTCTGCATGTAGAATCTTTAAGCAATTAAAATCTCTTGTTTAATAGAAAATTTTTTATATAGAACTATAAATCAATTATTAGATACTGATAGCTGCAAAGATTAGCCCAGGTCTAGTAGTTTGTATTCAATTCGTACAAAAGAGCTCATTGAAAGAATTTTAGAAAAGATACAAAGTTATCCACGGTGCTCTGTTAATAAAATGGCTGCAGGAAAAAACGTGAGTTGTAGAACTATGCAAGTTATATTAAACGAAGACCTGGATTTTCGCCTTTATCGCAAAAAAAAGTTCAAGGTTGGGCAACTGCACAACAATTAAAAGGTTTCAAGGATGTAAGAAATCGTTGAACTGGCACAGTAACGAAAGTGCTGTTAGAATGATCTTTTTTGAGGAGAAAATATTTTGCACAGAACAATACAATGCTAATTTAGTTATAATTCTAAAAGTAATGTTGTATGTACTGCAACCGGTGATGAAAAATCTGAAATGTTCAAACTGAACAATACTCTGTCAAATTACTGAAAATTTTCTTTGAAATTCATCGATAAAGGGGTGAAAATCAATGCTGAATATCATAAACAGGAAGTATTAGCATTTAATGCAACATGCTGACAGTTAGTATGCCAAAAAAGCAACATTTTTCAGTTAAAATTGTATAAAATTGCGCCAAGCGGAAACAGGATAAATTTGGCTCCATATCAATTGTCCGAAGTTTATCCAGCAAGAATATTGACTATCTTCTTCACCAGATCTAAATCCTTTACACAATTGTGTTTCGGGTATTTTCGAGTAGGGGTGCTGCCCGCCGACTGTTGATGTGCGACACGCAAAAGCTTCAGAACACAAAAAATTTTTTTTTTGTGGAAAAAAATGAAAAATTTCAAACATTTTGAGTTGCACATTTGAGTCATAACTTTTTGACAAGCTCAATTTACATAGATTCTATAGTAAATCCATGTTTCTCGAGCGCTTTTTCCGCCGTTATTGCTTTGGAATTTTGCATGGTTTATCAAAAATCCAGTGCTTTTACTAGGATATTTAGATATGCACATTTCAAATTTGAGTAATCACTTTTTGTTTTGCTTTATTTTTGCCGATTTCATCTAAAATCCAAGTAATTTTTCCATCCCTTTTTTTACCAGTTTCTTTATAAATTTCCATGTGATTTTTAAAATTTCAATACATTTAATATGATATTACAACTTGTGAGTTTTAAATCGTGCATTTTATTATTTTCTATTTTTATAAGTATTTTTTATATTTATTAATATGGTATTTCATAAATTGTGCACTTTTTAACTTTTTTTATTTACGCCAATTTCCTTATAAAATAAATTTTAGAAAAAGGCAGTTTTTGCTACGCTTTTCCAAGTGATTTTGAAAACGCCAAATTTTTACTTAGAGATCATTACGACACCCAAGTTTCAAATTGCGCATTCAAATAATTACTTTTTGATGCACTTTGCTCATACCAATTCCATCGTAAATCCAAGTTGTTTTTCAACTATTTTTCGGAAGTTATTGCTTTGGATTTCCATGTGGTTTTAAAAATTCTGAATTTTATTACAACATGCGAATTTTAAATAATGCATATAAATAATTACCTATTGACAGGCTTTATTCTTGCTGATTTAATCATAATTTGAGAGATGTTTTTCCTCATGATTTTGACGATCCCGTTTTTTTCCCAGGTACGATGTTATTACGACATGCTAGTTTTTAATCGCTCATTTAAATAATCACTTTTGGATACAATTTTGTGTGATATTTCATCATCAGGCCAAATTATTTTTCTACCGTTTTTTCGGCAGTTCGAGACATGTAATTTGTTTTTTTAATGCAATTAACAATAGAGAATTTGAGAAGTGTTGGAAAACGAGAATTTTTAAGCTTCTCACTGTTTGTAATTTTTTTAAAACTTTTTGTAACTTGGGTGATTTTTTAAAAAAGAAAAAAAAATTAGAAAGAAAACGTTTTCTGAAACCTCTCATAGTTCAAGAATATATCTGAAGTATAATACCAAATAAATATTTTCTTATTTTGCACTATAATGGTTTTATTTTAATATTTATTAATTTATTCTTAGCTATTCGATATTATTCTACCTTTCCCTACATGTCTTTTCAAGAATGGTATATTGTACAAAACTAGACAATGAATATCTTGGTTAAATCTTACAGTTTCTAGGTCGAACAGTTGAGCTCCAACAGTTGAGCGTTCTGTTATTAAAAGAAATTACATTTTTGGTTAACATCTTCCACTTCATACTTAAAATTTATATATCAATAACATTTTATCAGTTTTTTCTATTAGGTTAAAAGCTTTGAAATAAACAAGCTTTACTGTTTTATGCTTGTCTTATGCCTTTAAATTGTGAAATGCATTTCAGTTATAATCATGTTGCTGCATTGGCTAGAAAATTTTATTTGTACTGAATATTCCAGTTTTCCTATTATGAAATTATTATGTTTTAAGAGCAGCAACATGCTGAAATTCATTTGGAAATATTTGAAATGATGATATACTATAATTATTCTACTAACTATTATAACTAATGTATTCTAATTTATATTGAGCATCATACTAATGAAATGTCCTTTTAGAAGCTCGTTTAGAGCCACTGTATGCTCCAATTCGTCATAAGCTGGCCTCAGCATTAGTTAACTGGCATCCAAGTGATTGTTCAGCCAAATTAATTTTGGAACCCTGGAAAGGTGTGTTTTCTCAAGGTGTTATGGAGGCATTTGTTGTGACTAACATCGTTCCTAAACTAGTTGCAGTCATGCAGACTTATGTCATAAATCCCCATCAGCAGCATTTGGGTAAGTTTTTATTAGCATTGATCTCAGACTTTATTTATCCCTAACTATCTGGCTGAACTAACATAAAACATAACAGAAGTTTGTCAACGATAGGAAAAAAGTCATAAAAATTCTTTGAAAGGGGTCAATTTTTTTTTTAATATTTTGAAAACTTTTTTTAAAAATATATAGTTTTTGAATAGTTTGAAAATTAGTTTTTTCATATTTTGGAGAGGGATATATTTTAAAATATTTAATTGGGGGATATGTCTTAAAATCTTTTTTGGTAAGAGATATTTCTCCAATCATTTTCCCCCTCATTATATCTGCAATGCATACAACTTAGCTATACAAAAAAAAGAAAGAAATTATTTAAAAATTTTAAAATGTTAATATAAAAATAATAAATATGTATAATTAAAAACATTATTAATATTTATAGCCAGTTGTTAAGTTGGACTGTAACTTATAATAACCTGTTTTTAACCATTTGCCAAGTTTCTATGCTATGAGAACTGCTTAAATAATAATGTAAGCTCTGAAATTTTTTTTTATTTATTTAAATAACATTTTATCATAAAATAGATTCAAAGATTGCATAGTTTTATGTGTTGATATCAATTAGCTCTTTTTAACTTATGAACAAAGAAATTTTTTTTTGATTTATTATATTTTGAACAGTTTTCAAGTTTGAAAGAAAGTAATTTTTTTTTTTTTTTTTTTTTTTTTGCATTTGTATCACTTAAAAAAGCAGTTTTTACTGAAAAGAAATAATCAGTTGAATATTTTAAATTTTAAACAGAAGCAAGACAAATTATTGGTAAAAAAAATCGCAAGACTAATTTATTTTGAGTTATATATTTTTTATTAGGCTTTATTTTGAATATTTTTTTTTACGAACTAAACAGATATTGAAAATAGAATATGATTTTATCAAAATAAATAACACTTGGGTATAGATACTTAGTTATTTTAACTAGGCTTTAATAAGGTTTTTGACAAAAGAAGTATTTGTTTAAAAATAATAATTAATTTTAAGTCTTACATTTTATTTATATAAACTTGTTTTAATCATTTTTTATCAACTAAATAAACAAATATTGAATATAAAATATAATTTTTTGAATATGTGTAACATTTGGACATAGAAATAAAGTGTCAGTGATAAGGGTTGTTAATTATTTTATGCTATCTTTGACTTGAAAGAAGTAGCCAACATAGTATTAAAAAAGGAAAGCTATTGGTACAAAAATAAATATTTTTAATAAGCGAATAAATTAATCAGTTATTGTATATTATCAGAACCTAACAATTAAAGGGAAATAATGAGTTTTCATGAGAATGTCTATTAAATAGTCTCAATGGTTGAAATCAACAGAGCAAATAGAACATTGAACGAAAGACAAAAGAAAAAAATACTTAAAATAAATTACTGATCAAAAGAATAAAGCTAGATTTGGAAAAAGAAAAATGTTGTTTTAAAATGTTATAAATATCTATTCAAAAATATCTTAGAGTAAGAAAATTGGAAAAAGCAATGAGATGCTTTCGAAATGATTGGTTCCTCTGTCACATTCTTTTCAATTGCTTGAAATTTTAATTTCTCTTTGTATTTGGAATGAGTATCCTTATTAGAAGTCATCATTTCCCTTGCAACAACCATATCACTAACTTTTATTTTGACATTTTCTTTGATTAATCTTAATCCTGCAATTGTCGATAGACTCGAGCTGGTTCGCTCAAAGAGCCTATTGTTTACGGAAAAACCTGATAATATGAAAAGTAAAGAAATTCTTTTACAAAAAACGGAATTCATTTCCAGAATCATCCTTTTGTATTTACCGATTATTAAGTTTTGTTTGTTGAGGTATTTTGTAGAGAAAAATTACATTCTCATCAATAAATGTTTCAAAAACAAAAATGTGCACAGATAAATAATAAAGATTGAAAACGAGTCACTAGTTGTTTACTGCTACTGTTGCATGTGAAAGCAGAAACATGATGAGAACAAAGAAATAATAAATCAGTGCAAAGAAGTATCACTCATGTTTCCTGATTTCAAAATCATGTAAACCATCAAGGAAAATGGCGGAAAGGCAATTCATTCAGATCAGTATTCAATGTTATGGAATTGAACGAAACACAACCTTTTTTCCCTAATTTTTTGAAAGTGGTTGAATAGTAAATCAACGTAGAGTAGTATGTAGAATAGTAATCGATGTTGAATAGTAAATCCCCAAGTAAATCGATGATGTTATAGTAATTTTTTGGTATTTTTTTAAATCTTTTTTTTTCTCTTCCCATTTGGGGAACTTGTAAATTTCTTTTGTTACACAGCATTTCAAGGAAATCCTAGCTTTATTTTAAGAGGAAATCAAAGCTTTATTTTAAGATAAAATCTAAGACAAAATATTTTTTTAAAATATAAGACATTTTGCAGTCTTTTTTTTTATTAAAAAAAATAAATAAATATAGGACAACTGTGATGCATGTTACAAAGAATTAATTGTTAAAATAGCATTATGCTCAAAAACATCTGAAAAAAAAGATTATTTTACTTAAAATTTAAATTTTTTTTTTGTTGCTTAACTAGAAAAGACTTATTTGGATTTAGGGAGAAAGTGCATATTATTCTTTAAAAGGGTGTCACTCCTGAAACATAATAATTTTTTTTATTTCATTAAAAAATGCAATATTTTGCTATCATAAACTAATAGTTAATTATTGATTTTTGTTTAGATCTATTATATATATGGATTAGTTTATAAGAGCAAAATTTTTAAATGCTAAATTTTAGTTTTTTCTTGAGGATTAAAAAACATGTCTTTTCTGTATTTTTTTTAAAAAAGTCTTTAGCACATGAGTTTAAATGTTCTTTTTCTTATTAATGCAATGCAAATCCATTAGTAATAATTAATTATAGTTTCATTGTTACCTTTTTAATAATAATTTGTAATAAATTTTTTCACCAAAGTTGTTTACTGTTTGACTCTAACTAAGTTCAGGACACTGAGGATCGTTCTTACATTCTGACTATAGGTTTGGTTTCTGAATAGGGAGCCACATTGTATTAAAAGTTGGGGAATTTTTTTGAACAACATGTATATAAGATAGCATTGGAAAATCCATTATTCTGATATCTGAATGACTCTTTTATAGATGTTTGGAATTGGGTGATGGCCTGGTTTGATATGATGCCAGAACCATGCATGGTGACGATCTTGGAAAAGAACTTCTTCCCCAAATGGTTGCAGGTGCTATATACTTGGTTAACTCACAGTCCGAATTATGAAGAAGTCACCAAGTGGTACACTGGATGGAAATCTATGTTACCTCCTTCACTACACCATCATCCTATTATTAAAGGTATATTTATTATTGACATTTTCATTTACTTAGCATTTACATATTGCATATCTACCAACTCTACTGGATTTTCCAGTAGACTATTGGATTTTGCCAGTCTCTCTTGATCTACTGGTTTAATAAAAATTCTACTGATTTTTGTACATTTTAAAAAGTTCCCTAAAATTGAGTGAGTTTTCTAAAAAAATCCCTATTGAAATTGAATTTTTTTCACAGATTATTACTTGCTTGAATAAATGCTATTAATACATAATGAAGTGAGCCTCATTTATTAAAATCAAATTAAAACTTTTTTGTTTTAAAATTTTGTCTTTATTTATATTCAGAACTCCCTTTTTTAATGAATTAAAAAATCTTTTCACTATCTTGGAATTAAATACCTATTTCTATTCAAAATTATGAGTTAACATAGTGCAGAAAATATTAAAGTTTTTCTATTTTGCTGACTATAAAAATCCTTAAAATTCTCAATGTGTAAAATATTTCGTACATTTTGCAGCAATTATCTTGAAATTCATATTATTTCGTAAAATCTACCGGATTTTTTTCTCCATCCACGTGAGCAGCTATGATATTGCTACAGTAGAACTATTCTACTGAAATAACAATATATGTAGTTTCATAATAACTAAGGTTGCATTTATTAATTAACAAATTGGAATTAATAATAATATAACAAAATATTGAATATTCTTCTTTTAGCAATGAAAACTAAATTGAGCCTAGAGAATTATTTGACTTAAAACTCTGTTCCTTATTTAAACAGTTAATATTTGTTGTTCTTCGCTGCTAAATCTTTTCATTTTCTTTTGTGAAAAGCATGTGATCACTTATTAGACTGGGATGTCATTATTTTCAGTCAATGTATTTAAAATGTGCTTATTTGAATAGGCCTTCCAGTGAGGCATTGCTGACTTTGACCCAGTAGATGGCTGGGTGTTATTGCTTCAATTCTTGCGAGCAGTAGTGCCATTAAAAAAACAAATTTTAGTGAGCATTTATAATTTTTTTTTTACTGGTTGAAGAAATTTTGAATTGTAAGGCATAAATTTTTTTACGTCATATTAAGGAATGAATTTTTACATGGCAAAATACAAAATTTGAGCAAAATCGATCGAATAGTTTCAGAAAAATCGAATTTTAAAAATATGATCACGATCTTCACCTTTTAATTCATCGAATTGGAACTTTAATAGTTAGATTAATTTACCATATAATCCATATATCAAATTTAAAAAAGTTTTTTTTTCTTTAATTTACGAAATTAGTTACAATTGTACAATGTTTTCTGCTGCTTAATTTTACTTCAAGTGTTTGCAATATAGTGGGCAAAAAATTTGGTAAAATAATTTTTATTTTATTTAGTTTGTTATTAATGTTAGAAATTTATTTAGTACTGCTCCTAAACTTCTATTCACCATTACAAACTTATGAATGATCAAAGGAATTAGAAATAATAATTCAATATAGCTTTTTATTTCTCTTTTTATTTTATTACTATTTTTAAGTAGTTTTAGTATTATTAAGGTATAAATTTTTAATAGTATTACTAAAGTAATCCTCATTAAGTTTTAATAAAATAACATATATATAAGCTTTATTTAGTTTGAAATATTTATCAGGAACAAAGTGTATAAAATATTTGTGTTAACAGAACAATTCAGACAAGCGTTGGACATCATGAACAGAGCAGTATCTGCACCTCAGGGACTTCTGGGTCAACAGCCAGGGGCTAAAGAAAGCATGGCTTACTTGACCAATGTGGAAAGACAACAGGAGTTGGACAGACATGTTAAGCCCAGAAGAGATTATGAGGTATACACTTTAATAAAACATTTGAGAATTATAATTAAATTGAAATGAAACAAAATAAACATGAATACAATGCATTCTTGTAGAAGTTTTTTTTGTGAATAACTGTTTAAGAAAGCAAAAGTGCTATTTGTGTTTCAAAAAATTATTTAAATGTACTTTTTTGTTTTAATTTAATTCTCTTGTTTTTTTATATAAATTTATTTGCGGACAAATTTTGGATTATGCAGCATTAGCGCTTTCCCAAACCTGACTTGATTTTGTTTTAATGTCTTTCTATTACATCTTCAAACTGATTTTTTTCTCCACATTTTATTTTATGGTTGTTTAATTTGGGATATATACCTTGTAATTCTTGTTTACATTTAAGAATTACAGAAAGAATTTATTAAAGTTTAATTTTCAATGTATGATTATTGATTTTTATTAATTGAGCCATGATGACTCAGTCAATAGATAGCTCGTCTTCTAATGAGGCAACCCACGTTTGAATCGAAATGATGACTGGCAACAGTCTGATATAAAACATTCTCAATGGTAGATGAGTTTCCTTGAGAGCATCTATGGAACTCTTCTGTCCTCAAAAATGTTTGTAGTTCATGTTTCGACACACTCTCCACTCCACAGAGATACTTCTTATTTGTATAAGGACTGCAAACTTCTCATGCTCAAAAGAGCAACTGAAAGAATTAATTTTTAAAAAAAAGAATCCCCTTGCTGTCAAGCTAACAATGGGAGGTTTTCATGTAACATAAACATATATTAGTTCCATCAAAACATTCTTTTCTCAAAAGCTTGTTTTGTCTCGATGCTTTATCCAGGAGTTCCTTGGCTTTAGGATTAGAAAATCCAAAAATGGGGCAGCTGTTCAGCAAACTTAATAATATGGTATAAATTGTGATTTATCATTTTACATTATTCATTAATAAATCAATGGATAATTTAAATCTTAAACATGATGACTTCGCAAAAATCTTAGAATAAAGAGTTTATGACTTGGCCCCTCAACAAATTTAAATATTTATAAAACAATTTATAAAAGTGTATAGAAATAATTATTTAAAAAATTTCTCTTAAATGAAAAAAATATGTGTAAAATAAGCGAAAGTCTTTTTTATATATAAAAAAAAAAGTTTTTAAACGAAACTTATTTTTTTTACTTGCCATTCTGCTCTTTTATAAACTTATTGTCTTAATGAAAGCTTGAACGTTATTGCCACCATTACCTTTTTCAAGTTTTATTCATGGCCATGTGTTCAGGGTAAAGTGAAATTTCTTTCAAATTTTATATGTTTATTCAAAATAGTATCAAAATACAGTTTTAGGTCTCTCGTGTTGATTCCGACATAGCAAATTTTAATTTTTGTGGCCTGTTATTTAATAATAAAAAAAAACGTTAGAACATCCTTGTCTAGTAGGAATCAGTTTTTGATGGAATTCGTAGAAAAGTTTAAAGTATAATGCAGTTCCTAGGTACATGTCCACGTCTGGAAGAGAAGAAAAGTATAATGCAGTACAAGTTACCCTGGTCAAAGCTCTCAGTAGGCAAAAAATTGTGCACAAATCAATATTTTCCAACATGCTTTGTAAAATCCTGGTAATCTGAGCCTATTTCACGTGAAAAAATTTGTTAACCCAATTGTATTTTCAATTTACTTTCAATTTCACAAAGTCTATGATGTTCAGGGTAGATTTCCTCAGACAAGTCCATAGCTTAGTGCTGTGGGGGAAAAAAACTCTCCTTTTCACCACAAATAAACACCAATGCAAAGCGATCTTTCACATTTACAGTTTATTGAAATGTAAGACTAAAAAATATAAACTGTTGCAATAATTATTTTGAAGCATTGTTCATTCGTTAATATTTCTATTTTTTTTAACAAGAAGTGTTATGTTTTATTTTAAAGTAGCAAAATATTAGTAATTAACTGTTCTGTCAATATTGGTTATTTTTTCTATAAACAATTATGTTTTATTTCAGGCCATGATACAGACTGTAAGAGGTGTCACATCAGCCGCTTCCCTTACTCTGTCTTTCAAAGAAGTCATCCAAAAGAAGGTTTGATTGACTTTTTTAACAATTTGCATGCAAAATAATTTTAGTCCACTTTGGAATCTTAAAGAAAAATGTAAACGTAATAACAGAATCCTTCTCAAAATTTTGAGAACTCTTTGCAAAATCTATGTTCCTAAAAACGACTCTTGACAAAATTCTAATTTTGTGCTTGCGTCCATTATCTTTAACATGCATTTTGAACTAGGTTCAAAATAAAAAGCTCACCAACAATGTATTACAATATGACCTCAAAAATCCAGAAACTTTTAAAAACTACACTCCTGAGGAGAAAAAGTTTTCAAAATCGGTTTATATGTATGTAGAAAATGGGTAGGCTGAGCTGATGAAGTTGCGCTTGGGAGAAAAATTCTTTTATTACCCACCTTGTTTTTTTCCCCAGGTGAGGAGATGAAACCGGTTCTTTTTTAGCCTTGAAGTTTTTGAGCTGAGGTAAGGGACAACTTCTTTCGTTTCCTGCTCTCAACAACAAGAGAAAGGTTATCAGCAGTTTCACTCTTATATAATTCCAGCCTAGAAGCATACATTTCAGCTATAAATTGATCGTTTTGTTTTCAATTCAGCTTGAGTTTTAAGTCCATATTCTTTGTTTTAATTAACAGCATTATGATATCTAAACTATTGATTACCGGGAACAAAATGACAATAGTTCAAAGAAGAGGAAGTATAATTAGCTCTCAATTTTTAAAAAAAAGTTGAATTGCTACGAAAGTTTGACTCTAATTTCAATGGCAATCCACTGCTGTTAATGATTTGATTAAACAAAAGGACAAAATACAACAGGTTTTTACTAAAAGTGACATTGCTTTCGGAATGTATAAAAGAATGCTACGGAAAACTAACAATGAAAAGTTAGTAAATGGGATAAAATAAATGGGTGTGACAAACAATTGAGAAAGTGTTTTTGACTGATGCTATTATGTTAAGATGTTATTATTAAGACACATTTATGTAGGGAATGTCCTTAAAGATCAGTACAGAGAATATCAAGCAATAGCTCTTAACCATAAAAGAAGATCAGTGAAGTAGAAACTGCCGAATTGTTATTCTTGTAAATTTGTTGTTTTCGTGTCCATGGATTTTTAAAGAACTTCGAAAGTTTGTACGATTGTCAGCTTCAGTGCCTCTTGAGTAAGAGAACAGATCTTAGGTTGTCCCCAATTTCAGAACATGTGGTGTGAGTGCTGGGCACTCATAAATGTGTCTCGGTGTTAACATGACATCCTGGCAGTTTCTGCAGGGAACATATGTCTTTGTCTTGTCTGGGAGAATCTTTATCCCTCTGAAATGATTGGTTCTAAGTCCGGGGTTCATACAGAGATCAGAAGAAGAAATCCAAGGAGTCCAAAATTTTAAGAACTTATCAAAAATTTAAAAACTTTGTGTAAAAGATAACTAGACAGTTATTTATTTTTTTTTTAAAATTAAAAAGTAGTTATTATAAGAGAAACTTGCAAAAATTAATATTTTGCATATTTTTTTCTCATCTTTTTGAAATAAATTTTGACTTTGTCAAACTTCATCAAGAAAAATAAATAAAGTTATCACTTTTACACCTAAATACATTTTCCAGTTTCAAATATTTTAATAAATCTTGTTAAAGTACAGATGTTAAAGATTAACATAAAAACCTACCAATCTTATATTTTTAAATTTGAATACATAAGAAAATCTAAGACATTTTATACAAAAAAAAAAACAAAATCAAAGTAAATTATTAATTAAGTTTGCTTGCAACATGTAAAATGAAAAACATTTGCTGTTATTTTTTTCTTCTAACTCTTGCAATTCATTTCTTTTCTTCTTTTTAAGTTTTTCTTTAACTATTAGATTTTGAAAGCTATGTCATATAATTTAGTTTCTCTGCTTGGACAGCAAATTCAGCAGCGGACTTAGTAAGTTCATCTATGCAACATAATAATCTAAGGAGTTTCTAAGGACTAATTTGGAAATCTAAGTACAGTACAGAACCCGTTCTCCGGAAATCAGAAAACCAAAAAACCGGAACGAAATTCGATAAATTTTCCCGCCATTTAAAAAAAAAATGTTTTTTTCCTCATAAGATTTTAGGATTTTTCTTTCTTTTTTGAAAGATGTTCACCTTACCATCATTTTGGAAATATTCATTAGTGTATTACTTCATCGTTTTTTCTTCTTTTTAAGATTATTTCCAAAAAATTTTATTTTTTAGTTAGGTTTAACAATAAAAAAACGGCTTTTTGTAGCGATTCAGAAAACCGGAAAAATCAGTTATCCGGAATAGCGATGATCCCGATCGTTCCGGATTATCGGTTCCCTACTGTAGTTCCAATTACTCCTTGGAGGCTTTTTTTATTTCTAAGGAGTGTCTATGCACCCTGTAAGTCTTGCTATGACAGATTTGGTTATAATCAATGATAATTGGCGATTATTATTAATAAATAGATATTAATTCATTAATTACATTGCACAATATTCCCTATCCTGATAGTTTTTTAAAGTTAAGAGCTTTTGCTTGATATATATGAGAGATTGTGGACATTAATTTTTTGTTTCTTTTGCAGTAACATATTTACACTATTATCATTTTCTTTTATATCTTAAACCTTATTCTACAAAGAAAGAAAAATTCTTCAATAACGTTTGTTAAACTTTTGTTTCAGGCTGAAGAAAGTAACATAATATTTATGCCTGTGCCTGGACGATATCAAGATGGCAAGCAAGTTCACCGGTTTGGTAGCAGCCTTCTTTATTTAGACAGGGGTGTCATATTTGTCTTCAATCAAAAAACGTGGGTTCCAACTTCACTACAGAGCCTGCTGGATACAGCAGGTTGAAAGTGGAACTACAGTTGTATATTCTGTATATATTTGTATAAATAAATTTTTACCTTTTTGCCTTTATACAGTTGTAGCAATTCTTCACACTAAGGGGAGTGCTTATTATGCATTTTATCTTTTCTAACTTCTAGAAATATACTTCTGGCATCATTTAAGTTTACATTTAGCAATATAAAATAGGTCTGAACGAAGGAACAGGTAAACATTTAAAATGAGCTAAATAAATTCAAAATCAGGCACAAAAAACCTGGGGGAGAGATGCCCTAAAAGGAGTGATATGGCTCCTCAGGTGGGCAATGAGTATAAAGAAAAAAAATTTCAATTAATAATAATAATAATAAAGCCATTGAATCACTCATCTGGGTCAAGTCAACATATTTAGTAGAAAATTTTAGCTCGGTCATCTAGCTTATCACAAAATAAAGTAGCAGGTTGGAGCACAAGGCAGTCATTGAAGAGGTAAAAATGAAGAATTAAGTTTTCAACTTTTCACATTTTTTTCTTTCTCACATTTGTTAATGTTTTCAATTTTTCTAGATTACATTTAAAAAAAATTACTTTAGTTTTAATTATTTTTCTTCAGATATACACCTCTTTTTGAAAAAATATTAGAGAAATATACATTTAAAAAAAAAATTCTAAAGTGACTGTATAAAATTGCTTTATTATTTACATTCTAATTTAAATCAGATATAATATAGCATATATTTAAATTTATTGAAGTTCACCTGCAACAATGCATGATTTTTTTCAATGAAAAAGAAAAAAGGGATGATAATTGTCAGCTAACTTTTACAAAGGGAGGGACAGTAGCCAACAAACATTTGAGAACCACTAGTCTAAATTATATTTACAAAATAAGGGGTTAGCAATAATTATCGTGGAACAAAGGGTCACATAAAAAAAAAACTCCCCATGCCAGTTGTCTAGATCGTCAGTGACCATGGTTACATTGAATTATTTCAATTTAGGCAGGGATGTGATTCTTCCGTGGATTTCCGCTTTTTTTTTTTCAGATTTTTTCCCACTAATTTCCACTGAAATTTTTTTTTTGCGCAAGTTAAAAATATTTTATGAGGAATTTAATTTTCCGCGGAGCGAAATTATTGAAGTCCTCCCTCTGAAGTTTCTCTAAAAATCATTTCCTTGGGATAAAACTGGTTGACAGGGATGAGATTTTTTCGCTTTTCCCTCTCGAATTTCAGCCTTTTTTTTAAAAAAAAAAAATCAAAAACTCCGATTCTCTAAAAATTTCGTTTTTTTAAAAATTCAGTCGTTGAAATTAAGTAATTAAATTTATTTACTATTTTCAAAGATAAACAGAAAATTCAAACTACGTCCTAGCTGCTAACCCTTCTACATTTTTGCTAATAATAGGTATTTTCTCCGATTTCACGCACAGAAAATAAGATTTTCCGTATTTTTTATCCGTCCGTCGGATAGCTCGTATTTTCGTAATTTAGACGTCGCTGCTTCCTGTACTCTGGCATGAAAGCAAACGAAAAAAAATAGAAGTGGACTTGCGGTGAAAATATTTATTTGTTCATTCAATTAATCTTGTAAATTTTTATTTATTATGTCTAAACAAAAACAATACAAATAAGCCTTTTAGAAATCTCAAGTCCAGACTCTGCAAATATCTCGATTCTTATTCATGCGATTTTAATATCAAGCATCGATTTTCGTATTTACCTGATTTAATAGTTGAACGTTGCGATTCTTATTCAGGGGATTTGAATATCGTACATTGCGATTCTGATTTACGAGATTTAAAAATCCAATATCGCGATTTGTATTTACGCGCTTTTAAAACCCTATTCACGCGAATTCGTATTCACGCGAGCTTAAAATGTAATGCCGTGATTCGTATTTACGTGATCTAAAAATTACGCATCATGATTTGTATTTTCGCATTTTTTAAATTCGATGTAGAGTTTCATATTCACGTGATTTAAAAGTCTCATATCGGGATTTATAATCACATGGTTTACAAGTTTAAAAATCGCACTTTTTTTTCAAATTTTTGGATATATATATATATTCTTTGATTTCCGACTACTGTCACCCCTGAATTTAGGGTAAGGGGTGAACATTTAGAAGATATTTTAACAGTGTCGGCGTGGAAACTATCAAAAGCTCCCTTCTCTAAAATGTGCTTGAATAGCAGCGGGAAGAGCTCATTTCATAGGCAGACTACATTCCAATTTGAAACAAATAATTTTGAACAAAATAACCATAAAATTTAGGACAATTTAAAAAATAAATCCATGTGCAGCAAAATAATTTTTTGTTCCATTTGACACACCTCTGATTATTTAAAAAAATAATACATACTCAAATGAAATTTTAGTAAAAAAAAAAAAAAATTTAATATAAAATAGTAACAAATGNAAGAAACAATATGATTTCTTATAATATTAGATGGTTTTCGAATGGGAGGGGGGCGCTAAAAAGGTGTTGTGCCCCGGGCGCGAGTTAAGCTCGCTACGGCACTGCAACTTTGTTGCCATTCCATATCAGAAACTTGGTGTCAACTCATTACCTACTCTCATTTGAAAAATGATAACCTAGAAATAGTATCGCATACAGTCAGAATGGTCCCAGACGTAATAAGTATTTTAAAAATTTATTGTATTGCATGCAATTCGCGAACCTCCAAACAAAGTACAGGCAGAGCCTGACAAACGCAGGGGCATACGGGGCAGTAGCCCCGGGCCCCCACTTCAGAGGGGCCTCTAAATTGAATAGAAAATTTATTTACATTTTCTCCTTTAATGAACTTTTTTTAAACAAAATATCAGTACAGTGTAAAATCCGTCAGCTTTATGTTAGCTTCTTCATTAATCTATAGTATGAACAAAAAAAAATCTATACTTCGCAAATCCTAGTGCGGAATTCAGCTAAATTTTCGCTATTACGACGGACAAATTTGGCCAATCAAAAGCATGTATTTTTACACATAGCAAAATGCAATGTGTTTACAAAAATACAGGCTTTTGATTGGCTTAAGTGAGCCATCGTAATTGCCAAAATTTAGCCGAATTCCTCCCTAATGTCAGCAAGGATATGAATTTTTCGCAGCTGGATGACAAATTTTAGACATAATGACTCCTCCAATGGACAGAACGATAATTCGTCTGACCATTATAGGGGAGGGGGGACATACAGCTATTTTACGTTCTAGTCAATTTTCTTGTTATATATGTATAATGAGGAGAAAAATTTAACTACCTCCATAAAGTTCATTTCTTCATTACTAAAATAGTGAAGCAGAGGGGGGCCCTGAGTACAGGGAGAATGAGAGCACAATTGGTGAAATATATATTTTTCCACAAAATACCCCCATATACTCTTGCCCAGATTCATAAATTATATTCTTAATTCATGCAAGAAATCAGACAAAAAGGTTCTGCCAAATAGAAGTGCCAAAGAAGTAGAGAAAAAATAGAGGAAGATGTAAAAAGCATATTTCAAAAGTGTAAAATGTACTATTTTTTAGGGATTCTGAAAGCTCAGTAGGTGATAAAAGGCATTCATTTTTTCCAAAGTGTATTTTATATTTATTTCAGTATTTAATAATCAGTATTTCTTTGCTTCAGCATTTAATAAATTATTTTATCCAAAACATATTTTCATTGGAAAAAAATTTGTTATGTAAAATGTTGGTTAGATTATCATTTACAAATTACAGTCTCTGGATTCCTCTCTGGTTGTAACACTATATCAACCCAAATGTATAGTTAGAAGAAAAACAGAGCAATTAAAATAATTTCAAGTAGGTTTCCTCAAATTTTTTCTAAGGAAATATTACTGGACAAAAATTTGTTCAAATAATTTTCCGACATCATTTCTGATAAAAATTTTAGTAATCAAAATGTTAGCAAATCAGAGAATTTTAGGTATACCAGTGATAAGGTTGCCCACTTTAAAAAAAACTATTTTTCAGGAAGATTTGTTTTTATTATTAAGTTAGAATAATAAAAATAATTCGTGTATATGATTCCGATTTAAGTGATACATACTTCTTTTAAAGAGAAAAGTTGATTTAAAATCTAATCTGGTTCTTTCTGTTAAGTTCCTTGAAACCTGCAGATGTGTTGCAGTTTTAGTGTTTATTTAATGAAAGCATGTAGTGACATTGGCAGAATTCATATATTTTTTTTAATGTGCTGCAATAATTTTTCCATGAAGTCCGCTGTAATACAACCTTCATAATCTTTCCCAATTTTTTAAAATATTTTAGAATTTCAAAATTCCAAACGTTAGATAAAATAGAGAAAAAAAAATGTTGGTTTAAAAGTATTAATGAAAATGAATTTGAAAAATATAATTTGGTGTCTAAGTGGGGCCTCTAGACAGATGTGAAAGCAAGTCTATAAAGATGCCAAAATCTGCCCCAGTTCTCAGAATCATCCTTCATGGGATCAGAGAAAATGGCCTACGGTAAAGACAGTTTAACTCGGAAAATTATAAAATTTTTGAAAAGTCTGATATACAGCATACTCTCGAAAACTTCGTTATGTCAAAAAAATATTTTTTCCCTTGCATTTTATATCCAGTTAATAATTTTAATTCCTACATCAAAGAGTTTCTTCTCAAAACCTTGTTATGTCGAATTTTTTTTCGAGCTCTACTTTTTAGATTAATATTTTAGAATATATTTCTCTTCTTTTCAGAACATATTTAGTTCTGAACTTATCTCAAAAACTCGCTGTATTGAAATATTTTTAGCATCCATCAACTTCGAGATATCGAGAATATACTGTAATTAAAAGTGTTAAAACTTAAAGTATCAGCGTGGATTTCTCATATTGCTAAAATAGAGGCTCGGTAGAGAAGTCATTATTGAAAAACTTTTCACTAGTCGGATAAGAGGTAAGTGAAAACAATAATGACTCGATTTTGTTGAATAATGTTTGGGGTAAAGAACTGGCAGACCAGGTCAATCTCAAACAAAAGACCTTGTCCCACCCTGGGCTGTTATGCCAACTATTATGATAAAATTTTACACTGTTTATCCGATTAATAGTTTTGAATCAACAGATGGACTGGTGGCAATAATGACACAGTAATTGAAAGTAATATTTATTGAACATAAAAGTAAAAAGACTATATAGTAGGGCATGTGTTCATTGTCACATGACCTACAACTCTGGACTGTTCAAACTGCTGTGGCTTTGAATCCAGTTCAAGATATCTCATGCAACCGACGAAGTGATCGGTCGTGAGAACTCCTCTTTTAGAGAATGACGATTCAGGGACTCCTCCGATGTAGAGGGGGTCGTTGGTGTCAGTGGCAGAGACTCCACCCACTCCTATACCAGGATCGGAGAAGATACCATCTAAGCTCAAAGTGACGAAGTTATTCGATTTGACAACTGAAAATAAATTTTCAAGCTTTGGATTAACGTTTTTTTTTTAAAATTTCAAATGGCACATTAAAAGACAATTGAACATAAAAATTACAACATTAAATCTATAAATAAGAGTGAGCAATCCAGTAGCGTTCCCAGATAGATTTCCGAGGGAGAGCAGGGCATCTATACAGGGGTGACAAGTCTATTACCTCGAGGAGGTCACACAATGTACAAAACGGATCATGAACCATGTTGATGAGACATAGATGTTTTTTCAGGCAATCGTGGCCAGTTATTAGACGAAACATGGCGACAGATTTCATTATAGGCCAGTGAGGGACATTGAGAATCTGTTTGAGTCATGGTTTATAGGAATTATGATTTTTGAGTTCCTCGTGAAAAGAGGCCCTGAAGATGCTCTTTATGAGACTTTTGATATTATAGAAAGGGAGTCTGGAATTAGATCTCTGTAGGACAGAGACCCCCGTTTTTGCCAGGAGATCGGCCGCCTCATTTCCCTGGATTCCACAGTGGGCCGGAGTCAACTGGAGAGCCATTATCTTGTTATTACTGGCAAACCATTTGAGGAGATTTGAGCAATTTTCGATGGTTAAAGTTCGAGAGCGTCTGGGAGTATTAATTGCTTGAAGTGCAGCCTTTGAGTCAGATAATATTACAACTTTTGAGAAGGAGCACATTTGGATTAATGTCTGACAAACAAAAGTTATCTTAATAAACTCAATAATAAATATAGCTCTGACTTTAATTGACATTGCAAAGTAAAGAGACACATTTTATACCTGGATAAGCAATTTTCCATCTTAGGTTGCAGGCAAGCATTGATTCCTTCTTAATCATTGATAAATTTTATTTATGAATTCGGGGTTCCGCGAAATGAAAATCGATCATTTAGGTTTCTATAGCAAGGAGAGAAAAAAAGGGACCCGCAGCATTAGATACAATAGGCAGCAAGATATCAGGAAATTCATTGCTAATTTTCTCCCATAAAAATAGTTTTCTCTAATGGACAAAAGAAAACTTTAAATTTGTTGCACAGTATAATGGGTGTATTGAGTAGTAGTGCTTGGTTACGCACATTTCCAGAAGATCTCCCATAAATCAGAACAATTTAAAGTTAGATATTAAAGCCACAAAGTGATACTCACCTTGAACTGTATGCCATTCTCCATCACATAAATAGTGTTCATCAGTAGGAATGAAAGAGCTTGTTATGGGCCCAGCACCGTTATCAACACTGATTTCAACCCTTCCATCTACCATTTGAAGAATGAGATAATCCACTTTGCCATGCACAGCCATCAAGATACCTGACAAGTTCCTCGGCTTGATGTCCAAGGTGATGGAAACTCTTTGGCCAACACGATATTTGTCAACTGAAAATCAAATCGTCAAAACGTTAATTTTTTTAAAAAAAAACATTTCGACAGAGGGATATTATTTTTGGCATGGTACTTCTCAAAAAAGATTGAAGAGTATTGAAAGAGATTTAACATGATTATTATTCGGTATTTCATAATGCTTAAATGTGGAAGGTTAATTAATTAAAAAAAACATAATAAACTTATTTAAAGAAATAAATGTAAAAGTTACGATTGAATATTGAGATTATTCGAAAAATTGTCAGTTATTAATGAAGGATTTTTATAATGATAAAAAGAAAAATTCTTACAGAGAATCAAGTGTCCTCCGTGGGCAGAGAAATAAGCACCTTCCTCTACCTTGTCGGAACAAGCTGTGACATTTTGGGAGAGAGTGCTGGCTGCCTGTAACATTTCTCCCTGTGCTTCCACATTACGAATGCATCCTGGGAAGGAAAGTGTAATACCCTGCAAATAATTAACACACTATGTATGATAATAGTTAAAACTCCAAGGTTAAATTTCATGATAACATATTGGTTTTAAATGAAAATTTGAATATGTATTATAAATAAAAACTGCATTATATAGAATTCAACAGACAGAAAACTTCAAATGCTCTAATTTTCTAAATTGATCAAAATTTTAAAAAATGCATTAAAAAAAGCAGAATGTTTGGTATCTGGAATTTTCAGCTGAAGCAAATATCATTAAATAATTTAGTTTTCATTAAAATTAAATTAACTAGAATAAAAAAAATATTAACAAGAAATTTCAAACATCAAGTTTTATTCTGCAGTTAGCGAATTTTCATGGTGTGGTTTATGAACTATTGCAGCTTTACTATGACGTTCAGCTTGAAAACAATATTTATTTAAAAAAATAATAATTGCTGTTAAAGACTAAATATTCTTTATTAACTTATCAATAGTTTCACTACTAAGTGCAAAATTTTTTTGGTGGTTTTACGATTTTTCTTAAACCTCTAATGTTAAATTTTTTGCATATAAATATAAAATTATGTTAAATTTCTTGCAATATAAAATATGTCTATTATTGTTTCAGCCTTCACTGTTTGGAAACAGTTAAAAAAATGTCTATTCCTTTAATTCACAAAAAAAAGAAGCAAAAGAGAAAAAAATAGTACCAGCTTAGAACTCACTGAACTCAAAAATAAATTTATTTTTTAAGAGTTGATGCAGATTTGTACTTTATCTTTTCTTAATTTTTTTAGATTTTTGTAATCAACATTCAAATTTCATACAGGTTGGAAATTCAAGGACAGTCCAAATATGTTAGTTCTTAAGTCATACTAAAGTAAATCTTAATTCCAATTGTAATAGAGTTCGTTTTACAAAGGTTTAAAGAAATTTAAAATAAAACTGGCAAACAAAAATTCATTAAAATTACTTATTTAACAACAGATAAGTGCATAAACTGATTTTAACTTTTTAAGGTAATTACCAATTTGTTTGGTCATGTCGTCAAAAGAACCATTAAGTTAAAATTATTTTTTATATATTCATTCAAACTGTATTGTAATTTTGAGTATGTGAAAAAAAAATGAGAGAAATAATTAATATTTTGTAGAATTTGTTTTTTTTCTACGTTGAATATTCAGTTTTGTTTTGTTCATATTTTTTACAGCTAATATTTATTTATTTTTAATAATGACCATTTTATGACATGCATTAAAAGATACACTTATTTGTCACGTTTTTAATATGGCAGGGCAATTATTTCGGATAATAAAAAAAAATCAAGATTTTCTGTACTCAATTATTTAAAGTTTTAGCCAATTCCTGAGAACCATATGGGTAGTTCATTTTTTACCTACACTTTTATTAACAAGCCATGAGAGTGAGATCAGAACAAAACGTCTGAAAATAACTATCTAGTCAAATCAGAAATAAATAAAGCGTGTGAAGTTAATTTGCATTAAAATAAAACATTTAAATTATTTAAGTAATTATTTTAAGCTTTTATTTTACTGTATGTGTGCATTAAGAACCCAACAATCTTTTAAGTTTTATACATAAATTATAATTAAAAAGAATAAAATAATAATAAAGTAAAACAATAAAATAATGCAGAGATATAAAAAATAGACGTTCAACATTGCATTTTCTTTTTTTTAACTTTATCTCTGGCAAATTTGGCATTCGAAAGTTAGGAGAATCTCGTGTCTGATTAACTGTCAGTTCAGAAGAAAAAAGAGGAAATTACTTTAACATTGTTCTTTGCTTCTCTCGCAACTTCTTCTGAGAGTCCACCCACATAGAAAGGGGATTTAACATTCATGGAACTTGCAGTTCCCTGAGAGGCCCCTCTCACCTCTTCCTCATCATCCACCACTAGTCTACCCTCTTTGCCTCGACGCGAGAACACCACGCGGTGCCACGTACCATCGTTGTACGTCTTTTGAGAAGAGACCATTGAACTCCCAGAACCACAGTTGAAAACATAAACAATCTGGAAAAAAAAATACAAGAATTTTTAGCAAAAAAAAAAAAGTAACAGTGTCTTATGATCCACCAGTATGACACAGTATTGATACTAAGTGCAAGAAGAATATCAAAGGAAAAACATGTTACATACTGGAGACCTAAAGTATCGACGCTATTTAATACCCTCGAAACAAAGCGCAATATTATCGAAACAAAGTATCGATACTACTGGATATTTTTTAGTATTGATACCTAGTTTCAAATAACGTTTTAGCTTATTGATATTGCTTCTAGGCACCAAACTCCAACAGCCAATTTCGGTAATTATAAAGCCACTGAGGTTGGCATCTTTAGACAAACATCTTTCTCTTTATATTAAACAATGGCTGTCTTGGGTGTTCAAATGAACGTTCATTTTCTTTTGCAACGCAAAGCTATAAATCTTTGAAACTTGAAATGACTAAGGCGTGTACAAGAATTACATTAGAATAAACAAAAATTAAATATTGGAGAATTATGAACTTGTCAGAAAAAATACCAGCTACACAGTTCAAATTTGGCATACTGAAAGGGGCATATTTGTATATGAACTTCTTAACACAGTTTCTCAAATTTCTAATTTGTTTGAAAGTTATTGCAAATTGAAGTGCTCTTTTTTTAAATTTATTCTTATTTTGCTTCACGTTATAATTTATTCTGCTGTATAAAATATTTGAGAAACTTTAAGTTACGTTGGTGTACAGACAAATGCAGAAGAATGGATGAGTTGAATGGTTTTATGAATGAATGACGAGAAGAATGGTTTAATAGAATGAAAAATTTTACAATTCCATTATCAGTCTGAGAATTATTAACTGTCAAACTTGTAGTGAAAAAAAATGCGTTGGCCCATTTACTGACTGAAATGTAACCAAAAAACTGAAATACTGATATGAACATTTTGATTCATAATATTAATGAGACAAAGTAAGGTAAAACAACGTTTAAGAGCACAAAAAATATATAAATTGCAGACAGCTGTTTCGGATGCTCAAAGGGCAACCTTCATCAGTGCAACAGAAAGAAATAAGAGATCAGGGTAAATATATAAAGAAAGATGACGTCACAAGAGGGTTTAGAGCAACGGCCAATAGGAGGGAAGGGTGAATGGATGACGACGAATAGGAAGCAAGGAACAAAAGGGGGGGGTAGTTAGGTTTAATCATAGATTTCCAAACAGGAGAAATATAACGAACACTGGATAGGTCATTGACTAACAGTTTGGAATTTTTGAAAATATGATAAGACTCGTAAAAATCTAAATCAAATATTGAAGAACAATTTTGAATGACTTCAGAAGAGGAAAAATTAAAATTATGATTAGAGTCCCAACAATGTTGGGCAATAGATGAGCGTTTAAATTCTTGTTTTTTGACATAAGCTTCATGTTCCTTGACACAACACTTTAAGCCACGCTTAGTTTGGCCAATATATAAAAGGCCGCATTGGCAATTAATTTGGTATTTACGCCAGTTATTTTGACTGTCAATGGGCTGTTTGAGATTAGAAAATTTCATCTTATTAATGGAACTGAAAATAATATTAAAATCAAACTTCTTTAGGATATTAGCAACCTGCCGACTTATTTTAGGAAAATAGGGTAAAATGACCAAATTGTTAGAAAATTCTTTGGAAGGTTTATCGGTAAAATAAGTAAAAATGAGAAAGGATTGGTAGCTATGTAGTTTGAATTTTCTGCTTCTCTTTGAAAATCGGTGAATTTTCTGAAAAAGCGGAACACTTATAAAAAAAAATGAAATTTAAGAGATAAAAGCGGAAATCCGCTAAAAAGCGNCGGTGAATTTTCTGAAAAAGCGGAATACTTATAAAAAAAAATGAAATTTTTAGAAAATCTGAATTTTTGATAAAAAAGCTGAAATGTAAGAGATAAAAAGTGAAAAAAGCGGAAATCAGCTAAAAAGCGGAAAAATCTCATCCCTGTCAGGGATGAGATTGGTCAAAAGGCAAAAAAGCTGAATTTTCACACGAGTACATCTTACGTGATTTATAGCAAAAATATCAGTAACATATTCTCATCCAGTTTTGCTGATGTTCTAATGCCTATATATAGCAATAATCGCCGATAGAAAAACTGCCACATTTATAGTAACTAATTCAAAAAAAAAAAAAAAAAAACTTGCTTTTTACAAGAAACGCGCAATAACGGATTTTAAAATCGTGTGAATATAAATGATGATATTGAAATAAGTGAATGAAACTCGATATTAAATTTAAAAAATGTGAAAATACAAATCATGATGCGTAACTTTCAGATCGCGTGAATACGAATTACGATACATAATTTCTAAATGGCGTTAATACGTATCCAAAGCCTAAATTTTAAATCAAGCGTAAATACGAAAATAGAAGTTGGATATTACAACTGCAAAAACGAATCACGACATTGGATAAACTCGCATGAATACGAAATCGTTACATAGAATTTTAAAAACGCCTGTATTCAAATCGCGATACTGGATTCTTAAATCTCGTAAAGAAGAATTGCAATGAACTGTGGGGAGAGTAGTTACAGACCATGTCAACCGTCATCTATGAAAAGGTACCCCGCCATAGAGTCGAGTTAACATGTCTTATATACTAGTGAATTGTAGTTGTAATTTTGCAGTGGTAGATACGCTACAGAACGATATTGAAATCGCGAGAATAGGAATCGCAATGCGCAACTTTTAAATCAGGTAAACACGAAAATCGATGTTTGATATTAAAATGCAGCGACGCCTGAATTACGAAAATACGAGCTATCTAGCGGACGGGTAAAAATGAGGAAAATCTTTCCTTCTGCTTCTAGAAGTTAAATTAAGTAGATATGCGAAAGGGTTGACAGCTACGAAGTTTGAATTTTCTATACATCTTTCGATATGTGATATCTATATATCAAATCGGAGGAAATAAACATAATTATATTATTTCAATGGCTGAATTTTCAGAAGAAACCGGAATATTAATTAAAAAAAACTGAAACTTTTAGAGAATCTGAATTTTTAATAAAAAGTCTGAAATTCGAGAAACAAAAGCGAAAAAGGCGGAAATCCGCTAAAAAGTGGATAAATCTCATCCCTGTTCATTGGCGAGCGAGCGCAGCGAGCCATGGTTCACGGCATAGGATTGCGTAGCAATTCTTGGGGGTTGGCGAGCGTTAGCGAGCAGGGGGTGGAGCCTCCTAGTAAAATTATATTGTTACTATGATAATAATTTACAAATGTCATACTAGATCAGATATGTCTCTCTTTACACAACATTACTTTTACAATAAGTTATATAAATGCGCAAAATTCTCCACCTAGTTCTATGGGTTGATTACATACAAGAAGTTGTACGTAAACGTGATTTTGAATAAAACTAATTTAACTTTCTGTTAAATTAACTATTTGATGAAGTAAAGAGTTCATCCAAATGAAGATAAGGTATAGCTTGTATCTCCTATAAAAAACTGAAACAACGCGAATAACGCCCTTTTTTAAAGTACAACAACAGACATATCATATGTATAAAACATTACAATAAATTTTTTTATTATCTTTATCAAATTAGGGCACTACTAATACATTATCATTATTAGAATTTAATTAAGAAACTATTATTATTAATTTAAAGCAATAAAAACAGACAATACATCTTTTGCGTATAATGAATTCATACCTTTCCATTCTGAAGAAGGAGAGCTACATAATCTATATGTTTTGTATCAGAAACGTAAAACATAATTCCCGTTTGCAGATTGGTGCGGAACTCTAAGGCAAATGTGCTATCGTCCTGTATTGTGTCCATAAAAGAATTGGGCTTGGAGAGTTCTTCTCGGCTGTTCACAGTGTTTCCAAATCGAATGCCATCTCCAGATTTTACACTCTTATCTCGCCTTGGATAAAGGGGAAGAGAGCAGGAACCAAAGTAAACTGGCTCCTCCTCCTCTTCCTCAACAGGAGCAGATGTGGAACCTAATTTGGAAAACAGACTTTTTGAGACAAAGGTGTAATAAGCGAAATGATAAAAAAATATAAATCTACACATTTTGAAACTCAAACTTATTTAGGTATTTTTTTTAACACTAAAACATTAATCTATTACATTAAAACAGATTGAGCAACTGATTTAGCATAATTTAAAAATGTTTTTTGAAAATTATTCTGCAAACTATATTTATTTTCACTTGCATTCATTCATGGTCAACTAATTCTCAAAAGTATATTTAGATAAAGGACAGAATTGAATCTGTTCTTTGGAGGAATGGTCAATACCATCAGCATAAACTTGGTTCACACACTGTCAGCATTACTTTTCCTAACTGCTAACTTTATACCATTCCGTATCGAAAAAATATTTTGAAATATTTTCACGCTGTAATACAAAATTGAGATTCTAGAATATCAAGAAACTAGCTCATGTCATTTTTTCTTGAAATTTCAATTAACACAGAAAAACTATAAATCAAAAAATTAGGCAATCTAAAAAGAAACAGCATTGAAATATTACTCAAATTCGCTATCTCAGCATGAATTAAGATATCACTTTTAAAAAGATTTCATCCATATAACTATGGATTGAATACTTTTTTTTAATGATTTAACAGACGTTACCAATTAAAAAAAAAAAAAAAAAAACGCGAGTAAAAAGGAATTAACGATGTACGTAATACTACATTCTAACTACAATATTGCTGATTTGGAGAAAAAAGTGTAAGGAATGGTTTAAAATTTGGCAAGAGTTTGCCCAATTGTACTCTAAACAGAAAGAAAATTTAAGAAAAGATATCAATCGTCTGAGGTCCTGAGATTGGATGTGAAAGTAGGAGACTCGAGCCACCAAAAGCCCAAGATTTAGTTGGTCAACATAATCAAACATCGTTTTTCAAGAAATGAAATGAGTAAAACCAAACTAAAATCCATAGCTGTCAACTTTTTGCGGATTTTATAGCAATATTCGAAATTCCACCGACATAATATTACATTGAAAATATCAAGACTTTCAAACCATGCGGAAATAGCAATATCTGTAGAAAAATGGTGGAAAAAAAAGAACTTGAAGTTACCAAGAATTGTTACAAATAAAGCATGTCAAAAAGTGATTATTTAATTGCACGATTTGAAACTCACGAGTTGTAAACACTATCATATTAAAAATTTCAGAATTTTAAAAACAGTATGGAAAGTTATAGAAAGAATGATCAACTTTTTAAAATTTATTTGAATTTATGATAAAATCCGCATAGATACAGTATGTTAAAAAGTGATTCCACAAACTTGAAACTTGTGTATCATTATAAATTGGATTCTTAAACCATGATAAAATCCATAACAATATTCATTGAAAAAGAAAACCTATAAATTCACAATCTGTAAAAATTGGGAATATTAAAAAATAAATTAAAAAAGCTATTAAAAATAATTATTATTATTTTTTCAAACTAACTTGGGTCCTGCCACAAGCCATACTTCAACAGCTAGTGAACTGTAAGTTATATACCCTTTATTTAACCTAAACAAAAAAGGTTTGTAATAGCTAAATTGTGATAGCTGATATTCTTATGAAAACAAATTTAAAACTTTCGAAAATTTTGTTGAGATATACAAACTACAGTACATTTCAAATTTATAGTTAATGATTACTATATATAAGATAAGCAAAATTCAATTTATATCTCCCTTAGGAACAAATAAAGGCAGGGCGCTCCTCTCTGAAAAGGGCACTTTAACTTTTGAAAGGGTGGAAAGGTGAATTGAATTTTGAAAGAGTGGAATTTTTACAATGTTCACTTAACATTGCTGCAAAAATTTATCAAAATGTATAATATTATGTAATAACTGAATATTATCCTCAAAAATTTTTAAACAACTCTCTTATACTATTTTATGTGTATATTTCAAAAAACAATTCTCTTGCATTACCAAAATAAGAAAACAATTTGTAGTTTATAAAAATAATTAAAGGCATGATAAAAGGCAATCTCAGTGCATATTTTTTTCAAAAAAAGTTAAACTAAAAAAATAATTAGTTTATAAATAACTTGAAAGCTTTTTTTTCTATAATTTAAACTGAAAATTATGACAAAATAAACATTTAAAGGTGCATTTTCTTAAAAAATAAATAAATAAAGGTATTAGCTTAAAAAATAGCCTTAAAATTTAAAACCACTCAAAAGATGTACAAATATCCTCCGTAAAAAGATCATTATAGAACTCTAACTAGTAATCAGAATTAAACCAATAAACACAGTTAATTTTACCAGGGTGTAATTGTTATTTAATCAGAGAATTAATTTTTCTCAAAATGAAATGTTAATAGAAAAAGGGCACATTTATTGGCATCAAAGGGCAGGCAGGGTGGGCCACCCTTAAAAAAAAAAAAAAAACGCTTAGGAAGAACACTGCATCAAAATGGATAGTGATTTCAATAAGAAAGAAATCCCCTGATTAATGCCATATATTTACGAGCAAACTTTTTTCAGGGCTTCCAATTAATTTTAGAAAAAAAAATTCACTGACTTTTCCAGGTAAATTTCAGTTGAAATACAAACCATATTTTATCTATACCGTGCAATTTTTCATCAGAAAACTTAGATTTTTTTTTTATTTGTTATGCCAAATATCAGATTTTGTGAGTAAAGATATACACAGTCCAGTCACATTAATGTGACCACAACCTACTTTTGTGTTAAATGTCAATTGTGTTAAATGTTAAACAACGTTAAATAATTAATCACAGAAGGCAGGTGGCAGCACATTCCAGTGGAGTGTATATATAGGATGTCCTAGGGCATCGGAAAGCATTTCGATCGTTGGCGTAATGCAGAAACGTAGCGATTTATCTGACGTCCAAAAGGGCATGATTATTGGCTTTTGGGCCAAGGGTGGAAGCATTTCGGTAACGGCTGATTTTGTGAACTGTTTGCGCGCCGCCGTTGCAAAAGTATACCGTGCATGGCAAAATGCCACTATACAAAACAAGCGGTGGGGAATATGTGGTGCACCACGAGCCATAGATGACAGAGGCGAACGAAGGCTACGGAGATGCGTTCAGACGAATAGACGTGCAACTGTTGAGCAACTGACCGCCGAGATGAACCAAGGGGCTATTAAGAGTGTATCCTCAACAACTGTTCAGCTAACGTTGCTGCGCATATTTGCAAGCCAGTACCACAACTGGACGTCCACAGAGTGGCAACAGTTTGCTTTTTCCGATGAATCACGTTTAATGTTCCATCGGACAGATGGTTGTTGGCGTATACGGCGTGAAACGTCTGAAAGCAAACTCGCCGGATTTAAACCCAATCGAGAATCTGTGGGACCACCTCGATCGGGTTGTTCGCGCCATGGATCCTCAACCGCGTCATCTATCGCAGCTGACCACGGCACTGGAGTCGGCATGGCTCAACATTCCAGTGAACACCTTGAGAAACCTAATTGACTCTCTTCCTGCACGTCTCGCAGCAGTCCGCTCTGCCAAAGGTGGTAATTCTGGCTTCTGACAGGTGGTTACATTAATATGACTGGACTGTGTATAATAGAATGAGAATGGAAAAGTTTTACTAGCAGGCTGAATTTTATAAAATAATTGTAATACATGTTAGAACTATTTAACTTGAATCTGGATAACTGATTAGTGTTACTGACAATTCTAAGACTGGTTATTTTCTAGGTATGATATAGAAAATTTTTAGGTTTTTTGTAAGAAATTGCAATTTTCTCTGACTATACCCTGCTTTTCAGAGTTAAAATAAAATTCCCGGACAATTCCAGGGTTTTCCTGTTCTCCCTGACACTTGGCAGCCCTGTTTTTTTCTCTGTTAGTTAATTTCAGTTTACATACAAAAGAAAAAGAAAATTGTTTTAAAAAAAATCTTTTTTTCAATGATATATTCAGCAGCTAGACTGATCTATATTGAAATCTTACTTGCTGTTTCTTCATGATGATCTTCAGTAGTAAACCTTGAGGCTTCCTCCTCAGGATCGCCCAGTGGACAGCTAGCGAGAGAAGCACCCTCACTCATTTCGATGGCATCTGCAAAATTTTGGAATTTATTGTTAACAGTTGTGTCTCCAATGCAGCCCACAAAAGCGGGTACCCCTACGATGCCGTTTGGCGTGCCAGCAAAGTAGAGTGGTGTTGTAGTGACCACAGACGCATCTTCGCTCAGTTCTATTTCAACTGAGTGAATGTCATCAATGTCTAGTCTCATTTGCCGCAATGCTTTTGTCGCGGACACGTAATGCCATTCTCTGTCATTGTATTTGGTGTTTGTCTTGATCTCACCACCGGGGACACTTGTCATGAAAATAGCACCATTCCTGAGGCTGATAGAGAGGTAACTGTCTTGAGCTTCATTAGACGCATAGAATATCAATCCGTTCTCTTCTGTCGTTTTGAACTTGAAGGTCAGTTGGGCAAGATTTCCAAGTTGGACAGGTGGCATGGCTATGTAACCAGAAGATGAATCATTTGAGAAAGAAACTGTTCTTGCAATCTAAAAAAAGGATGCATATTCAGTGGTAAATATTCTTTTCAATTAAGAATATTTCCTTGTTACCTTCCAACTTTGTTCTATTTTGTTATGTCTAAATAAAAACATATTTGAACTATCTAAGAAGTCACTTACAGATGGAGAAGATTTTGATGTATAAAACAATTTATGTAATATTAAATTAAATACCAAAGTCAAAAACATATACATTTAAAACCCATTCAATGGGTCTGATTAAATATAAAATTAATAGATCTGTCCTCAATTCTCTATAGGAAAATTATTTTAATGGTCCAAGTTCACAACTTCATCATTCTACATTTTCTCTGCTGTCTTTTGCTCAGAATTCTGGCATTAGTATTTTAGTTGAAACTAAAAATAACAGGCTTCCTAGGATAATTATACAGACAAAGTGCAAAAAAGATTATGAAAATTCTGCCCACTTTGGGATTTACTAAAATAATCTACAGAAAAAGTGGGGATTGAATAGTATTATGCACAAATTCTCTCTAAATTAACAATAAATTTAAAAAACAAAATGGCATAACATATTTTAGGTGCAAATTGGAAGGATATAAATCATTCACTCTTTTTAGACAACTTTGTGTAGAAATACTGTGTATAGTCTGTAGGGAATATATCAATAATGCTAAAACTAACCTTTTTTAATATACATTTTCTCAGCATCTAAACAAGATATTGCTTCAGTTTTTTTCCTTTTTTTTTTGACAGAATATTTATGTATACATGTTTACATTGTGATAAGTGTTGATACATTTCTTTCTCAAGAAAGTTTTAAAAAAATTATGTACAGAGAACTTTTAATTTTTCAAAAAGTTTCATCCAAAAATCTTTCACTTGTTTACACTAAAACATTATCACAGTATACAACTGATATAATCTCAAATAATCTTAAAACATTTCAAAGTGATATCACAAATAATTTCCCAGAAAAGGTGCATTGAAAAAGGTCAGTTTTAGCATTATTGATAGTCGTCCTAACGACTCCCCTTAAAAAAAAATTATAATAAATTTTAACTTTTCTTCTTAAAAAGCAAACTTATAAAAAATTCTATTCACATTTTATTTTGAGATACATCATGACTTACATAGTTTTAAATTTATATATTTTTAATGCAATAAATAATATGTAATTTAAAAAAAATATTCAAAGAAGTCTCTAACACGATTAGAATCTCAAATTTATCAGTAACTATTATATAAAATAACTATGCCCTAAGGTCTATATCCCCCTCCCCTAAAAAAAAAAGAACACTGTGATCTCAATTAAGTCCATGCTTCAAAATTAAAAAAAAAATGGAATAAAAATTTCAAAATCAGGCTATATACCTTCATGCTTTAGCTGTTTGTAAGTGTTAATTTTTAATTACGACCCTACATATGGCTCAAACATTTTGTTTTAGTATGTGTATAGATAATTTAATAAATATTTGAATTGAACCAACAATTTGGTAATTAAAAGAAGGGAAGAAAAATACCGTGACAGGGCATCCATTCACAACTCCCAGAGCTTCTTCATTTTGATTGAGGTTTATATTTGTGGCACCAATCTGCAGATCCATGATACACCCTTCAAATCCAGTACTGCTCACTCCACTGAAACACATACATTCTACTATCAATACTCATTTATTCTTTGAACCTTTTTGCTCCAGAAATAAGAATTTTATTAGGAGGACATACCAAGTATTATTTATGTAAATTGTAATCTATTTTTGGAATAGGAAAGTATTTTAAGGTCAGCATTGCCAAGAAAACATTTACTGTATTATTGGTACTGAGAGAGAACATCTTGGACTTTCAACATTATCATTCATTTTTAAACTGATTTCTGATTACTAATGGAACCTGAAATTGGTTCAAAATTTTCTTTGTCAAGCACATGAAATTAGAAGTGGAAAACCCGGTTTTCTGCACATAAAATAAAACAAAATAGAAGTTTGAACTAAAGAATAAAACCAAGGAGTGTCAAGGCATACTGTGGCCATCTCAGTGTTCTTGGTGCCCTGGAGTACAGGAGCAGTTGTTCCGGTTGGGTGGCCAGCCAAACAAGTATAACGTTAGTGTTTAGTCACTAAGCATGTTTGGTACTCATTTTATCAAACCGCTGAAGGGATGAAAGGTGGAGTCAGCCATACCTGGCCTGAAGATAAAAACTAGTACCTAGGCGAAGTGCTACCACTCAGCCACTGGACGTTCATTCATAAATGAAACATTTCTGGTAGCTCAGATTAGTTTCCACTAAAGCAGTTCCACAACACATATTTCAGGAATATTCATTAAAAAATGTTGTTGTAATTCATTTACGTCGCACTAGAGCTGCACAATGGGCTATTGGCGACGGTCTGGGAAACATCCCTGAGGATGATCCGTCATTAAAAAGGAATTCATAAATTAATAATTAAGAAACAAAATCAAAATATGATAACCAGGCATTTCACAGAAGCGTAATAATAATAATATAAAAAAAATATTTATTGGAAGAAATTGAACTTCCAAAATTTCTTTTGTCAGCATCACTTACGGGTAAGAATGGGTGCTGCGTGGGTATCCTCCGATGAACATCTGATTAGTGAAGGAGAGAGTGTTCTCATTGCCTGGAGATGATCCTTTCCCTACTTCAACTTCATCTACCTAAACCAACAACAGATTTTGTTTTTAAAATAAAAAACAGAAATAAAATACACTTCTAATAACGTGTAAAAAGAGCTATGTATTATTTATACAATAGAGGAAAAGAAAAATTTTACACTAGAATATTTCTTACGCTTTTTTGTACATAAATATAACACTGTAACTGCCTTCCACTTCATTTACATATTTAAGATTCCTTCTTTTTAATGAAAATATATACTACTATGAGTACAAGAACAACATTCAGAATTATGTTTAAAAAAAATATATTATAAGATCAAAACTTTAATCAGAGAATTATTCCCTCGCCCCTCATCATTCCATTCTCACCTAATTGGATTTATTGAAAGAAAATAATCGAGGCAGCCTTGCCCTGTATTAGGCTGCAGTGCATTTGAAGAAGAAAAAAAATATTCATATATTATTATCTTTTATTTAAAAAACTCATTTACACCACTAGTTTAAATTTAAACATTTTTTTCCTAATTTAAATATTAACAAGCCAAAGCTAACTTGTTTAGATGCATTCCAGTCTAATCTTGGCCAAACTGCTCCCCACCATTGAGGTATAAGTTATTTCTTATTCTCTTGTAACTCTTGATTTTGGTTTGTTATGGATGTCTCAGTTTTATATATTCAATGAGGAAAATAAATGAAAAACCATGGCAAATTTAATTTCTGCAGTTCTAGGATCAAATATAAAGGCAAAAAAAAAAAAAATCTCTATAAAAAAATATAGGACCACCTTTTAAGTGACGGGTCGCAAAATAAATTGCTAAAGTTCAACAAATATGATTCTAGAATTTCATGTAAAAATGTCAATTAGCTCCATTTAACTTATGAACAAAGAAAAACATTTTTGATTTATTATATTTTAAACAATACCAAAGTTTGAAATAAAATGAAGTTCTTTTCAACAGTTATATCACTTCAAATCTTATTTGGGGTGTATTAAATAATTACTTTGAGAACAGCATTTTTATCAAAGCGGGAGGCATCAAGGGAGTGCCATTTTCCATCATTATATGTCTCTTCTGATGTAATGGAAAGAGGTCCACTTCCTAGATCGTACGCCAAGTGGATGTGTCCATCTACCATGTCTACAGCAAAGTACTCTTTCTATAAAAGAATCACTATTAAAAGAATCTTGACGACATGATGTTTTTATGTACTGAATGTATCACAAATAAATATCTAGATTAAAAAGTAAACTCTTGAAATACAAGATATTTCAATTTTCTTATACGCTACCTATGCTATTATAAATATCAGTTAAGCTAGATTGATTCACTCAAAAGCAACATCAACAAATGTAAAACAAACTCTCTGGACTCAAAAGTTCAATTTTCACCTTCAGTAAATATAGATGCGTGACCAAGTAGTTTGGATTAGATTCAGTCCTAAAGCAGTTCGTTAAAAAAGTGACGAAATTTCAAAGTTCTCATTAGATAAACGATTTCTTTCTTAGATGTTTGTAGGCAATATTAATGATTACACCAACCAGTGATTTAAAAAAACAACTGGCACTTTACTTTAAAAACCATTAGCATCTAAATGAATAATAAACCTGCTTCGACTTTTCGAACGAATCGTGTCGATTTTAATGGGTGCTTTATGGCCAAACATTCCACCTACTTTCATGAACTTTAAATAAAATAATAATGGTGTTATTTCAAAAGAACTTACATTCTTTCCAATCAGGAACAACAATCCATGTTGAGCATAGGTCTTGAACTGAAGTTTAATAACAGATGTCTTGGCAAACTTGTGCTTCTTGCTCGGAAGAATGGCATAACCGGCCCCGTTGAAGCGAAGACCGTTGGAAGGCTGCAAAACAGTGAGTTCTGTTCTTTCAGCGCAACCTTCAAAATTGTTTTCTGCCCACACAAAGTCCCACAGCCCTACAGGAGTGTCTCCAAACTGCACATCTTCGATGCATCCATCAAAGTGAAAGTTTTGCAACGTATCAGGAAGCTGTTAGAGATAAAAATAATTATTAATAAATATTTGAGAAGGTTAAGGAGGGTCTGAAGTTTTTGGTGATCAATTTTAAATTTTTTTTTTTTCATTTTAAAATCTTTTCATCATCTGTAATTTATTTATTTTTAAATGAGTGATTAGATTTTATTTACCAAGTTGTAATTCTAATGGTTACTTAAAATAATTATTTCATTACAGCAGACATTATTTTAAGTATTGAAGTCAGACACATGGAATCAGATCCTCAAAATCTGGAAAACATAATCTTGCTTTTGTAAAGCCATTAGTAAAGCTGAAATTTTAAAATTTGGGTTCTCTTAATGTGCAGATAAAAAATTTGTATTTTGTCATATAAAATTACATTCTTTAAAATTATATAAAAGTTTGTATGTCTTACAATTCAGAATTATTTGATTGTTATTAAATAAAATAACAATTATTTTTTGCATAGAATTATCTTTGGATATAAAAATTTTATAATTGTGTGTAAAAATTTTCCGATTCACTTAAAAAGCCAGATATGAAATAAGACATAAAAAGTAAAATTAACAAATTCGGGGTCCAAACTTCCGTTAACTCTCCTGACCAAACTATTAGGATCATATTTCCTAGATTGCAGCTATCCTCTATATTTTTGGGGTCAGGAATAATAATTTGTCAAAAAAAGGTTCATTAATAGAAAATAAATTTTTGTTACTTAAAATATCAACTTCAGTTTCAAATTAGCATTTTGAACCATTAAGATTGAGTCAGAGTATGTGACTGAAAATTAGATCATTATAGACTGAAAATTATTCAGGAAATTCTTTCTTTTTTTTGCACACTGTACAAATTATAAATGCAATCATTCTGACTAATAATGACATAAAATTAACTTTGAAAAAAAAATGTAGGTTGCATGCAATAATTTTTTAATTTGCTTCAAATTATGAAAGTTTAAAATCGGCTGAATTTTTTTAAATGTTTTTATTACTTATTATAATAATTCATATGGATTCATTGGTTTATTTTTTTATGGGCATCAAATTAAATTATAAAGATTGTCACTTAGATTAAAAGTTCATTAATGGTTAAAAGTTCGTAGTTTACAATTGTACTTAAATAGATTTTTACAAGTTATAATTATAAAATAAAGAAAGTATTAAAGAGGCTTATTTTAAAACATTGTCTATGAGTCGAATGTTTAGCTGAGGTGTAACCCAGATTCAAGTCTATTTAGAAAGGGTTTAAATGAACAAAAGAGGAAAGGAAAAATGTATAAATACCTACAATGATTTTGATTAATTTGAGTTACAATATAAAAGTCACAAATATTAAGTAAAACTTCACTTAAAGATTATCCAACAATGAAATTTTTTTTAAAAGACAGAACGTATGCTCTAGAAGAAGATGGCCTATAACAGGATCTTCTATATTAGACACTTCTCCATTTTTTGGAATTTTTTAAAATTTTATCTTGTATTCAAATGCATTAAAAAAAAATTCTTCTTATTATTATTAAATGTACTTGAGTAATGAAAATTATACTACTCATAAAGAACTTGCGCTTTTTAATAGTGCTAATTTTTTGTCAAACATCTTAGATACATACAAATATGCAGTTATTATTTAAAAACATAGCATAAAAATTATTAAGTTTGGAATTTTAATAGATATTGAAATTTTTGATCAGCTTTACAATTGTTAATACAGAAAAATATAATTGTTTTGATAGATTAAAATACCAGAATTGAGTTATAAAGAGTTTATAATATTAAAGACAGTATAATATTTTTCAATCGCATAATACTAATAACAACTGGAATTATACTTAACTACGTAACCAATACATAATCCTGAAAGCAGACTATCTAATGTTTAAGGACAAGACGTTTGATAATTGCAAAAGTTCTGGGGGATATCCCCAAAAATAAACAGCTCTCACCAGTTAAATTGTCACCCTTTATATCATCATCAATTATAATAAAATTGAGTTTAAAACTAGAATTGTGAAAAAGAAATAGGGAATTCAATAAGTAAATTTGCAACTTGGACATAAATTGTACTAAAGGGGTATGGACGTAAATAGTTCGACTTTGTTTCGTGANTATCCCCAAAAATAAACAGCTCTCACCAGTTAAATTGTCACCCTTTATATCATCATCAATTATAATAAAATTGAGTTTAAAACTAGAATTGTGAAAAAAAATAGGGAATTCAATAAGTAAATTTGCAACTTGGACATAAATTGTACTAAAGGGGCATAGACGTAAATAGTTCGACTTTGTTTCGTGAAGGAAATCACAATTTTAAGCATAATTCACTTTAGAGTTACTAAATTATGTAGAAAAAAATCTAAAAAATTGATATTAATGCATGAAGAATTTTTTTAAAATATAATTTCTATAATTATTAAATACAAAATTTCTGTTAAGTTTATAGAAATAAATATTAAATAAAGACTTGCTTTTGGATTTTCTTTAATTCCCCCAATGAAGAATTTGGATACTTTAGGGTCTAAGTTGAAGACACTGTATGTTCCAGGCAGGAATCCTTCAACAACAGAATCTTCTTCTTTGTCAGTCCTCACAGTTATGGAGCATGTTTTTCCAGTTCTATTCATATAAAAAACCTTTTTTTTTATCAACGTCTATACTTTAAAACTCAATCATCAACAGTTAATTCATAAATTATCTGTTAAATCTTGACATAAAATTTTAAATTACTATTGAATTTGCATATTTTGCATATTGCATATTTTGTTTTGTATAAATGCTCGTACAATAATTTTTTAAACACGTTTTTTAAATCTTTTATTCCCTCAAAATATTGTGAAATGTTTAAGAAAATGTAATGTTACTTAATGTAATATTACTTTGTGAAATGTTTAAGAAATTCATGTTTTGACTTTTTTCTAAACACGCGAAAGATTAAATGATTCAAACTTTAAACGATATTCATAAATTAGTATACATAGTGCAATTTGTAAAATATTAGTTATAAGTAATTGTATTTTTAACATGTCAAAGAACAGCTTATCCAGTAATTCGTAAGAAAAGAAATTTTCAGAAAAAAAAGAAATTATACGCATCATATAGTAAATAAAAAAAGTTTCATGTAAATAAATTATGTAACTCCACCATTTTAACAGTAAGGGTTTGAAAAAAGTTGTGTTCTGGTGTTATTTCGATAAATTTTTTAAGAGTAAATTTCCTGCAATACTGAAAGTAAGAGATTTAACCTGACATATTTATCTATTTGTAAAACATGTTCAGTATTGAATTAAAATTTATAAAAAAACAAATTGTGAGTAAAATTAGCTATCATTTGTTACTCCACAAAAATTCACGGAACTAAGGCCAGAATATAATTTTTAATTTATACTGTTAAAATCGTATTTTTTTTTTTTTTTAATGATAGTGGAATCTTACTCCTAAAAAATTCCTTAAAATAATGCCAGAGAATAAGTTTTTTAAAATTTAACTGTTAACCTAAAAACAACTCATCAATTTTTATTTAATCTAATAACGAGGGAAAAGAAATTTCGCAATCTAGAAAAATTTGCAGGTCAAAATTATACTTTTTACGTAAGTCAGTTTAAAAAAATGATTCAGTAAAAGAAAATATCGATGCCAATATTCAGAATGGGTACAGTGTTGTACAACATCACCCTGAATTACATTTTAATTACATCACTCATAACTCATCAGAATTATTTATCGTTAATTTTTGTATAATAAAGAAAATTAACTCAAATGCTTTTTCAACAATGAAAAATGGTCTGAAGCTTCTACTACTTTATAAAATTTTAAAATGATAAAATAAAGGAGACATTTTATCCTAAAAAAAAAATATTTCAAATAAAACTTACAATTCCAAAGAGGATATGCCTCATCACAGTTCAAACTACAAGTCACCATTTTTCCGTCTAGCTTCCAGTTTTATTTTGCTTCATTTTATAACCGTCGTTGAGTAACCAACACAATTGTAAGCTTACGGCTACCAATGTTCAATTCCGCAGCTTTGTAATTCCGAACCCAACCCGGAATACAAGGAAACTCTTGGATCAAGTATAGGAATAAACTAGCTTTCGTGGAGGACTTATTGATGGAACTAACTCATATTTGCAATACATGGAAAGACAAACCACGGAAACTTCCTGCAGTTAGCCCGATGGCAAGGGGATTCTAACCCAGGATCCATCTACCACTGAGGATATTTTACGTCAGCACTATGGTTTGTGCGAGACAGGAACATAATTCGTATCAACCAGTGACCCCTGGGATTCGAACTTGGAGCACTTCATTGGGGGATAAATGCTCTATAACCTAAGCCACTTTTGCTCCTTCCTGTTTCATTGAAATATCCTCATAGAGGCATTTAATTGAAATCTTTTCTTTACACTAATAATATTGTACAATGTGCATTCCATTATTTAATACAAGGCTGAATCATGACAGCAAATTTACAAAAAACAAAATATTAACTAGCTTTTACTGAAAACATTAAATTGAATCATTTTTGAAATAACCATTTTCAGGACGGTTAAAAGTCTCAGAGAAAGAAAATCCACAACTTTTCTAGGCTGACTTTATTGAACTTTGCTGATATTGCAATCAGTGGCATAAATTTATTACTTTTTCAGTTTCATATAAAATGTATAACAAAGCACCTATACCTCAATATAATTGAAAATAAAAAATTTAGATTTAAAAAAAAAATATTTCAAGAGCAACTGATTTATAAAATAGATTTTTATGTACCTCAAATTAACTCACTTTCCCAGACTTTCTGAGCATTTTTGTGAATTTCCTATATTTTTCTAGAGTGATAAAATTTTCAGATATTATTCTCTGTAGTTAGTAGGTATTGATGGCAGAAAAATCATTTAAAAAACTTTAGTGATACCAGAAGAGAGAACATACCTTTCAATAATGACTTGATGCCACCTGCCATCTGAAACATATGTTCCATGATTGATTATTTCAGATCCTGATCCAATGTCCATTATCAATACCAGTAGACCCGCTCTGATTTCTAAGGCTAAATAGTCATCCTATGTGAAATAACTCACACTTATTGATGTCATATATTTCTATTGAACAAATAGTAAAACAATCTTTCGAAAAGTAAAACAGTCTTTTATTTTTATTAAATCAATGATTTAATTTTATAGATGGTTAATTTAGCTAATATCAGATAAAGAATAAGTATTTCTTTAAGGAAAAAAAAGTAATGGTAGAAACTAAATGTGAATAATGTTTGGCATTATGTATTATAAGAGTAGTTGTGGTATATTTTATTAGTGTATATATATATATACACACACACATATATATATTTATAAATAATTAGTATGCTTGTTATTGTGAATACAAGATTAGCCATTTAAATATTTTTCATGTGCGAAATTTTTTTTGCATTTTAATGAATGTAATTTAAACATGTTTCACTAAAATAAACTAAATTTCATAAAATTATTTCTATGTTTGGCCTAAGCTGGTTTAAATAGATTGGATAATTATGCTATTAATAAAATTAGATTGAAATCACTTCGTTAAAAAAAAAAATTGCTTTAACAAAATTTTTATTTTTATTTTTAGAAAGAGTATCTTTCACTTGGGAAGGAAGAAACCTATTTCCTTGAGGACTCTTTTTTGTATTGTACATTCCACTACTTACCATCCCTGACACAAAACAATAGATAGATAAAATGAACAAATAAATGATGCTATTTTTCATACTTTATTTGTGTAAACATATTTCAATGTGATTATTTTGTTCTTTGCACCCTATCTCCCCTCCCTCCTCGACACACAACTAGATTGAAGATAAATTAGAAACCCAAAAACTACCTTTTCATCTCAACAAATAGAAGTAACACTGAATTCTATTAAACAGTTGACTATTGTAGTTTAATGAGAATAGGGAAGGAAAGAAATTGAAAACATTAGAGGTTTGACTTACAGTGATAACATTCTTCATGCGATTGTGTGCACCTTTCTCATTTCCAATGAATGCCAACAATCCATATCGCTCTGTTGTTTTGAAATACAAAGAGAGGTGGGTGTAGGTGGCTGCCTTTTGCAGACCTTCAGGATTCCTTAGCTGCAAAGTGGTGTTCTCAAAGAACTGCACGCCCAGTTTTATCTGGAAAAAATATGTCAATATAGAAGAAATCATTACCTTATACTGATTGTTCAATCACTTGCGTAATCAATGTTGTTGCAGAAGACCATTGTTAAGGAGCTATTCGAACATACAACAAACTAGCGTTTGTAATAATCGTTTATTTTTGCTGACAAGGGGTGGAAGAGGTATGTGAAATGCATTGAAGAAGTAATGTAAGACACCATTTTAAAAACTTTTAAATTCAAAAGAAAAGAAAAATTCATGATAAAAAAAATTTTGAACAAAAACCAATATCATTTTTCAGTCATCACTAACGAATGCACGAGGACAGTCTTTAGTTACAAAACAGCGGTGCTGCTTCCCAATCCAGAGAGAGTATATAAAGACTTTACTAATTGATGTTTGTTGCAATTCTTTTGTTAACTATTCGCTAGCATGTTATTCTGTTAAACTTATGTTTTAGTGTTGGATTATTAAATATAGTTTTAAGTCATCATGATTCTTCCTTGAGGATGCACACAATATAACAATTATGCTTGAAAAAACTTTGAGTTTGAAATAGAAGTTAAGTTTGAAGAAAGAAAATGCAGAAAAAACATTTCTTCTAGGGAGTTTCAGAGGTAAAGATTTTAAACCACTAAAAGAAAACATAAAAGATTTGTAAATAATATTCTTCTAAAAAATTTATGAAATTAATTCAATTATAAATCATGTTTTTTTTACAAAGTTGCAAAGTTAGAAAGTTGTGTAGTTATCCAAAACTAAGAAATTGGCCACACAATTTTCAAGCAACAAAACTTCAAAAAAAGTTCTTTTCTTTTTAAACTTTCATTCATTTAAAACTATTCAAATAATTTGATTCAAATTTTAGATTTTGTCATTTAATATTACACACTTTGAATAGAAAAATTGATTGATGAAAGTTTAAACCAAAAATGAAAATTCATAAAAGTTGAAATTTTCGCAAGTGTCAGAAGAACTTTTTTAGCAACCTAATAATAAATTCTATTAATGTAAGTTTATTGTAAATAAATTCTTTTATATTGAATGCATAATCCTTTTTGTGTTTATTTCAAAAATAAAATTATCATTGCTGTATTTAGACTTATTGTCAACTATAATATACAAACATCTTTATTAGTACTTATTCTAATGTTCCATGACTTAATGTTTTAGAATACTATTAAAGAATTTATAATTTTTTTACTTTTTAGAACATATTTGTTTCTGAGCTTGTGATTTCGAAAACTCGTTATCCCGAGATATTTTGAACGTCCCTTCAACTTTGAGATACAGAGAGTATACTCTATTATATTTTCGATCTTATATGAATTACATAAGAATTTTGAACTATGCATTTGAACAATTCTTGTTCTCAGAGCTAATTTCATTTCCCAATAATAGTTAAGTTTTTTTATAAGTATTTTTAATGCAGAATTTTTTTATTTGCATGATAATACAGAACTGCATATTTCTTTGCTTCTATTTCTCAACATTAATTTTCTGGACCAACTAAAAATTTTACAAGCATTACCCTATTAGCCTGTGTTCGTGCAACGGCTATCTTCTGTTGTAGTTTGGCCAACTTTTCGGACACGTCAGTTCCAATAATCTTCAGAGCAGACTTTCTCTTTCCGACCCTCTCTGCCAGAACATTCGTTTCAGGCAAGATGGAGGACACTCGATCAGCTGGAAAACAAGTAATTATCAAACAGGGAATAATCATCTACCCGAGTACTATAGGGCAAAACTAACGGTCACCACCGGCCAAAGTGACTAAACATAACAAAGGGCGATTGAAAATGTGTTATTAGTTGGGACATTTTTTTTGTCAAAAATCCAACACTTGTGTATTTTATTAATATTTTTTTTAATAAATATGGAATTATGAATATTTTATAATATTATGAAAATTACTTTATTTTAAATACTTGTTTCTCAAAATTTTTCTTCATTTTAGAAATAAAACTTTTAATGTTAACCATATTTTAATCGTTTAAAATTTTCTATCCAGAAACGAAATTTTCAATTTTGCCCTATAACGAGTACACAAAAGTAACCTTTTACCTGGCATTAGAAAATTTATTTGGACTGGACTATTGGGTCAATTTTTGGATTGTTTGGATTTGAAATTAAGAAATACTTACCATAACTGTGCCCAGCTTTAATGGCTTGTTTAGCTTCTTCAACATCTTTTGGTATCTGGTGAGCTCTTTTCTCATCCTTAGGAAGGTTATCAGTTAGGCTCTCTAGTTTTTTGATGGCTTTCTCTCCTAATTCATCAGCAATAGCAGAGTTATTGGCAGCTACTTCAGCCAATACTCCCAACGAATCTAATGAAAAATTTACCATGCTGTTATCGCCTGAATAATACATACAGGGTGTTTTGTAATAATCGCCATTAATATATATTTTTAGAATTCTGATCAAAAATGAAGTAAAAAAGGCATATACATTATGGATCACAAATCAGTGGGGGAACAAAACTAAAACACAATTGAAATTTAGCAAAACAGTAGTGGAAAAATTTGGATTGAAAATATCAAAAACTTTTGATTCCCAGAAAGAAAAAAAAGAAGGCAATTGTTAGAATCATCTCTAAGTTTGGTCAAACAATAATTTTCATCCAACTTTTTTCAAAAATTGATTTGGCAGATTTTGGTCAAATTTTTTAAATAATTTGCATTCCCTATTGTGTACATTTTCCCCTTCATTTTTCACAAAGATTTTAAAAATGTATATTAACTGTTCTGATTGCGAAATACCCTGCACAACTCAGCATACTTCAGACGCATGAATAGATGAAATGGTAGATTTTTAGCAAATTACGCAAAATTAGAAGGTTCTAGCTTTTTTGGCTATTCTTATGAATACTTGGGATGAATTTTAAATTTTATTCACAATGCTAAGGTCAACACAGTTCACATGAAAAGAAAGTTTGAAAATTTGGAAGTTAAAATCTGAATGAAAAAAGGATCTATTTAGAAAGTTCACTTTAAATAAATTGCTCAAATGTAAAGTGGTAAGAATTGCAAACCACAATTCTGATGTGGAACAATAAATGATGTCAAAAAGTATGCACCACATTATTTGAATAAAAACTACACATAGGCAAATTCATGACACTGGATGTGCCATGAGGAATAAGATGGGCAGAATTACTTGCTTCAAGTCACACTATAAACAAGAGAGGCTAGATTGGACCCACAAGTACATGGATACAAATTGATTAATGTGCTGCGCAGCAAGGGTGCTATTAATGTGCTGAAAGCAAAATGTTTTAAACATCAGTAGCCAGATATATTTCATACACTACAGGATTTAGGATTCATTAGTTTAGCATTTTTCATTTCGTCAAATCTTGATTGACAGTTAAGGTACACAACTAACTGTCAGAGATATATTAGGTGGGTCAAAGACCAAAGTGGTTTTTACAACAGAAGAATACCAGCATATATAAAACTTCACAACAATGGCCCTTATTTAGTCCTAACCAAAAACTCATGAAATCTGGGGTATGGTTACAAAAGTTGTATCTAGGAAAAGAAATCTGTACTTAGTATGTAATAGTACTGGAATGGAACATTAAAAAATCATGGTAAAATATCCAGAATCAATGTAAAGTTTTGTATTTTAAATCAAAAATCATTATTGAAAATTAAAAAATTTTGAAGTTAGTTTTAAAAAAAATTCCACATCAGTTATGGCAATTTTACATTTTATTTTCTCTGAATATTGACAAACTTTAGTAGTGTTTAAAATTGGGAAAAAATGTGAATTATGATTTTTTCTAAATTGTATTATTTAGTAATTATACTTTTTTTCCCTTTAGGTGCATTTTTCCATAAATTTAACACACTTTCGGTAAACTCATAGCAAAAAAATATACATTATTTAAGAATTTATAGAAAAATTTTGTGTGTACCCAAAAAACTTGTAGCACGCTGTAAAAAACAATAGTTACTCGGCATATTTTTGATTTCATTTTTTATAAAGTTTTCAAAAATACTGCAGACACTATCCTGGTTACTACTGATTCTAACCAATATCTTCCAAACATTTCAGTTAAAGATTACTTTGTCAGAGGTAGGGAATTAGTAAAAATTTGAAAACAAAACAGCAAATTTAATAATTTGAAATTTAATACTGTTGCTTTTCAATAGAAATGTAAAACTTTATATCAGTTAAGATGATCTTAGACTTAAATGTTTTCTACAATATGAACATGCTGCATCCATTTTTTATGTATGCAATCTTCTCATGGTGGACACTAAACATAAAAATCCTTATAATTATAAACAAACATACAAAGTGGTAATTTCTCCAAATCCTTTTTTATAGCATCTAAACCCTTTTCTGTTTTCCCATTTTGGTAACCAATCAGAAGAACTCCTTCTCTTGCTTTCTGCAACTGTGGTTTCAAAGAAGTGACCTCTCGATCCAGAAGAAAAGCCGAATCTATTAACTGATTGGTAGCGTCTTTCGAACCTGTAGTCTTGCCTAAAACTCCATCAGACTGCAAAAACAAACCCTCATTATTCATCAGAAATATTTACTTCACATTTTTCAAAGGAAACAAAAGGTTAAATTAAAGCAATGCTATAGTTACTGGTCAGAAGGCATACTGTTTAAAAATTGGGAAAAATCAGATATAGAACAACTGAATACTCATGTATCATGGAAAGGATGATGGGCGATTCCATGATGTTGAATGTAAAAAATAAATTTAAATTTCCTAGAACAACTACATTAATAAACTGTAAATTAAATTTAATACTAGTAAATTTGTATATAAGATACTTGTTACACAAAATTCTGTAAAAAAAAGAAAGAAAACAATTTATTTTATAAAATCAAACAATAAGCTCAAATTAAATGGTTTAGACAGCTGGTGTAACATCTAAATCACACATAAAAAAAATGATTTGTTCAAATTATTTCGTCTAAATTCTGCGAGTTAGTTAAATGTTAACCAAATTAAATTTTAAATTTGACTATAGGCTTTTAGAAAGTTCTTGAAAATCTAATCTGTCATTAATTAGAAATTATTTATCTTGGTGACAGGATTTTTAGTATGGTTAATGTAAAGATGCTTTACATTGACCAGACATAAAAAGAAGTAATTATTCATTTACAAAAAATATTCAATATTTAGAAAAGTAAAATAGATTATACTAATGAGCGATAGAAACTTGCTTTAAATCAAAATTTTTATTTTATTAGCTTTCATTTTATTTGCTCAGTACAATTAATTATGAATTTCTTAGTTAGATGTAAAATATCTAAAGTACCTCATATTAATTCTTGTAAAAAATAAAAACCCGCCAGTAACTAACTTTAAGAGAAATAAATTTCTTAGTTAAATTTAATATTTCTAAATTTTCCACTTTTTTCCTTAAACACATTCATGCTGTATCTATCATTAAAAGTGGTCATAGATAAAAATAAATTAAAAGTTAAATTTTTCTATTTTAGCAATTGTTTTAATTTTAAAATAAGTTTATTTCAATTAACAATGTGTTATTTGTCAGGAAAAGATTTTCTATTTTGTAGAAAAATAGTCTACATTTTGCTACCGCTCGATATGTTTTAGCAACACAAACTTCCAAAAAGAATTTTGTTTTGGGCTAGTCAGCAAAAGTGTTAAAATGGTACTTTGTTTGCTTATAAAATATTTATTTTGAGATTTTCCTCATCAGATTGACCTAAAGGTTGATGAAAATTCTCAGAGCTTAATATTTCCCCTAAAATATTAGGCTTTGTTTTTTTCTGAACTTTTTGGTTAGAAATTTTCCCCAAATTATAAGCGCTCTTTTTTCTTATTTTCAATAATTTTTTCTTTAACAAAGAAAAAATAATCATTTGATTTTACAGGATTCTTGAATAAACTATGTGTTTAAAATAACAGAAATCGAAATATATTGATATGGTAGTAATATTTTATTAAGCTAAATTTAAGGTCTCACTCAAGTGTAAGGAATTAAATCAAAAAATTTACAAATTGATACATAAATTTATGCTATATTTAACATGATAACATATATATTATGTTAACGTAACCTTTTCTTTTTAGACAGTCAGTTGAGGAATTTAAAGAGAAGTAAAATAGTCGCGACTCTCTCACTCATAAACAGTTAAATGTATAGAGGACTATTCTCATCCAAAAAAAGATATAATGAATAATAGTCATGGAGGCTGCAGATAATTTGCTAAGAAAATTTAACTTTGATTTTATCTTTATAGATTACCCCTTTTCAGTGACAGATATGGTATAACCACCTGAACTCCATTGGCAATTAACGTGTTAAACTGCCCGTCTATAATTATATTTAAAAAAATTCTGCGATAATAATCAGAATAAAGCAGAATTAAATTATTCAAATAACTTACTTTCTATAGTGATTCTTTTTTTCTCTGAGTTATGACATTGCGGCAGTACAAAATAAGCGAGCCAGAAAAAATTCTTTTATTAAAAAATAAGACTTGAATAAAATGCTTTATTTGAAATGAAAAATATATATTTAAAAGACAGCCGGAATCTAAAAATACACAAAATATTGCTTCAGGTTTATTTTTATATTACTGCTCTAGTCTAAGAACTTATCCAAAATGAACCCCAACCTATTCTTATTTTTTTTCACAAAGACGATAAAACATCTACATTTTTCATCCTATATCCAATTCATTGCTCATTTAATCCTTCCCAACTGTAAAATGACTCTTCGTTTGAATTTGCATTGTATAAAATAGTTCAAGTTATAGTAAATTTACATTTTAAAGTTTGAAATGGGGGGGGGGGAATTAATCATAAAAAATTGTTAAGATTTGCCTTTGGCTAATACTTTTGATATTTGTCAATTTACTGGCTAATATTTTGAAGCCCTGAAGCAGTGTGAGTCCTGAAGATGGTATACATAGTTTGAAATTATAACTTTTTCTCAAGTGTCTGTACAAAATTTTGTGCCCTACTGAGGGCAAATTTTATTTCTATGGAAATAAAGTTTCTGAATTTTGTATTTAAATAGCATTGCCTATTTCAATAGCACAGCCTTTTTTCTCTACATTTTGCTCATTGGCAGAAAAAGAGTTTAAATAAAAATCACATAAAAAGTCAAAAAGTATTTGGTTTTCTTTGAGAAATATTGACTTTCCTATAAACTTTCCTCTCAGATCACTTATCAAACACCCCCATTAAAATGAGAAAATAATATTTTACAGTAGTTAGATGTCACCAACAGGCCCTAACACAAAGGAGGAAAAATAGATCTGTGCAATTTAATAAGAGCCTGTTTCTAAGCTAAAAAACAATTAATGTCAAAATTTGCATTTATAAATTTAAAAACAGTGACATGTTAAAAATATTTTGAGATGCAACACGCTTTATGCATGAAAAGTAACTTGATTTTACGTGGGTTTCTTTTTCTGAAATTATTCTGAGTAAGTAATGCAAATTTTTTTCTATATAGCATAAAGGTCATTGTTTAAACACAAAAAAATAACACACATATTTTTAATCTATGTATGGAATTCCACAGCTCCATCTTGCTAGCATGTTAAGCTCACTTAATCAGATTTTGTAAATTAAGTTTATAACCTGTCATATGACTAAGTTAATTTACTAAATGTAATTTAAAAACATACCATTGTTTCTGCAGATTGAGAGGCAGTGAGAGCAGATTCTGCAGCTAAGTATGCATCATTGATAGCCTCACCTATGTTAGCATAAGCATTAGCTGCTTTTACAGCAGCTTCTGAACTGTCTCTGGTGTCAGACAAAGACCTAAATAAATACACAAATATCTATGTTAAATTAAGTACAAACAAACATAACTAAATTATTTTTTTAAACCTGTGTACACCAAGCAAAAGCTTAGCACATAAAGATTATTGATTCACACTGTGTGTGTCGATCAAAAACATTAATTTCAAATTTACTAAATAATATGTAAACGTTACCGTGAATAACCGAAATCAAGAGAATGTCGACAATCACTTAGTTGCTTTGGTGAATGTCCAAAATATTTGTTATATCCAATTTGATATTAATTTATTCGTTGATATTAGTATACTTATTCAATATTTTAATATCTGCTAAGGAAAGATAAGGAGAAACATCAGTGTTTGGAGTACCAGTTAAATGCATACTGCGGAGTGGCACGTGACCTTAAAAAAAAAGTGTAGGGTATACCGAGCAGTGACACTTAAGTAGATCTAGTATATATTTCAGACATTTACCAAAGCGATTATGTGTGTGTTTCATATGGCTTGATTAGGAATTCAATCCAGAAAATTTGACAGCTCACTGCATCACAAAGGAGCAGAAAAATAACAAAGAAACAATTCAACAATTTAGGTAAAGTGAACAAAAAAGAGCAATAAACATTTGAATCAATAAACATTTGAATCAATAAACATTTCAACAATATAAAATTTTAAACATTAACATGAAAAAGGTAAAGTTAATGACAATTCATGAGAGTTCTTGCGTCCCAATACAATTTAGTGACATTACCACTTTTCTGGGAGTTCCTATCTAGTCCCTTGCACAACAAGAGGTGATCAGAGTTTAATACACCCGTGTCACAAATTGGGCATGTTTTGCTGGGAAGAATTTTTATGTTATATAAATGTTCTGATAAGCAATCGTGGCCTGTTTTAAGCTTAAAATGGGTTACTGCTTTGTTACGGGGTTGGTAACAGTAAAATGTCCAATTGTCTTGAATATTTTCCCATATTTTGCCTTTCGATTTTATAGTTAAATCATAATTATTTATTTCGTTGAGTTTTTTCATAACATATTTTTTAAGAGTATCAGGTGTGACGGTTGTTATTTCTTGAGGTATAGTTGTTCCGTTTTTTGCCAGATAATCTGCGTTCTCATTACCTTCGATACCAATATGTGAAGGGATCCACTGTATAACTATAGTTTTATTCATTTCCTTGAGGAGGTTTATATCGAGCTGAATTTCGTTTAACAGCTTAGTTTTAAAACATTGGTGTTCTGTGATTGCTTGAATTGCAGAAATTGAGTCTACCAATAGAACTTGTTTTTAGGTTCTGTAATGCTAGATAAATTGCTCGGATCTCTGTATCAAAATTGGTCATATAATGACCCACGGGGGCGCTTTGGGAAAATAATCTACAAAAAACACCAGCTCCAGATCTATCTTGTATCTGAGATTCATCGGTATGTACATGTAGCCAGTCGCTTTCCGGGTATTTTTCGCAGATCATTTGCAACGCAGTTGCCCTCAGCTCTGCCTCGATACTGTCTTTTTTCCTTATGTTCCCTACAGTCAAGTTGTTTTTGATGTCCACATATTCAAGTGGGTTGATAATTTTATATGTGCTTTTAGTAGGAATGTTACCATCGAGATCTTGAAGTGTGTTTTGACATATTTCTACTGGTGAAACTTAAGTTTTGAGAGTACTGGGTTCCTGATTTAGAATTACTTATCTATTTTGATATAGAATCAAAAATGAATATTTTAATATAAAAATATATAGATTAAATATTTATTTATTTTTTGATGAATGACTACATTTATAAACACAGTCTGCTACATTTATTTTGTCACTTTAAAAATCAAGAGAAAAAAAAAAGAAATCACAATTTTAAATTAAAGTTATGGTTTGCTAACTGAAACTTTGTTTTAATAGTTAAAGCACAGGGGTCTGTCCAAGCCGGTACCTTTACAAATTCAACTTTAGGAAAAATGATAGAATAATCACACAAAATACTTTTTCTTAAAATTTTATTTTTGTGTCTCGTAAGAAACAATAAATCCATATTTTTACTATATTTGTGTTGATTTTTTAATATAATTTTTAATTTTCACAAAATAGGTACCTCTCAGAAANACCCTGAAAGTCAACAAAGACTGCCAAGGAGCTTCTTTTAGAATTGAACCCTGTTTTGATCTTATGAACTAACTTCATTATTTAATTATTTGTAGACATACTGCATCTGAATCCTGCCTGTTCTTCGTGGTGTAGTTCTTTTGATTCAAGTAAAAATTTGAGCCTGGAGGATAAAATTTCTTCGAGTGTTTTGGCTAGAATAGATATCAATGATATTGGTCTATAAGCTTCAGAATTTTCATTTGGCTTCCCTGATTTTAAAATTAGGATGAGGTTTGCTTTCACCCAGTCGGCTGGTAAGCTAATATTTTTGCTCCAAAACGTGTTATAAATGAAGAGTAGGAAAATCTTGGTTTTTTCACTTAGGTGTTAAATAAACTCAGGGAAGACTTTGTCTGGTCCTGGTTGTTTACCTGTTTGAATATTTTTAATTGCTTGGTTGAGTTCTGCAATTGAAATTTTTTTACTAAAATGGGGTCCATTATGTTTCTCTCTGAGTAATTTGTTCTAAGCTGTGTCTTCTCTTTCTTCTTTTATTGTTTACTTAAGGAGAATTTATTGAGAAAGCATTCGTTGAATTTTGTAGCTATTAAACTTGGATCTCAGATCTCTTTGTCTCCAAAAACCATTAGGTGGTTAACTTTTGGAGTTCTTTTGTTGTTGAGACTGTTAATTAAAAGATAGGCTTTTTTCCCATCTACCCGATAGTCCATCCTATTAAGGAATTCATTCCAAGTTTCTCTTTTGGCTTCGAGAACTTTCTTTTTCATGACGGCATTTTCGAGTCTCCATTTAATAACATCTACGCAACATTCCGCTTCTGTTTTATTCACAGCTTTTTTTGCTCTCAGCCTAGCTTGGTCCCCGATGGCCTTTTGTTTGGCTAGTTTGTCATTCCAAAAAGGCTCATATGATTTCATTCTTCCGCGTGGGATATGTTTTTTTGCACATTGAAGAAGAATTGTAGAGAAGGATGAAGCTCGTTTGTATGGTGATGTTTCATTCATTATGTTACTTATTTTTCCTTCAACCTCTGTAGTAAAGTCTTTCCAGTTAGCCTTTTTAAAGTTCCACATAATTTTTGATGGGGTCTTAGTGAGTTTCAACTTTGTTGTAATTGAGGTCTTAATCATTCCGTGTCCACTGGGCATTGTTCAACTATGGGCATTGTTCAACTATGTTTGCATAAACCATACTTAGGTCTGGATTTGTCGAACTTCCTGAGTAATGGATAAAGATGTTTGGATCATCTTTATCGTATAAAAGAAATAATGCATTGGTACCAATAAAATCTTCTACAATTTGCCCTACCTGATTCTGATCAGAGTAACCCCAGTTTGGGGATGCTCCATTGAAATCCCCTACAATAATTGTATTTTTGAATGGAGTTAACATGTCTAGGTTAAGATTGTTGTTATTAGGAGGGCTATAAATACCATAAACTTTGAAATGGGCATTTCTGTTCCACATGCTAATCTCCACAATCTCTGATGAATCATTGTTGATTATCTCTTTCACCACTTTGAAAGTTGTGGTTAATTTATTTTTAATTGCAACAAGTATACCACTGGCAATTTGCCTGGATTTAAAAAGTCCATGCATAGTATAATTCTTTATATTATATCTTTTAATTTTCTCTTCTATGATATTTGCTTCTTGTATTATTAGGATGTCAACATCCTCTTCAAAAACAATTTTCTTAATTTCCTCAAACTTGGAGATGAAAATGACTCCAGCATTCCATTGTAGTATGGAAAAACAAAACTCTTTCATTTCCTTCGCTTTGCCACTAGCTGCCACAGCCGAACGCTGTTACTCATTTAGCACCACCCAGGATGCACGTGTGAATTCTGGAATTTTAGGGATGCAATTATGTGATTGTCAACATTCACCAGAAGTCAACAACCACTTATTTCTGTCATTCACAGTAACATATATAAACAACTATGAGTCCTTTTATATTAATTCTTTGTGCCTACAATCTTTTTCCTTCTTTATTAACCAGACCAAAAACTTTTCTCGTTATAAAAGAATCTCATGATTAAAAATTTGTTTCCTCTTAAAAAGATCTTAAGCATTACACTTCTTACAAATAATTATCATAAAACTTCCATCCTTCAGCAAGTAAATATAATTTAGCTTCAAGGAAAAGAAGCAGTTAAAAGTATTAAATTTTCCTTCTTCATCTTATTACAGAATCTTTTCTAAATATTTTTAAAATAAAAAGTAAAGTACTTGAGTTCTGTGTGAATTCCAGAATATACAGTCAAGCTCAAATGGTGTTCAAGTCTCCGCCCTGCCTGATTAATGAGCGCACACTTGATCACAAACTTTGCATTACTTTTACCTCCAAAATATAACCCTTGCTATGTCACTGCTAAGAAGTTCTAGAGTTGAATTTTCATAGAAACTTTTACTGTTAAGGTGTGAAGAAACTTTCTTTTTAAATATTTCAAATTTAAAAATACATATTTTCAAAAAAAAAAAAAAAAATTTCAGATCTTTATTGGAAAGCATACAATTGAAATGGGTGATAAACCATATATCTGCTGTAAAATTTAAAAAAAAAAAACAATCCAAGTGCTTGCCAAATGTTTTCAAGAAGAGCTGCTCAACAACTACAGCATCAACTAATAAATAATAATATATTTTTTAAAAACTGAATAAAATACAGATTTATGAAATTTTTTTTGTTTGTTTTGCAGTACATAGCTTATAATACAATGACAAAAACATAAACAGCCGGGAAGTTTTCTTATTGTTTAAAATAAACTTAATAAGAAAATTTCATTAAAAAATAGCATTTTCTTTTAAAAAAATATTTATTTTTTTTATACTTGTTGTTAGATTATTAGAAAATGCAACATTAATTTTTAAAAGTTGCTAAAATTGCACTGTCAAAAACAAAAATCAAGTCCTATAACAAAAATTAAGTCACATAAGAAAAAGAAAAAAAAAAGAAAACTGGTTTCGCATGATTTTATAATCAAACATTAGCTTCCTCATTTACTATTTTAATTTCTTATTAACCTCTATTGTAAATTTTAAGCCATATATATAAATAACATGCAAGCTATAACAAAACAAATTGTTTACTCTTCTAGTTGATCAGCCTGATCCTTTAAAAATTTTGCATGCTCAGATGCTTCATTGACCAGATCTTTTGTATCCTGAAAATTTTGTTCAGTGTCTTTCAACTGATCCTTCAAGTCTATCATTCCAAAGGCCAGGCGATCAGATTTCAAACCAAGATCCTTTGGTGGGAAGAAAGTAAAATTAGGAACACTCATTTTTTTTTCAACAACATTTTAGAAGGAGGTTATGTATTAATAAGAAAGCAATGAGCAGTGTTAGCCCCTTAAACTGTTATTATAAATTATTTTTGCTAAACATATTGATAAAAAAAGGCATGTTTTTTGTCGAGTTTAATTAAACACCATTGAAAAAGAGATGGGGAGAGAAGTGATTCTCCAGCTCTTGTATTATTTCAGTGCCCTTCCTAAGCTCTTTTAAAAGGGCGGCTTGCCTTGCTTACCCTTTGATCCCTATAAATGTGCCCTCTTTGTAAAAATAAGCTGCCATCCCTTAAAAACCCTGCCTTTTTATTCATATTGGGGAATGTCAAAAAAAAAGTTACTAAAAAAATTATTATTATTATTTTTAATTTAACTTGGGTCCTGCCACAGACTGTACTTCGACAATTGGTGAACCGTTGGTAATATATCCTTTATTTAACCTAAACAAGAAGGTTGTATTCAGTAAACAAACAATGGGTATAAAAAAGGTTTGTAATTGCTAAATTGTGATATCTGATATTCTTATGAAAACAAATTTAAAATTTTAGAAAATTTTGTTGAGACATACAAACTACAGTACATTTCAAATTTATAGTGAAATAAAATGATCAGTATACATAACATAAGCAAAATACGATTTGTTTATTTTTTCTTTCTCATTGAAATCACTATCCATTTTGATGCAGTGTTCTACCTAAGCGTTTTTTTAGGGCAGCTCACCTTGCCTGCCCATTGATCCTATTAAATGCGCCTTTTACTTAAAAATAAACTGCCATTCCTTAAAAGCACTGCCTTTTAATTCACATTTCATGTTGAAAAAAAATTAATTCCTTGTTCACATAATTACACACTGGTAAAATTATCTGTGTTTATGGGTTTAATTCTGATTACTATTACTCATATTTACTTTGTTCGGATCATTATCAACTCGTTCAATATCTCTTTTATTTGGTGCTATTAATAAATTTTTAATAATTTTAAATTTTGAAATTATTTTTTTAAATAAATACATTTTTTAAAAAAATGCACCTTTGTATGTTTATTTTCTCATAATTTTTAGTTTAAATTATAGAAAAAAGCTTTCAAGTTGCTTACTAATTAATAATTTATTTTAGTTTATATTTTTCTTTAAAAAATTTGCCAACGTCCAACAGTAGGAATTCTTCTGTTTTGTTCATATTTTTGGCCACGCCTTACCCCTACCTGAAATATACTAATCCTGTAGTGTACCTACTTGAAACATACTAATCCTGTCAATTGATAGCAACCGTAATGCATCAGATGGTGGCTATTCGGTAAGACAGACAGTACCTACTTTCTACCTCTGCCCTTTAGCCTCCTCCTGTCTTATGCAGAGTTGGTGATTTGTCTCATTTCATATTGCTATCGGGCATTGTAAAAATTTAGTTACTATTTAACAAATTCTGATATTTTACTAATACACGGTTTTATTGTATTTTAAGTAAGTATATGCTTTTTAAGGATACTAAACTCTCTTTTAATGCTTTTAGACTAATTTTAATTTCATGACTTTGAAATACAAAATCCTAAAAAAATTTTTTGCAGGTATACTCTATATGCAATTAAAAAAAGTTTTCAAAAAAGAGGAAGAAAAAAAAGACTACAGTGTTTAGGATTCATGACAGCTGCATACAACAGACCTGAAATTTTGAAAAGAAGAAACACTTCCCCACATCCTTCCTTCACAAAGAAAAATTCGGATGGAAAGTATTTCAGAGAACAAGCAAGGTCATTTGGTGAAACATTTTGATAATTTCATTGGAATCAAAGATACAGGAAAACCAGCAAAGAAAAGGAAAAAATATTGATTCACGTAATGTCAAAACTGTTGGGGACAACTTAAGGATGCACTTACAGCGTACGGGCAAACCAGTTAGGCAGGTACTTCATTTACGTCGCATTAGAGCTGCACAATGGGCTATTGGCAACGGTATGGGAAACATCCCCGAGGATAATCCGAAGACATGCCTTCCCGATTTCGATCCTTCGCATAGGGGATGGGCAAACCAGTTAAGAAGACAGGTAAAACCAAAGTAAAGAAAAAAAAGATTTCTAGACAGCTCAAATGTAAATTAGTAGTTGGCAGCTTAGGGTAGCAAGTATGGGGAAAATCAGTTAAGAACAAAAAAGTAAAAGTAAGTAACAATACAAACACTTACTCTGAAAACACTCGCGGTCAAATCATTTTCTGGGTGTTGTAGCAATTCAGAAGCATTTTTAAGCACAATATTTATCTCTTTAGATTCCATTTCGGCTTTCTGCAGTTTATCCTAAAAGAGTGTTTGAAATTACAACAACTGTGAATATCACATCTTGTATTTTCTGATAGCTACAACCTCAAAATAATAGACTTTTGTGCATCTTTTACTGTACGCCAAATCCTGAATTTATGTACATTTGTTACGAAACAAATTTTTAACTCATTATACTTCAGAGAAATATAACTTTATGGGAATTATTAAAGAGAAAATTTTGATGTTTTTGTAAAAAAGTAATCATGAATGTGCAGGAATGCCAACTGCTCATTTAGTTAAAGATAGCATATTAAAAATTTCAGAATTTGGGCTACTTTCCTTAGCTAACTTATAAATCGTTTATAAATAGTGGTGTCAAGATAACTTTAAATTATACATTAATGCATAAACTTTGCTACCAGTAAAAAAGATTTGCCTGTAATGTAGAGCAAGTTGGCTTCTATAAATCAGACATGTAATTGCTGGAAGAAGATATTATTTGAAATTTTCTTGCAATATGTTTTTTTCTGCACATAGAAGATAGATAAGAAACTCGTTTTCATAAAAGTAACATTTATAAAATTTAAAGGAAGAATTTTTTATCCAATAATTTTTTTCCCTCTTATATTAAACATGAAATATATATTTTTTAAAAAAAATGTTGTACCACCATTTGCATACTTAGAATCGCATTACAAAAAAGAAAAAAAGATTTTAAAATTTGTGAAATCTATGGCTAAATCTGAAAAAAAAGATTGATGATAAAAACAACGGGTATTGAAGGTGAAATTTCACACCATCTGATGCTTCAAAAAGTGGTTAGTTAAAAGTATGTTTCGAGATTCAATAATTCATGATACCATATTAAAATTATCCAGATTTTTAAAAAATAGACGGAAAATGGATTGAAGAAAACAATAGAATTATTGCGTCAAATAGTGAATATTCAGGTGTGTGATTTTAAATTTTCCATATCATAATAATATCAGGATTTTTAAAAAATGGCTCGAAAATCAACAGCAATAACTGCAAAAAAAAAAAAAAAAAAAAAAAAAAAAAAAAAAAAAAAAAAAAAAAAAAACTCCGATCGAAACACAGCATGTATTTAACGAAAATCAAGTGCATCAAAAAGTGTGTCGTAATAACATTGGAATTTTAAATGTCACGCAAGAAAATCAATTGCATTAACTGCGAAAGAAAAAAAAAGATCGAAACACGAAGCGATGGTATCAAGAACGCTGGCATGCCCGTTCGTATTGGAAATTTCCATGTTGAAATATTGTATTAAAAATTTTATTCAATTGTAACCAAATAAAAAGGGGGCCAAATATATCACATATGTTAAATAATGTGTCTGTTACAAATCGGAATTTGCTACTCATTGAAATTAGAATTACGTTTTAGTTTATTAATTTTATACTTTTGTGTTTGCCTTAGTAGTTCATTATTCCAGCAGAAGTTATTATGGAGTTTTTTTTCAGCCTCATTTACTCAAAGTTGCGTCTTAACTCTAACAAGTCTTCATTACAAAAAAGCCGTTGTAGCGCGATGAGAACTTAGGAAAAAAAAGGTGCTGGTAAAGGCGGTATAAATGTCTAGTAAACAAGATTTTGCGTATGTAATGAAATTTAAATTTTAGATTGGCGCAACTCCGAGGAAATTTTGTGAGAATATAATTTATTGATTCATGGAAGTTCGCGAATCAACGGTCCTGAGATTTGTGGAATTTCGCAAATTAGAGAAGAATCAAGAACCTGTATAATGTAGAACCAAGAGAATGTATAAAGCCTATTTAAGCATTCAATGAAATTGCCTCTGTAATATAAAATATGTGGTTATGCATACTTCAACAGACATTCCTTCCATTTCTTCATGCAAAGCCTGTGCATCGTCTGCCACATTGTAGGCATTCTGGCTGTCTTTTGTAAGATCATCCAACAAATCTTCCACATGCATCAGTTTCTCTCCCTGTTCTTCGCATCTCTCTTTATTTTCCAAAACAGGCAATTCAAATTGGGTCACCTCTTCCAATACTACAACACACCATTATATAAGTATTGTTCAGAATGCCTGATTTATAATCTAAGTATGAAATATGAGAACTTATTTTATACTTTAACTAAATATTGTATACAGTGACTCTTTGAGCAAAGCGGGTATAATTTATTATTGAGTTGATAACCTACGAAAAATAACATTTTCTCTATTAAATCAATCACTTTTTTTAATGAAATAAAAATATTACTTTAACTAACTTATTTAGTTATTAATATTACAATTGGGAAAAACATGCGAGACAATTACTATTAAATTTAAAAATAAAATGCCAATGTTAGTAACATCAAGAGCAGATAATACTGAGTATTATTCTGATTAATCTGGTGATTATAAAAAATATAAGTATTTCTTATTAAAGAAAGCAAAATAAAGCATGAGCTAACTAGTGGCAGGAAGAAATAACTTTTAATACTAATTAATCAAAATCACACTAATTAAAAGTTCTTTTTAAAAAAATAAATTATCTTTGCCTTATTGAGCACAAAAAGTCTCACAGTTTAATACAAAAAAGAGGTATTTCCAGGTAAGGATAGAGTTTTTAAATTTTGAAGAAGGAATATTTAAAAGTATGAAATAATTATAACTGATATTTTATGGGTTTGCCATGGTGTAAAATACCTGGGATGTATGAAATGAGAAATCTTTTAACACTTCGTAATAAATTTTTGGCATTTTCTTACAGACCTGATTTTCCACTTTGTCTGTAACAATGTTACTTTTAATACAATTTCCTTCTTACAGAAACTGAAACATTATTACTTTTGATTTAAAGCAAAGCTAAATGTATAATAAGAAATAGTTTAAAAATTCTTTTTCTCGATTTTTAAGTACTATTGGGAAAGTTAATTTTTCATTTATTTTGCAAATAAAAACATGACTGGAAAAATCAGATTCTACACCTTGATATAAATAATGTCAATTAATGAGAATTGAGTGAAAGAAATTGAATTTTTTAAAAATTTTATTGCTATTACTTTCAAAACTAATAGATACCTCCTTCTGGAATATAGAAGTGGGGTCGTGTGCTGGCATTGTTAATTTTTATTTTACTTTGCAATACAATACATGGCATGAAAAATATTGCACACATTAAACTACGAGCTCATTTAACCTTGAAATAAATATTATAGGATGATGAGTAGATGCCCTTAAAGGAAAACAAATTAAAATTATGTGAATTTTTATTTTGTTGCACCTTTAAATACACATTACGAAAAATCAAATTAAATTTTTCATGGACTGCATGAAAAATTATTACGCTTAAAAATAAATACTGTAGGAAAAAAATAGGACAAACAAGAAAAAAACTTTTTTTATAACAGACTAAAAAAAAATTTCTAAAATACAATTTTTTAAATATAACTTGCTAGGTGATAGATGAAATAACTATATAATACTTACACTTAATGCCTGAATCATATTCATTGAGTGAGTCATTCTTGGGAGAGTCAAAATTTCTCTCCAGCAGATCTTCTAGAATATACTCTGCCTGTGCAACTAAGGTATCAATGTCGTCTTCTTCTCCCACTGAATCTTCCAAACCTTCTGAGAGTTTTCCCAATTCCTTAATAATGTCTGTTCAGTGAATAAAATAAACAATTGTATTACAATAAAGGAACTTAAATTTACAATAAATTCACAAATATATCATAATAAGTGCTTAAGCAATAACACTGTACTACATGAAACACATCCTTTTAGATGAAAATATCTGTTTCGAGTATAATTTTAACTAAAAATAAAGAGCCTACAACTATTTATTTGTTTTTTGTTCATCGTGGATGATTGTTAAAATAATACAAATTTTCGCTCGGGATCTTCATGCATTATAGCAACACACAATAAAAATTTACAGTTAAAGTTGAAAATTTACAAAAGAAAGGCACTGTACCGAATCAAGTTGTACTGAAGACACAGTCTTCCTAAAAATCATCAACCACATATACCGTATACACCTTAAAAAATACAAAAACCTAATCTCAACATGAAACCAGCGAATCTGCAATTACAAAAAAATGTCTCCTTTTTTTCTTGATTTTGTTGCTCTGTCTTTCAATTATTGCTTGGGTTAACTCAATATTTTTAGGACCTTAGCGCTCTCATTAACAGAGTGAACTTCACTACAGAAACGTTGTTTATCTTCGCAAAACTTCGAGGGTCTAGATGCTATAGGAGGCAAGATATCAAAAAATTCAATAGAAGCTTGGCAAAGAATGGCAGTAAGAATGGAATAGTTTTTCTTCCTGGTTGCACCTGCAATAATGTGACCTAGCATGTGGTGAGGGTTGCATGTATTTCAACATATCGCACTGCTTTCTTTACATTTTTTAGCTCATCTCCTATACTAATTATACAAAATTCAATTCATACATTTCCTTCTTTTATCTTATCGTTAAGTGGGAGATTGTTCTTTGCTTGATGTTGGATAACAATGTTGATGTGGAAAATGAACTACAACATTTGTATTGCTCCAAAAGTGAAGAATCTGATTCTGATGGATTTGATTAAACACAAGGCTAGAAATATTTGAAAAATACATAAAAAGCGTGAGATTTATTTTCATTTTGTGATTAGCTTATTTTTTACTGCGCACACATTCTCAAATTATGATTCTGATTGGTTATATATGTTTCTTCTGTAAGAATAATTTTCAAAGTTTTTTCTTCAATAAAAATTGGAAGTGTGCCTTTTATGGTAGTGCAACCTATATGATGATTAAAACTACTAATATTTTTAACGATGTTTCTTGCAGGTGCGGCGTGTACAGCAGTGGGGAGCATCTACTGGAAATTCTAGCCTTTTGAAAATTTTATTAGTGAGTGCTCTTTCAAAATTCAAATTGAAAAAACATCAAATTTTCAGCACCAGATCTCAATCTTTATAAATCAATGGTTTTCAAGTTTTACCTGATTCAAATTAACTTTAGGTAATGTAGTCATTTTTCAACATCCTTGAAAATATTACAAAAATGATTTTAAAAAAATGTTATGTAATTAAATAACAGAAAATATTTACCTCTGACTTTACCAATGGCACTCTTGATAAGGTTTTCTACTTCGAGAGCATCCGATTTCGTTGAATCGGCATCGTTTCTTACACTCAATGCCTCAGAATGCAAATGAGTCATCTGAAAATGAATAGAATTAATTAATATATTCTCAAAATATTTCACACATAGTGAAAAATAATTTTGTGGGTCTTTATAACAGTTGGCAAACAATGAATAATTTTGAATTACATTTTTTATAGAAATTATTTAATTTTTTTTTCTAATAACATTAACACCACCTATTTTCAGTTTAAAATAATTTAGAGCATCAAAAGGGATTAAAACTTATTCATGATATGAAAGGTTTTTTTAAGCTTTAATGGGTGTCAGCATTACTAGGTTAACTATTAACTAAGTTTCAATGAATATATCTAAACACTTTTGTGAAAAAATTTTGAAACTGCTGACATCAAGTGACGGTATTTTGCAATTGTGCGTGTCATCTTATTTTAAACTACATTTTCATGTGTTATTCAAACAAAAAAATGGATACTTTGCTGGTGTAGAGGGTAGAGATCAGCAAAGTCACATAAGATGAACCTATAAAAGGGTTAAAATATTTAAGCTTCAAAAAATTGTGTATCTGGCAAGCAGCATTATGCGAAACAGATAAATGAAAGAGCACAGGCAACAAAGGTGAAAAAAAGATTAACCTTTTAAGTGACTGGTCACAAATCAAATTACATAGGTTTAACAAATATGATTATACAATTTTATGTTATTATGTAAATTTATTCTATTTAATTAATGATAATACTTTAAATTTTTCTTATATTTTTTCAACAAATATAGGATATATTGCTCTATAACATATTGATATGAAATAGCATGCAATTACATTTGTCATTAAAAATTTAGTTAGAAGAGAGAGAGACCAGCATAAAATTTTATAAACAAAACAATAAATACAGTTGAACCCCAATTATTCAACACTCATTGTTGGATAATTCAATTTTGTGGGTATCTAAACATTAAACACAAGGCCAAATGAGCAATTGGTTAACTTTAGCTGTAATGCATGTGTTAGGAGCTTTAAACGCAGCTCGAAAGGGCATTATGCAACCTAAGGATCAGGCACTAGATGATGTACTTAAACAATCAATGCTGAAAAAAAATAGCATCCAATCTACAGTTTCTATACAAACACATCTTAAATAATTCTTTGAGCCTTTTCTTATTTATAATTTAAGGATTACTAAAAAAATTTAACAAAATCATAGAGTATAAAAATTTCGTTACAATATTGCAAGTCATGAGTATTTGAAATAATTTTACACTGAATTTGTGGGAAAAAACTAAAAATCTTTTTACATGGTAATTTGATAGAGTGAATTGTATGAAGCAGCTTATGAAAACTGTCAAATTTGAATACTAACCAAATTCAAAAATTGTTAGCATCTGCTGCAATATTTTCCTAATATTTTTATTGAATTCTGAATTAAAAAAATATGAATTTTCTGCTAATTATCAATAAACAAAACAAACAAAAACAATACATTTTGAAAATAGATAAAATACTAATAATAGCTTTGAAAAATTGCCACAAAAAGATAATAATAAAATAAAAATAGTTTAAATTTAGCTAAATTATATGTATTCCTCATTTTTAAAAGCTTTGTATTCTATTATATGAATATTTTTCTTTTTTTACCTATTCTTATTCTTTACTACAGATATGCATGAATTTTAATTTAAAAGAGTCTTAAAAAAAGAGTAAAGAAACTTAGAATTTAATGTTGTAGTTCTGCATTTCATACTAAATAAATGTTATAAATTTCCTAAAATTATAATTCTTTAAAAAGTGCTTTAACAAAAGCTTACCCATCGATCACTGGTGTCAGCATTCTTCTCAATCAACTGCACTTCATACACTAATGGACTATAGTCGAAGCCCGAGGAACTACCTGCATCTAATCCCAACTAAAAAAGTTAAAAAATATTTTAACTCGATACATTATCTTAATCTAGGGTCAATTATAATTAACCATTGATTTATGCAACAATAGTGCCTTTATTTTATGAAATAAAAATGTAGTCGGATATAACAACTCTTGACATTTGAAAAAAGTACATAATGTTAGGAAAGTATATGAAATAAGGGCAATCGGTATCCCATAACTTTAAATACTCAAATTGATAGAATAATAAAAAACAGCATTACTTCTGATATTAAGAATGGCTTCCCTATTTACTTTGACGTTTATATTGCTTTATTTTGTTCATAAGTATAGAACTTATACTGTTAACTAAAAGTTAAGCATACTATTACATGTGCGTCCCGTGTAAAAGTATGTATACATTTGGGTAACAGTGTATGTAAAATAAAGTTGCCCACTGTCACAAAATGAAAAAAACCTCACATTGTATTATCTGAATTAAAAAATACCTCTTGTGGAAAACAGAATATAAGTTTTGTAATTGAACACAAAACAGTTGTTTTGTTACTTACAGGACTTTTAAATACATCATACAAAACTGGGTTGAACTAAAATATCATGCAAGACAATAACTCAATTTTTAATATTTTCCCACTTAACACATTTTTTAATAGTTTTAAATTCGATCATAAGTACACTGTACGAAAAAGGTAAACCCTGAATAATTTTGATCTAATGATTGGACTTTCATGTACCAGGAGTGTTAACGGTTTAAAAGGTGCAGACAATAATTTGAGTGAAGAAATCAGACACAAAAATGCACTTACTCTAAATAAACCTTTTTTTCTTTTGATAGATTTGGATACCTGACTACCTGACCCTTAAAATATGGGAGGCAGCTGCAATCAGGAAAATATGGTTGTGATGTTGCTGCATTACACTCGTTTGAAGATTTCTACAGCTTAACTCTATTAACTCAGTTTCATAGTTTTCAATTCGAAATGTGAATTTTCTTGATTGAGTCAACTTAGTTTTCTGAGTTTTATTTATTTTAACAGCGTTGACATTTTACCCTATATATAATTTCCTTATCTTGATTCTATTTTAATTAACTGCAACAGAGAGAACGTAACCCAATTCCGGTGTGCTTTGTGCTTTTCTTAATTCGGCCTCGCTCCAGTATAGACATATTTTTGACGATCCAAAGTTTATGTAAGCAACCAGGGTCAGTTAGAATTATCTTTTAATGTCTTAAAATTAAATATTGACAAGGAATTAAGACATATAATCTGGAAAATGGGATGTGGCTTCTATCCTTTGGTAAAAACTTTTATTACTATAAGAGCATGTGGAAGGCTCTGCATAGCACCACTCCTGAAAATGATTTGCCTTTTTTGTGATAAGTTAAGGAGACATTTTAGTAAATATTCTGTACCTTTTATGAAAAAAATATGTTTTCTGCCAATATTCGTTCCCCAGATGTCAGTAAATCTGTAAAACATCTGCAATAGAAGTCTCAGCTTTCAACCTATCAAGTAATATGTTAGAAACTAAACTCAATGGTGCGACAGCCTATAGAGGGCCAAAGGTGGAACTCAGAGTTGAGTACCCAAGCATGCTTGGTACTCATTTTATAGACCCACTGAAGGGATGAAAGTCGGAGTAAACCTTGCCCAAACCTTGAATCAAACCCAGGACCTGTGGCATGAAAGAGCAAAGCCCTACCACTCAGCATTATGTTGGAAAGAAGAAAATAAAAGGTAAAATCTGAAATAAACTCGACTTGCTTTATCATTTCCTGTTTTATTGTACCACCGGCCCAAAAAGGAATATGTTAATCCTTCTGAAATAAAGACTTTGGAAAAGTTTCTTTCATTTAAAAAAATCATACTCCTGATTAAAAAAAATTAAATTTCTTTTAGTAATAACACATATTTTATTTCTTGGTTGTTGTTGCTTAAAATTCTTCGCAATATAGCCTCAGCTGTATCAAATCCTCTGGCAAAGTTACAAGAGAATATCCTCCAAGGAAAATTTCAGACAATCAAAGATGTGTTATTTCTTGGTAATTCATATAAATATTTAATTTCACAACATGATTTTAATGCATTTTATACAGTTTGAAATTCAGTTGTTCCAAGAATTCCATTTTATACGAACATGTAATATAAATATATAATTTAGTTTTAAAGAATTTTAATTTTTGATTTCATTAACCAAATCACAATGGTTTCAACAAGTTAGGAGAGCAGTTGTAAGTTTGGACATCTTAATATTAATTATACTTTTTGTGTATTTCTCCGTATCTCAAGAACTTTTTAAGCAAATTAAAAAAAATTTGCACACAATTATAAAATTCATTTACCTAACATTAAAAAACATAACTTTTAATAATTATTTATAATATTATTTATTCCATATTTTTAGCTATCATTTTATTATACATCGCAAAATGTAAACTTGAACAAAATCGGCTGCATAGTATTAATTTCAAATTTTAAACAGACAACTATTTTGAAACTCTAATTTATTTAGGGTGTTCCTTTTCTTTTTTGGCATACTGTACATAGCTTCAAAAGCTATGCTTAGATGTATTACTTTTAGAATAAGATAAATTACTTTTAGAATATCAGCAGTTTCATTCACATTTTGCAAACGTTTGTTTGCAAAATAACTTAACGAGACATCTTTCATTTCTTCCGTGATGGGAGCAATGGAATTTTCTAGGTCATCAGTTGTGTCTAACAATCCATGTACGCAGGCACCACATTCTAAAATTTAAAAAAAAAAAAAGATATGTAGTTAGATGTATCAAAAAAATTTAACAGTCATTTCTCAAATATAAACAGTCACTCTGAGCTTCAACTGTAATAGGTGTAAAAACCTTGTTTATTCAAGGAAATTAACCAGATTTTTTTGGGGAAGGAAATTTTGAAATTTTCCGGTTTTTTATGCACAAGAGTTTAAATTGGCATTCAAATCAATGCTTTTGTATTTTTCAGTGGAAGTAGTAAAAGTTTTTCTTTTGAAGCATTATGGCAAATAAGTTGATTGCAGACTTTTTAACTTTTTGCTTAATCTTTGAGAGTATATTTTGAAAAAATAATATTCTGATTTACTGTTTTTAAGTATCTAGCAGCAGCAATTCAAAAAATAGAAAATAATCCTTTTATATTAACCATAGTATATCTCTTTGAAAAAGTTTAATTTCAAAGTAATTATATTCAGCATTTTTTAAATAAATTTACGAAGTTAAAAACATTAAGCTTTAAACTGATTTTTAAAATATAACTATATCACACGATCATGGTTATTTTGCAACACTTCTTACCATAGCAGCCTTGCTTTTTGACAAAAACCCATCGATAGGGACAGGAATCACATTTCTCTCCAATCACACCTGGCAAACACTCACACTGGCCGCTGAAAGAATTGCACATCACACCAGAAGAATATTTCTCCACGCAGTTACAAGCTAAAATATAAAGCTTATCCATATATATACAAGAAACTATATATACAAGAACCATACATAAAAAAAATCTTTATTGAACAAGCAAATCACTCGATAGATAAAGAAGACGCAGATATTTTCAGTTGTCATAAGCATGAAGTCAATAGTTGTTTTTGATTACAAATTGAGATTAAAATTTAAAGACTGAAGGAGTTTTAATGTTTGTATACTTTGTTTTATTGTTAATTAATTCTCTCAAATTATTTTAAATTTTAGTTATTCAAAATTTGATTATTGTTTCAAATTAAATTCTTATAAAGTAATGTTGGCATTACCATGGAACATTAATTTGTAAATGACAAAACAACTCGTCCCTAGGGTTGTATAAATACTGACAACTGAAACTGGAGTCGTTCTTGTTGGTTCTTTTGTTGAACTTTGTCACTCTGCCTGGTGTTATAATCGCAAGCGGGTGATGTTTTTCTCGATGATTTTAATTTCTAACAAATATATTTGTTTTACCAAGTTCTGTTTTCAATTGAATATTTGCTTACACAAAACATTTGCGAAACCATTTGATAATTATTATGAAACTTCCGCAGATATGATTTTATGCTTAAGAAACATAAATCAGTTTTATTTAGCTGATTATTGAGCTTGATATCAGTTTTATTAGGAATGCTGAGGATGACTGCATGTACAGTTGTTTAATAATTTGAAATGCTACTTCCATAATTCAAAACCAAAAATACTTCAAGATATTTAAAACTCGGCTAATTGGAAAACTGAATAAAATGTGTTATTTTAACATGACTTAGTCTATTAATAAATAGTAGCTCTGACATGCAATCATTTTAAAGATTTTCTGCAGAACATAGAAAATTATTAATACCAGTTAAGTTACAAGGTGTGTAGATAAGACAAATAGCATAGGAAATGGATAATTATCAATGTAAAGGTGACTTATAACTCTGAATTGATATCTTCAGCCACCTCAATAGGCTAAAAGTTATGAAAATTAGACTAAAATTGCTTAAAATTAACAGAATTGCTTAATGGGCTTATGTTAGTACTTAAAAATTGCCATTACTTAACAACAATACATGAAAAAAATTTTAAAACTACAGATGAAAGTCTCAAAATATACTTACATTAATATTATATATTCTTAAATACAAGCTTCCAAATATTTTTTCAAAATATACTTATCTAAAAATATACTTGTTGTGTTTTATGCACTTACAGATGCATCCATTTTCAGAGTATTGCCAATAGCCTGGTTCACAAACATCACAAGTGATTCCTGAAGCTCCTGGTCTGCATCTGCAACTTCCAGTTTGTAAATCGCACTGATCACTCTCTGAAGCAGGACCACAATTGCAAGGGCGGCAACCAGAGCAGGAATCAAAACCCCAGTGATTTTCCTACAACAACAAGCAGTTTGAATATTTAAACACAAAGTGCATAGCCAAAACGCTAAAATGATAGTCTTGAAAATTCTTAATTGAAACATGATTGCTTTATTCAATCAAGGATATACAACTATTTTTGGATAGTTGGGCACAAAAACTGGAAAATATTTTTGCATGGCCAACATTGCAAGTAACGTAAAGCTGTAATCATAAAAATGCAGAATGTATTTAAATTTTGTACAAAAATTACAAGAATGACTTACACATGTATACCTAATTTCTTTTTCACTTTGTAGACCAAAACATATAAACTAAGTAAATCCCAGCAAATATAGTTAGTAGTTTGAAATGATAATTTTTTTTTACTTATCATTTTTAGAAAATTTCCGAGTATTTCTTTTTCCTTTATTTGAAAATTTAAGCATAAAAATTACATTTCAAGACAAAGAACTTATTGCCATAATCAAATTGAAATAATTACAATTCATTACCTCAGAAAAAGACTCAACGAATAGCGAATGAAAAATATTTTTTCTACTACCATTCTTTTTCCTTAAATATCTTTTTTAATATCTAAGACAATTAAGGGGCCGAATCAAAAGGCTTAGAGGATCACTTTTGTTTCATAGCCATCTTCATAATGGCTTTAATATGAAAATATTTTAAATGTTTCCTCTTAAACTACTTTTACAACAAACAGTATATTAAGTGTGAATAAAGAAATAGATTCCACCAGGGATTGAGTGTCACTGAGATGAGAATCTTTTTCCGTTCTTTGTTTGAAGTCAAGCAAATTTGGACTCATTTTGATTATGTTTGATCATCAGAATTTGAAAAAAAAAGATAAGTGTTTTCTCAAACCATTGTAATCTCATTATTGAAATGGTGTAGTGAAAGATTTTGAAAACAAGAACTAATCTTAAAGAAACAAAAAAGTCAAATACATATCAAAGGATTCACACAAAAATAACATAATGAAAAAAAAATCTAAATACCAATTCATCGATGTTGCTCTAACATTACCACTAACAACAGCTTCATGTAAAAATAGTATCCAAAAAACAAACTTCTTTGGTGATCAGCAATGGGATACCTACCAGTGACGTAGCATAGGTATCTCGATCCCGATTGGGTGTTGAAACGTTGAAATTTGTTTACGTTAGCAACTGCTTTTTCCATTCTATTTTGAGTAAGTCAAGTCTTTCAAGTATCAATTCTCTTAAATGACACATTCTATGTTCTTTCATAAAGATTCTTCATTAAAGACTTAAATACTACCACTATATATTTACACAGAGACTTAACACAAAGACAGGCATGGAGTTATGTAGAAATTAATTAATTCTGCATCCAAGTTGCCAGGTACAGAAAAAAAATATATCACGGTTACAATAGAATACAAATAATAAATCTAAATTAAGTAAACGAAGTGGACGAGAAAGAATTATACTTTAACTCATTCGATGCTCTCTATTTAATTAACATTCAAACTTATGTATAGAAACTTAGCTCAACTTTAATACGCCATTTTGCTGATAAAGATAAGCTGACGTCATAGGGCACATGTGTGGGTATGGTAGGTCTTCTTCCTCTTGAAGTGCAAGTACCCATTCAAATTCTCTTGTAGAGTGGAGATCCTCTTATCAGGCCACCAATGAAGGTGTCAATTGGGACATGAATTACTGTTAAATTGTAAAATAAAGAAAATAAAAAAATTATTTCAATGTTTTCTTTTTCTTGGGCAGCACTGCTACTAATTAGAAGAATATTTTCTGAAACTATGGGAATTTTACAGTGGTTGGAGAGTATGGTACTGTTGCATATGCCGGTTAAACACTGAGGTAAAATACATGCTAATTCCTTGAAATTTTTCGTAAAAGATACAATCTATAAAATTAAATTAAATTATGAAAATAGAGAAGCAAATACCTTAATGCAAAAAAAAAATCTCACCTTGCATCGATCACAACTCGTCCCTATGACGTTGGCCCAACATATGCATTCTCCCGATTCGTGATCACAATCACGAGTTCCACACTCGTCACATTTGCATTCTGAAAACAATTGCTTACATTATTACATATTGCATCATTTATTATTTACAGCTTATATATTGCAGAAATTATAATTGAAAATTATAAGCGACCACGCCCCCCTACATGCCAATTTTTTAAATTAAAAATAAGGAGGATAATTTTGAAATATCTAAAAATGAGAAGAATTTTAGAGTCACATTTTTGTAAAACAGGAAGCTGATTATCATTGCATATCAGTGCATTCTAGAAATAAAACAAAAAATTAAATTCAAATAAATTAAACAGGGGTTTGTCTAGGTTTTGCTGATATTCTGTGAAAATTTAGACATAATTTGTGAAAATTAAAAATTATATTAAAAAATCAACACAAAAATATGGTAAAAATATGGATTTATTGTTTTTAGGGGATACAAAAATAAATGTTAAGAAAAAGTATTTTGTGAAGTTCCGTTTCTCCTAAAGTTGTGAAGGTACCACTAAATGGTAGTAAATTTGGCCTGGACAAACCTCTGTTAAATATCACAAAATAAACATTTTAATAAACAATAAATTGCAAACATTAAATTAACTTTTATTACTATTTTAACTAAACCTATTTAGCATTTTAATAACTGAAAAGGTACAAAAATATGAATAAGAGTTTTAAAAATAATTGTGGACACGAAGTTACAATGATAACCTAGCAAACTGATTAGGCTGAAATTTTACCCCAATAGATATGGGAAAAGATGTGTAATTAAATTTGTCTGAATAGAATTAAACATTTTGGACACTTTTAATTAGGGATGTAACGAATATTCAACCACTATTCGGTACTAGACCCCTTTACCGAATGTGTGGCAAAGAATTTTTTGGAAAATTGTTTATTGGAGGAAATTTGAATAGATTTAATAAAAAATAATCTAAAATCGTATTTTCACTATAGATAAGAAATAGTTTTTACGCATATTTGTTAAGTTTTAAAACTTGTTAATTTATGTTTAGAAAGACACATGGAAAAGCATATTTTGAAGAATTGGAACTAGATTACTTTACACTGAACCATGAGTTTTGTAATGCAGATTTTTTTTCTTTTTTAATTATGTTCAGGCAAGTCAATTTCATTGTTTTTTTAACACTTAATATTTCAAAAATTAAATCTTTTTTTTGTTGTTGCTTAGTTTTATTTTTGCTTATTTTTCTGTTGTAACTAAAGCCAGGCATGTTAACGGAGCATTTCTAATAGACTTTATTCGTATATTTTCACTTTCTCCTTGTATAGTAAAATAGATAACGAGTAACATAGAATAATCTGATTCCTAATGTAAAGTTATACTTCAGAGCTATGAAGTTTGGAGAGAGGAGTATCAGCTCAGACACTGTCCATGTTGTTTATTAAGGCCAAAGTTAAGGGGCGTTCTTGTTTAAAGCAAAATTAAGAGTCACCACTCACAAGCCTCAGACTGATAAAATATAACAAATCAAGATTTAAAAATAGTTTATCGGTCACTACTTGTTTTTTTTTTTTTTAATCAAAAATGCACCTTATGTGTAACTTATTAGCAAAATCTCTGAATTTTGCCCTATACATTCCTGACATAATTGCAAAAAAATAAAGCTGGATAGGGTGCACATCATACATATATTTGAAAATAACGGCAGGCACCAAACTATTCGTTCTCTGCCAAAGTATTGCTTATTTATCGTTACCCGGTGGGCACCTGAGAACCAAAGTCACGGAGGTGAGCAACATTACCCACACCACATTGCCACAGATACCCAGTCACAGGGTGGGCCACATTTACACAACAGAGGACAACACACAGAAAAACATCCAAGCCCTGAATGAAAGTCAAACCCCCCAGCCAATTGGCTACGCAGTCAGGCACGCTAACCACTCAGCCCTCTGGCAGGCAGTGCACATCATATATGAAGATTGCTAATGAAAATTGAAAGGAATGATACATACTGCGGCAATCTTTAGCAGATATAGCATCTCCAAAATAACCTGGTGCACAGAGTTCACAGGCTGCACCAAAAGTGTTGTTTAAGCACATGATGCAATCTCCAGTCACTGAATCGCAACTACCTGGTCTACTTGGATCTATGTTTCCACTGCACTTGCAAGGCTGGCAGTGACCACCAATCATTTCTGGCCTTCCGAAATATCCGATTGCGCAGCTGCAGAAGGAAAAATATGAGTGAAAAAGTGAGATCTATTTAGAGCACAAATAAAAAGAGAGAAACCTACTATTCACAGCGTGGGCCATAATATTCAGGTTTGCAGTTACAGCTTATTTCCTGGCCACTGGGTGAGACTTCGCAGCTCTCAGCAAAATTGTTGCTCTCGAGGGGTAGGGGGCAGGCGCATATCAGACAGTCGTAAGGCGTCCCTCGAGTCGAGTCCCCGTGGTAGCCGGCAGCACACTTCTCACAATGATCTCCAACAGTGTTATGTTCACAACCCTTAAAATGAACACATATTTGAAACATTAATCATTCATTAAATAAAGAAAAATAAATAATCCTTTTGTTTGAAGTAGGTAAGTATATTTTGTATACTTATAAAAAAAATTATATGCACATGATAATCTTTATTATATTATTAGTTTAGTATGATAAACTTTATTTCATGCACAAGAAGAATTGTGTCTTAGAAGTATAAATAGTAACAATTTTCTATGTCTACTTTCTAGCTTTTACTTTCAACTCAAAAAGTAAATCATTGATAGCATCGTCTTTAGTACACTCTGACTGAAACATGAGGTTGTCAATCACTTTCAGAGATGGTGAAAAAAAGCTATTTGCTGTAAACTGCATATTTTACTGACTTTTTCTTTGTAATCTTTAGAGATTAATGTATTCTTATTGAGAAAAAGACTGTTCTTATTTTCCATAAAAAAATTTACATTAAGATGGGTCATAGACCACTTTCCTCTGTGCGAATGCCAACAGCTGTAAACAGTATATTTTATTGACCTTTTTTTGTAATTTTTATAGATTAATATATTTTTATTGTGATAAAGACTTTTCTAATCTTTTATAATTTTAATTATTCTCTTCAATAATTTTTCTTTTGTAATAAAAGGATGCGAGATAGCATATAATTTGATGCAGTTACAAAATGTACACAAAAAATATACTAAATAAATATTAATGTTACGTAACAGTAGTCATATATTTGAAATAATTAATGTAGCTTGCTTAACATTATTTTTTGAAAAACTAAAAGGTAAAAAAAACTTACAATACATTTCCCTGTGTTGACATCACATGTTTGTGCATGACCATAGCACTGACATGGAACGCAATATCCCAAATAAGGTCCTGTTTTGGATCTATAATACCCAGGAGCACATTTCTGTAAGAGGCAAAATGAATATTGTACTATCTATGAAGGAATATTTAAGGGTAACAGACAAAATGCAAAAGATAAATGTAAATACTTAAATTACAGCTGCATCATCAAAACAAATTAGAGCTGAAGCAAAAATTCCTTTATAAAGAATAAACACAAAGAACGAAAGATTTAATTTAAGTATATTGATGTCTCGGAAATCTCGTGAAAATGAATCGAGATTATTAATATTAAGATCAAGTGAATATGAATCACAATATTGAACTTAAAGACCGATTAATAGTTACGCGCAATCGAATTTCAATGACACATCAAAATGAAACAATCCATTTGATTTTTAAAATGCGTAAATTTGAATTGTGACACATCATTTTTAAATAGTGCAAATGCAAAATCACTATGTGCAACTTTTAAATCACATAAATCGATATTTGTTATTAAATTTGTGTGAATGTGAACTGCGATATTGAATTCTAAAAATGTATAAATACAAATTGCAATATTGGATTAAATTGCTTGCATTTGAATAATGACGTTTATATCACTTGAATTTTAATCGCAAATCGTAGGTTTCGAATCGTGATATTTGAATTTTTAATTATTATCTTTTTTATTATCTAACTCTGGTTGTGGGAGGTGAATGGGTGCGTATTCGGTTTTGATTGCTGGCCAATAACTGTATGAAACTATGAGTGGGACTTAATCACATCGTGACGCTAGTTCGATATTTTAAGATATTAATATTTTAGTTATGCTCTAATCTTATACATAAAATATTATTAAACACTTAAAAGAAACTATTAGAGTTGAAGAATTTTTAAAATATTAAAAATTATTACAAGACTAATTTTTTTTAGAAAAATATTGGACTTTTAGGTATTTGTTCTGATTTTTCAAAATTGATAAAATTCACCAACTTTTCCTTTTTTTGCCGTTTGATGGCCGCATTGAATTGATATATAAAAATATATCGATATTTTTTTTAAAAGAAATTTACTGAGAAATTATTTATGCCTAAGAGATACCTCACAAGAATTTCCTCTATAATTGGGTGGGCATTGACATTGTTCCACTCGTAAAACTTGCGGACCATCTGAAAAGTCTTCTGTTGCTCCTTCCATCACAACACGAGACAATCTATAAAAAACAAATCCATTTTTTTTATTCCATGACATTAAAATCTTGACATAATTTGAACAGCAAAAAGAGAATAAATAAATACGCTATCAGGTCTTTCTCTGTAGCAATTGGATCAATTAAGTATGGTTAGTGATGGCAAATTTTTACCAGACTAGAAAAATCCACAGAAAAAAAAACGGAATAAAACCACACCTGAAGAATTTGGTTTCTTTCAATTCAAATTGAAAAAAATTGCATTTTTTTTAAAAAAAACAATAAAAAATTTTTTTTAAACAGTTTGTAGTTACAATCAAGTTTTAATAACAGTATTCTTTATTTATTCTATTATCTCTCGTCATTCTTTATTTCTCACAGCAAAAATGTTTCATGGTTACACTAATTTTCACAGTCTTTTTGGCGATTTGCTTTTGTCAAATTATTTTCCAATCTAATATTGATTACAGAGTGTTGACTTTGTTTTTGGCTATGTTATCTTTCAATAAATTGACAACTTTGGATATCTTCGCATGCTCCTAACTGTCCGTTGGGAGCAATTCAATCATTTTTCAATTTAGCTTTCAATTGTGCTGGTTATGGGAGATTTATCTCCCATGGCCTGTCCTTATTAATATTATTATTGAAAATTTATTATTTATCTTAGAAAGTCTTATGGATAAAATAAAATTTTGTATCTACAAATACTAACTAAAAGTTTCATCATAATTATGATTCAGTTTTTATTTTTAACTATCATTTTCATTATCCTGTTTTCACCACAATCTTCAATGAGTCAATTATACCATATACAACTCTAACCACACCTAATTCCGTCATTATGCTACTAAATTAACAAATCACATATACTTTGTTACAAATCACTTATCAAAATCACAATTTGCAAGTAAAGTAGTTGCAAGTAAACTAAGTAGCACACTTAGTTTAATAATTAAGCACCATTAAGTATGAAAACTCAAACTGATTCTTAAATAATACGATAAATAAATTTTAAGATTATGTATAAAATTAAAATTAATAAAAAGAAAATAGTTTAAAAGTTGATGTGAAAAACTTTCATCTTACTGATACTTTATTAAATTTAATTTATTTCAATTTAAGCTATTCTTTTCGAACTTATAGCTAAACCATTGTATGATATTTTTTAAGTTTCTTCTGTTTTGTCCAGTTATTTTTTTATTTTTTTCTTCCGGGCAAAATATAAAACCTGATTATGGTTTGTAAGTCCAACACATAATGTGATGAATTTTAGCACTGTGAACATTAAAAGATGGGGGAGACTACCCTGAAGTACAGAGAGATAAAATTTAATCGAAGGGCGTTGCATGCAGGATGCCTTATATTCCAATTTGCTCTTATGGTATATGAGTTGCCGCAAGACCTAAAAAAATGTGTTGGTGGTATAAGCATTATGTAACTTTGGTTTACATTAAGATAGATTGACCAAACACAAATAATCAGCTTAAAATTTATTTAATCATAAAAAAATGACATTGCGTGATACAGAACAGAAAGCCAAAAAAATGACATTACGTGATACAGAATCCCAAAAAAACATGAAAGCTATTTTAATGAATTTTTGCTTTAAAGAAAATAAAAATTGACCATGAGAACTAGATCACTGTGACTGCCCTCCTAAATAATTTACTTCTTGGACAACTTTCTTCCTCCGCAGTCTCTAAAAATTATTTGCACTGAAACACCAACAACGAAATAATCTCAGAGACAGGTTCATATATACCACAACAAATGTTACAATACTTTGGGTCTTTGCAGAATTTCTAATTAAGGAAATAGGTCTGTCATAACCGAGACAATGAAGTCACCAAGAGAAGCTCACCAACAAAGAAAAAGTAAAAGTTTTTTTAAGCCATGTTTAAAGAATGCGTTCATTTAAAATTCCCTCAATAACATTAATATGGGCGCTGGATGGCAAAAGAAAAAGAGGACCCATGTTAATACGAAGAAAAATGGTGGAAACATTAGACATTAAGAGGAATAAATAAGCTGGTAAAAAGTAAAAGCTACAGCAGCTGAAGGGCAAACATGGCTAGAGGCATAAACAAAAAGGGCAAGAAAAGAAAAAATACAATGAAACATTTTTACAAAGTTAATAAACAAATAAGAAATGATAAATTATTTTTCTTAGCAGTGAAACCAAAACACACCAATACAAATTCAAACTTTAATCTGAGTATTATTTATTATTATTTATATAATAAATCTGCATATTTCTTGAAAAAATCAAATTCTTGCGCACGTTGAAGCATATATTTTGATTTGAATCAGTGAATATCTATTAGACATATACATTTTATATGATAGATAAATCCGAGAATTATTTATAAAATATGTTCAATATTGTAACTTACATTATTAAGATATACAAATTACATTTCATTAAGATATACAAATTAAAAAAAAAAAACTCTTGTGTGTGTTACCTTTCAACTTGCATAACCTTTTTTTTCTGCATGTGTAACTAATCATGAAACCTTTTAATCCACTTTTTGATTATACTTGTAAATAGAAAATCTCTTTGAATAAATTGCATTGGAAATACTAATTATAAATATTTCAACCAAGTTAATCCCTTAATGTTCTTTAAAAGAGATTCATTTCAAAGGCTCTTTTAGTTTTCTCCATATTGGCTAAAAACTTAGGGAAAATGATTTTAAAAATTGTCATAGACATTTTGGATAAAATAATTTTAAAATAGTGAATTTTCAAAAATCATGTATAATACCCTAAAAAATATGGATACAGTAGCCACATAAAACATAGAAGAGTATTAAATGTGCAATTAATCTTCCGACTTTTGCCCATGTCTTTCTATAAATTTAAAGCAACTTTTCAATCCTGCTTAAACCCTTATATAGTTCATAAGAGCATGTCTTAAGGAGACTCTTACTTGATTTCTTCCGCTGGATGGAAGTAGGATCCCCTCAGCAGTAAATGTTCCAGATTGACCAAAACCATCATCATTTGCTCACGACTCACTTCACGCCCACTGATGTGACGAAACTCCCTCTGCAAACATAAATGTCGTTAATCGATATTCGAATTCTTTTAAATACACATACAGGACTCGAAATTAAAGTAGATCTGTTGGTCCAGAACGACTAAAACTTGACTTGATCCACCAAAAAATTGTTATCAATGGTTCATTGAACCAGCAATCAATGTAAAAGGATGGGAATGCTGTTTTGGTTGTTTTTTCTTTGAGATTTGTGTTTTGGTCAGTTTTATCCTAAATTAGAATATTTCATAATGATTGGGAGGATTACATATTCTTTGCAATATAATTTTTTATTGAAAGCTACTTTATTCATTTTTTAACAAAAAAAATTTAAGACATATAGATAGACCAGTGCACATCTTTAAGTCTTTGGTCTATGGACTAAATTTTCTTAATTTCTACTGCGCATACAGATTTATGAATTCTGTTGTAATGAAAACCTTATTGTCAAGAAAACTTTTCTACTCACTAAATGTCCAAAAAATAATTTTAAGAAGAAATAAAACATTGTCCAGTCAATCCATGGCTATGTAATGAACATAGATTCAAATTTAGTTTCCATGCTTTGAGGATTTAAATTATTCTTCAGAATAATTTAATTCCCCAAAGCAGCTATTTCAATTTTAAAAAGTATTTGTCATAAAGAACAGATTGTGATCATTCCTGTAACAATGAAATACTAAATTTCATAAAAAAATTTATCTAAAAACAAGTATTTTGAAGCGCATACAGAAGGATTTTTCAGTCATTGCTTTTTTTCTTTTTTTTTCTTTTGCTTTAGATCAACATGGGATAAAAAAAGATAAGTAAAAATATGTATACCTTACAGTAAAAAAATTTTTTTTAATTACTAGTAAATAAAATAATAAATAATTATAAAAAATAACTTTAGGCATAGAATTATTTTTAATAACTGAGTTTTATAATTATGTGATTAGTTAATTCCCTTCATAAGGCGAAATATACAAATGTGAGCTTAACGTTTAAGTAGACAAATTCGGCTGCTCTTCTGCCTAAACTATTAGAACCATATTTTGCGGTTACTCTTCCTGCTTTGAGGAAAAAGAATCCTAATCTGAAAATATGTTTTAGGTCTGATTTTGAAACTTAGAATAACATAAGATTTAGTTACATTTAACACATTTAAAGTTAAGCCCTTGAATCAGTAAAATTGAGTCCTAGTACAGGAATCATTAGATCAACAGTTATTATGGTGTTTGCTTTTTCTGCGAGCATTATGTAAGCTGATGGGGAAAAAGACTACATTTTCAATTACCTCAAGAAGATCCACACTAGTTCCGAAAAGTATATTAGCTGCAGGTTCTTCCACATGAACATGGACAATTGTGATATTATTTCCCTGAAATTAATGTAAAAAATTAGACAAAGTAGAAATTGATAAGTGTATCTAAACTTGAAAACAAAAGAGGAAGGTTAATTTTCCAAAGATCAAAATGCATTTTTTTCTTTATAATATTATTGTTTTAAAATGTAAACCAGACATATTCTAAGAGTTTAAAGGGAAAAAAAATTAATTTTAACAGATCCTATAAAGATGCAGTAGATATCAATTTTGGCCTAAATAATGAATATTCATTCAACTTCAGTAACTGGCTGAATATTGGACTAACTTATCAGAGACGTCGCCAAGAGACGCCAAATCATCAGAAATTTTGATACCAAATAAAATTTTTAAAAATTAAACTAAAGCCTGATTGAACATTGTATCACAAATAAAATATAAAATTAAAGTATTGGAATATTTTTTCCGATGTTAAAAAGTGGACACTTTTAATGTTTATAGACCTTAAAAATCATTTGCTGAATATAATGAAATTTTATCAACCAAAAGTATTTTGATGTTATTTATTGCTGTAAACATTTACAAGAGGAGAGTGAACCTACCATTAAAATGACATCGGGTCCAACAAAACTTTCCACATCCGAATCTTCATCAGTTTGAATGGAAATTACATATGAGAGCTTACCACCATAAGAATTGAGCTAAAAGAATCAAAATGTAAATAATTTTATGTAAGCACTAAAACTACATGCTTCAATAAAAAAAAATCAACGCCTACAAATTTAGTAATCTCTGAAAATGTTTCAATTTTTAGATAAGCATTAATTTATAAGACGCAGACATAAAAAAACTTAATTGCAAAACAAGCTTCAAGGGAGAAGATGTTACAGGAGAGGTGGGGAGAAAAAAAATTTTAGAAATAAATAATACAAAGTTAAGAATTGGAGAAAACCTCAAAATATATTCAAATTAATGATCCATGTTTGGTCGGTCACCTAATACCAAAAAATTTCTGTCATGGTATTAAGTGCTACGAATTGTCACAGCATTTGCAGTTTATTTTTCATCAGAGTTAAGTCATTAAATAAAAAATTAAGTCATTCAATAACAAACTTCTCTGTACAATGATTTATTCACATTTTTGTTGTTATTTGTTATTTCATAAAATTCAAATTAAGTTTAAACAACATAAAGTATGTTTTGTATACTTTTCAACCACTTTAAATTTACAAATTTTGCTATAAGTTAAATTACAATAATATTTGTCAGACTGTGTTTGAGTTGCAGACAAACATAGATTTATGAAAATAGTATACTACAAATCCCCTATAAAAATCTGTTACAAGGGTTTTTCAATCATTTTCAAGACCAAAATTAAAAATAAAAAGCAATTTATGCAAAGTTTTAAACTAAATAAAATGCAAGATCTTATATTTTGAAAATAGAAATCAATTTTTCGACGGAAACTGGTCAACAAAGTCGATTCAAAAATAGAAACTGAAGACTCCCGATAAGAGCTTGAGAAATAAAATTTTAATTAATACTTTCACTTCAATTAACAATCTAACTTTTCTTCATTCGATGATAAATAGTAGTTTGCTTTTAATATAAATATGTCATGCAAATTAAATAAAAACTAAGTTTGTCTGAACTTTTCCTTAATTAAAAGTTGCTGTAATTTTTTAGATGCTCATTCAATTTTTAAAACAAAATTATGATTTAATACTTGCAAAAAAAAATATTTTACTAAGGTAAGATCTAATTTTTTATTCTACACACAGTTCAATAGAAATAAACAAAAAAAGGGAAGCAATCTCAAACTGTTGCTATACTTAATTACTCGTGTTATGGAATTAAGAGCTATTAATTATCTTTTAAATTTCATCTGTCTTCATTTTACTCAGTCTTTTTTAATACAGATATCTGATCTGAGATTAAGACAGACATCTGTCATAAGACTGAAAGCTTTAACCTCTGTCTTCAATTTAGACATAGTAAAAAAAAATGCTTTATAAATTTTTAAAATTTGCTAACCAATATAAGGAATTGTGAGCACATTTTAATTAAAGAAATTAATTAATTGACGTTGCACACATTCTGTTTGTTTTATCAATCAAAAATTGTACAGTACAAGAATAGTAATTTAACATAGTTGGTAAACATAGGATGGGAAAATTTTAGAATTCATTTATGATTACTTATAACTAACTAACTCCCTGGCATTACAGTCCATGTTGGACCATGGTCTCACTAACAATTTTCCTCCAAAGTTGCCTGTCTTTAGCTCTTTGTTTCCAGTTTTGGACTTTTAAGAGTCTTAAGGTCCTTTTCCACCTCGTCAAACCATCTCTTGACCGGCCTTCCTCTTTTCCTTTGGCCCTGCTCCTTGAATATCTTCTTAGTGTCTCTGTTTTCCTCCATTCTCTCAAGGTGACAAGAAAATGCAATACCTCAAAAATTTAAATAGCATTGCAATTTCTTATTTAGTTTGTCCATTATGGGTTCTCGGGTCAGCTTTTGCTTTAACCACTGACTACAGAAAGACTCCAGTGTGTCCCCCGATGAAAGGCTGTTTTTGCTAACATACATATCTTTCAAATTTCGTTTTGCTTATTTTCGGTTTCTAACTTTTTATTTAAATTGTTAAACTAAACATAGTTACACAATTTTTCAAAAGGTTTAAAATGAGTGAAGTTTACATGAGATGCAAACCAACTCTAGTACTACTGCTTCTATTACGGAGGGTTAGCTTTTAGAATGTTACATAAATTAGGAATTGTTTTTTTACCTTATTTCCCAGATACTCCTTGGGTGCAGAGAAATAGAAGAGATCGTCCTGGGGCCATTCTAGAGGCAGGACAGCTTTGACATCTTCTGTGAGAGTAATTGGCACACCTTCCACTTCCATCATCTCTTGCTTCATTGTAAACACTTTCTTGTCCCAACCAGACATTGTATACACCTACATTGAACACAAAGGGGATGATGATATTTTAAAATATAAGACAAGCACCCCCCTCCCAAAAAAATAATAAATAAAGCTGATTAGTTCGTGGTGTAACTAACACAATAAATAATAAAAACCAATTCACTTCTATATAAGCCATGTTAATTCGATTCCATCTCGAGGTACCTTTTGATAGAAGAAGGTTCACATCGTCGATAGGGGGANAGACTAGCGCAAATCGGGAGCGCGGACGTTGAGAAAGGATTATAAGGGAAAATTAAGGAAAATAATACAGAAAATATAGGAAAAAATAGGAAATATAGGAAATATAGCAATTTTTCTAAATTAATAGGAAATATAGGAGCGCTGCGAGGCCTGCTCTTTATAGATGAAGGTCGACACAGTCGATAATTATATCCCTTTATAGGTGACCGTCGCATGTCATAGGAACTCGCAAACATCGATGGATGGTCCCCATTAAACAGTTGATGTGTTCACAAAATAGCGCTCAAAAGTCTGGTGAAGTAAATACAATTCTCCCAGCCAGTAAATAAAATAAGAAAAAAAATAATGAGCGGAAAAAAAGTTCTTTTTTTTGCATTAATCAATTAAAGCTTTGGTAAAATATGCTAATAATGATTAATATTATTTAAAAACAATACTATAACTAAAATACCTAATATTTAAACAAAAATGGTTAAATTTATTAATTACGAAGTAATCATTAAATAAATTATATTATAGTTACATTTATTCAAAACTCTTATTAATTTGTAATGACAAAAACCCACTTTGTCAGTTAGACGTTAAATACAGAAGAAATTAATTTAGATCAGTAAATATGAAAAAAAATTATTCTAAATTACTTTTTACTTTATAAATCTTATCTAATTTTATACACAAACTACATCATTAATTCATTTTAAAAGTACTTGTATTTAAATAAACCTAAAACTGAGTGTGATTGAAATATAGTTATTTGACAGCAAATCAATTCACCTACACCTAATAGAAAATTATAATTTAAAAGTTTCCCATTACTTTTAACCATATTTAGTATGAATTTTTATTTATTACCCTTAACATATTTGAACATAAAATAATTTACATCAATTCCCTTAGCATTTTTTTCTAGATAAAACCTTCAATATCAATTAAATCAGATTTAAAAAACTCACCTCCTTAAAAAGATATTTATTAACTGTATAAAAATATATATTCAACTAAAAAAACTGTCAATTTAAATCATCGATTTTTTCTTAAAAAATAAAATGATTTAAATTGTGATACAGTTCATAATTTAAATTATACCAATCCTGCTTTAAAGTGAAACTTAGAAATTTTGGGAAAATATTGACTTTTAACAAGTTTTACTGCAACAGGTAAGGCTACTTTTCCTGGATCAGCATATGAAATAAGCAGATAATTAAAGTGATGACTTACTTGAGCTGAAAAAAGATATCCACTGGAGCACCTGTCCGTTGCCCCAAAGCAGAAGCACTTAGTGCATCCCAGTGGGTTAACTTCCTCCAGATAGAATGTACCCGGTTTGCACTGGTCACAAGAATCACCATAGACATTCTCCTACAAAATCACACCAATGAATATACGTGTGCGTGCAACAAACAAAGTATATTATGTATGAACAATCCTTACTTTGCAAAAACATCTCGCTGAATCTTGTTCACAGATGTCCTCTGTACTGCCTCGCAAATCACAGTTGCACAGCTGGCAGTGTGGAAAGGCCCAGTATCCTGCTTTGCATTTGTCACAAGTGCGACCTACAATATTACTCTTACATCTAGAATAGAAAAAAATTTCATTTATTTATATTTTTTAGCAAACATTATTGATGTTCGCGGAAGTCTTTTAAAACTACTTAATAGTCACAAATGTTTCTCTCTTTTTTTTTAAAAATTGACTACAATGTGAAAGGTCTTTAGTCCTGTACTTGTGCATACAGAAGAGTATATGCAATACAGAAGAGTATATGAAATTATTTTAGATTTATTCATTGTACATATTATACTAATTATAAAAAAAATCACTCCATATTAAAAACACATACTGCCATCATTAGACTGAGAAAACTTAAATTGAAGACAAAGTAACATTTGAAAGCTATAATATCTCTATAAGAAACAATTATAAGTATATCAGATGTTGATAAACTTCTTATTTTTCCACAGAAAGTGTTGAGAATTAAAGGTGCAGCATAGAATTAATACAGTTATAGATTTGAATAAATGAGATGCTTAAAGGGGGTTATTATTGAAATGCTCACCTGCATTGTCCACTGCTCAGATCACATTGAAGTTGGCCATTGAGTGTACCCAATGGATTGCAATTGCATTCCTCACAGCCAATGATGGGATCAAATCCATAAGTGTAAGGGACACACGTATCACATTTGTCACCCATCACTCTTGGAGGACATATACACTGTCCAGTCACAGGCTGACAGTAGGCAGTGGATGGACAATCACATGGCTTGCAGTTAGGAAAACCAAAGAACCCAGTTCGGCACTGGGAGCATGTTCTGCCAATGACATTGGGCTTGCACTGGCATTGACCACCAAACGATTCACACTCGTAGCTCAGGGATCCGTCTGTGTCACATTTGCAAGGAAGGGCTCCGTTGTTGTACTCGGATGTCAGAGAGAATGCAGATTCACGACAGAAGCCTACAACATAAAATACAACATGTGATCACTTCTTACTGAATTAATTACAGTAGAACTTAGATTATGTGAAGTAATTGGAACACAATCTACTTCAGATAATCAAGATCTTTGGATTGTACAGTTTCATTTTATTTTATAATTGCTGTTGAACAGCCAAACCTTTTTGGATTTGAGACTATCAATGTTCAAATCCAGAGCAGAATAATTTTGCAACCAACCCTGAAAACAAGGGAACTCTTGGTTTAAACTAGCTTTCAAGGAGTACTTTTTGAAAGGACTAATCTGCATAAGTGTTACATGGTAATGATAGCCACAAGAACCTTCCTACAGTTACCCTAAAGGCAAGGGAATTTTACCCCGCGATTCATCGACCACTAAAGGTATTTTATATCAGCACTGTGGTCAGTTACGAGCCGGGTGCAGAATTTGTATAGACCAGCAATCACTGTGATTTGAACCTGTCCCATTTCATGGGAATGTTAGCGCTCTTTTCCCTGAGCCACAGCGACTCTATAGATCTATATAACAATTTATCTCAATATAATAATTTTGGATCTTTAACCATCGACTTAAGTAATATCTAAAATATGGAATTTTTTTAAAATCAAGAGCTTCCAAATCCCTCAGCAGATAGATTTGATTTGAAAAGTTTCTGTATACCACCAATGAAATGTTTCAAGAAGCTGTATATTTTAAACTTCTATTTCTTTGAAGCGTTTTAACAAATTAAAACAAAAATTAATTAAAATTTACATAAATAATAAGAATATACCTGTAACGTCTGAAGGCAAAAGGAAGCTATTTTGGCCACATTCTGTGATAAATTTTCCAGCCATGTCTTGTTTCATTGGTTCAAGGATATCTTCTTGGAACTCTCGAGCAGGTACAACCAGCACATATGCCTGCCATTAATTTAACCATCATTATAACAGTGGCTTGTAGTTAGACTTTGAAAAAGTAAGCACTTTAATTATGCTTTAACTAGATGACAAAGTTGCTTTATATGTGTAAGTTTAGAACATGTTTATTTTTTTATGCACCTTATATATATTTTGCACCCAGAGAATATCAATGTTTGAGTCATCCCAGCTAAAAATATTTTTAAAAAAAGGATGCCAAAAAATTTTACTTTTTTAATTTAATTTTTAAAAACTATCTTTTAATGGTAATTATAGTTAAAACTTTAAATATTATGCAAAATAGAAAATAATTTTAAGGAAAAAAAAGTTTGGAAAATTATAACTAATTATTAAATACATAAACAATTTAATACATTAAATAGATCACTTCGTTACCATAAAATACATTAATTGTATAATGCAAAAAATACATTTAAGAAAAAATAACAGAAAGTTTTGCTTGGATAAATTTATAATAGATAAAAGAATGAAAAGTTTTGCCTCTGCTAAGAAAATGAAATTTTAAGTTTTTATGTAAATAAGATTTTTGAAAAATAGTTAGATCAGAGGTGTATACTATTTATTTTAAAAAATATAAATATTCCAAAAAATTAAAAAAACATGATTATGTAAAGCAGTGAATGAGGTAGAGAATTATGGGTAATCTTAAAACTTTTCTGAAAGGAATTTGATAATACAATACTTTTTGTTTTGTCCTCAAAATGATAAAAATAACTAAAAAACCTGAATCTATACAATTAACAAAGTTATAATTTTATGTTTTTCAGTTTTGAATACTACTATTTTACTGGGTGTAATGCCAATGATGACTACTGCAAGAATAGGTAAGAATGCCACTTGCATTTAAAATAATATATAGATATCTATTTATATATACTTGCCACTTCTAAATCTTTTAACTAACTAAAAAAGTACAAAAATTTGAAAAGTGGCACTCAAAGGCTAATTATGATGTCTTATAAATTTTTACATCAATGGCACATTTATTTTCATGCATATTTGAGTAATGAAGATTTAAAAAAATATATAAGTAAAGTAAAGAACAAACTTAAGATTTTATAGTTTGATAAACATTTTTAGAAGTTTAGATTTCTATTAGGTTATGCATAAAATAGAAATGAATAGCTACGAACCATTTATTCAAAATAATTAAGCAATTAGCCATTAATTAATGGGACTCAACCTTTTATCAAAATTTCACCCTTAAGGTCAGATTTTTAATTTAAAAAAAATATTCATTCTTGTATATCTATCATTTTATTATTTTGACAGTAAAAGAAATCATTTTATTAAAATGTATTTTAAATGCAGCGAATATTAAATAAAGTATAAGAACTCTCACCAGCCACACGGTCTTATTATTTGGTTGCCGTATATTAAGATGAAAATCCTGAACGACATGGAAGGCTGTAGAATCTGTTTCTTTGGATCGGGCGACGGTACGGCATCCAGACGTTCTAGGACAGTAGGCTAAGTTCAACACTCCTTCTTGGAAATCATCAGTCTGAACTACGACTTTCGCTTTAAATGCAGAATGTTCAGGCTAGTATTTCAAAATATAAGACTCTTTTAATGCAACATAACTAATATGTTTTAACATTTGGAGTAAAAGTTATATTTTTTGACATTAAATGGGGATTTTTTTTCCCATCCATCTTTTAATAATTTAAGAGCTGTGTTTAGATTACTAAAGTATATTAACCCCTTCAGAATCAGAATCACATACAAGTGATTCGCCCTTCATGGTCATCAATGTATAAAACTATTGCAGCAAGGGGTCAATGATCTCTATACAATACTGTCATATTAGTAAGAATATGTACTCTTTAGTACGGTAGAGAACCGATTATCCGGAACGATCGGGACAATCGCGATTCCGGATAACTGATTTTTCCGGTTTTTTGAATCGCTACAAAATGCCTTTTTTTAATGTTTATAAAACGAAACTAAAAAATTATTTTGAAATAGTTTTAGAAATAATAAAAATTTATAAATAATAATACACTTAAGTTTAAATAAGGAAAGAAATTATGAAATAAAAATTATATACAGGCTTATATATGTTATTAATGTTATTATTAACATTAATAACATATATAAGCTATTTGTGCTTATGTGAGATTCGTCTACAAACGGCCTTTGATCCGTCCTCTAAATCAGTTCTTTCGTCAACTNATATATATGTTATTAATGTTATTATTAACATTAATAACATATATAAGCTATTTGTGCTTATGTGAGATTCGTCTACAAACAACTTTTGATCCGTCCTCTAAATCAGTTCTTTCGTCAACTCGATATGCCGTACGCTCTAAATAACAAAATGGGCTCAAAATCTTGCAGGAAGAAAAAAAAAATTTCATGGAAGAAAATTTATTTCCGGTTCCGAATTTCATTCCGGTTATCTGGTTTTCAGATTTCCGGATAAGAGGTTCTGCACTGTACATATAGTTTCAGAGTATGGGGGCCTGGGGAAGCACTGTTTCCTCATTCTGCCAGTCCATAATGGATTAATGGCATGGATCAACAAAATTCTGAAATTTACAGCACAATGCGGAATGAAAAGTATATTTACAATTACTCTTACTTCATATAAAGAAAATCATGCATTACTTTTGATTTGATACAATAAAAAAAAAATAATAATAAACAGGCTCTAAGAAGTATGGAATACAGTTTTGTTGCACAGAAGATTTTTAAAAAAAATCTGCGCTAACCTTTAAGTTGAAGAATTTTATGTAAATTTTAACGAAACTCAAAGTGTTTTTTTTTTTCGTCAAAAGTAATGGTAGAAAATGATATTGGGAATTATGAACAGAAACGTTAGGAATGATAACATCATAATTAAAAACAACGGACAAAGGAAATAAAAAACAACGATTTCAATAATACTTAATATTTTCACTCCAATAAATTTTTCTTCTTAGAAAATACAGTCAACATAATCAAAATTTATTCATATCTTAAATATGTATAATTTTTGTTAAGTTTTAGCGACAAATATAACCATACAATATTCAATTAAATATATAAATACTCAGGAATTTATGAATTTTTGGTATTTACAGACAATTACAAAGAGATAAATATTTTACATCTGCAGTTGTTGTCTGAAAATCCCCCAGCAAACAAACTATAGGTTAACAATTTAAGTAATGCAATTCACATCTTTTTGCACACTCACATTGGTTTGGATTCTAATCTGAATCAATTTGAGAGGTTTATCATAACTATCAATTATGCTTTCGTACTAATTATAAGTTTCGATAATGATTTTTCAGAGGTTTTATAGGAACCAGATAATTTTGGATTTTGTATCTATTTAAAATATAAACTATTACTTATTGTATTATATTTAAATAAAATGATTATTAGTTCCCAAAATTCTATTTTATAACTAACACTGTTCATACTTGATTCCGTTTAAGAAAGTTTCAACCAAACAATATTAATCATCTACAATCAATTTACATACAGCCTCACCTTTTTCTTGTTATTGCAATGTGTTCTATTATTAATTATCTCAACTATTTAATCCTCCCTGGTTGTAATCCAAACGCTTCATATTTAGCCGATAATTGAAATTTAAAAATATAATCCATATTACATCAAGAATAGAAAACAAACATGCATAGTGTCTTTTGGCATTATTGCAATGAACCCATTTTCAGGGTGAATGGAGATAGTTTTTGAAAAGATGTTTTTTTTAAATATCCATCAAGTGAAGCAACTTAATTCTCTCTGATCTCTTTGAATGATATAGATGTCTTTTCCTTGCCTTCATTCAAAACAAAATGAGAAAGGAAAACACTGTCTTTAATACATTTATCATTTGATAATGATTAAAAACCACACACTGCTACAAACATATATATCATATTGTATCTCCATGCAGAGAATTCAAGGCTTTGGAACTATTGCAATGACACTATAACTTGCAATTTATATTGAATTTTAACACGTCCCAACTTTTAGAAAAATTTACTTTCTAAAGTCTTTTGTCTACATTTATGTATGAGAGCATTACCTGGTAGTAGTGGAGGACAAAAGAATAAAGTCCAGGAGATGGAACGGAACCTTTCAAGTCAACGACGTTATCATTTTCCTGGAGGCTCACCAGTGCAATGTCACTTTCAACCACATCAGATACCCTGCTGTACTCATTGTAACCAGATTCCTGGAATTCCACCTGTTACAAATGAACATTATGTTTTAATATTACATTACAAATATTAAAATATGCACATATATATAAGCATGTTTTTTGTAGCTTGTTATTTTACGTCAATCAAAGACACCAATTGTGCTGATCAACAGTGTTATTGGGCAAAAATCTTATGCCTTGTTTGCAATCAAGATCTTTATTTAAACCTGTTTGGGTGAACAAGCAGTCTGCCACTAGAGGTTATTGAATGCTAAGTCAGAAAGTGTCTTTTTACGTTATGACTCGAGATTTGCATGTATTTTTGAATCCGATGCAATTATAATAGTTTAGTTTTTGTCGAGGTGCGTTGGCATTGACATTCTGAAAATTATATGCGAGTTTAAATAGAGCTGTCACTTGAACTTAGAGCTAATGCAAAATATTTGTTTCTAACTGCTTATTTTTGTTATAGACGCATCATCATATTCCATTTAAGTACTATTATTATTTTGATGTTCGTCACATTATTACTTTACGAGAGTTGCATTTGTTACTTAAATTTATAATTTTATATGTAAAGTTTGGTTGCCTCATTGTAAAATGTCTGAATTTTTGTTTGACATATAATTGGGACAGCCTCCAGACTAATCCATGCATTCTACACACAGTTAGTGAGTTTTCTTGGTCATACTTCATTTTCATGCCTTTGGCCAAACAGAAAACCCATTATCCCATTTGAATGGGGAGGCAAGTAAAACTGTCTGATGGATATTCCGCATGCGAATGGCAAGATCAGGCAGACTCCTTGCAGTCAAAATGTTTTATTTTCATGTTTTTATAAAACACGTGGCTAGCCAAAAGAAACCATATTGAAATAAGTGTGATGCAATCTATATTTAAAAATTGGGAAAATTATAAAAATGTGATACGAATTTAAACTTTGTGTGGATGAAATATATAACTAATTAAATATTAAAAACCTAAGCAATTGTACATAAATGGGCATTCATAAAAATTTTACTATGATTCGTAATGAATATAAATTAATAAATTACAGCCTTTAAATGGAATACAAATACAGGAAATAACAGTGAAGACATAATGAATCTGGAGACTTGTTCAGATTTAGAAACAAATATCAATGAGTAGTATATAAATAAAAACATTTCATGGGTGGATTTTGTTCCTAGTAACTTTACACCAGTAGGTTTAATAAAAAAAATGAGGGTAGCTGACACTTTGAATAAAATATTATTGTTTTAATTGTTAGTAACTCTCCTACTAATAAATTAACTGCAACCATCAATTAGTCAGATGAAGATAAATGCTACAGGTCATAAGAATACTAAACTTGACTATAATTCAGTTTTTAAAAAAATGAGCATTTAAAAACAACAAAAATCTTTTTTAATCATTCAGCTGTTACTAGGACTGGGCTATATATCCATGCATCGCGAAATATAGATTTAATACATATATCGGCAGGCTGATATAATGACTTTCGTTTTAGGCGATGCATCAGAAATCTGATTTAAACCGCTGACAGTGACTTTCGTTTAAGGCGATGCATCAGAAATCTGAATTTAGCTGGCGGTACTGATTTCCATTTTAGGCGATGCATCAGAAACCTGATTTAAGCCATCGGTATATGGCAACACTCGCAGTTTAACGATTTAACAAGTGAGGATCCTTGCCTACGCTAACGCTGTCACTGCACTGACGAAGACGATTTCGTCTAACTGCGGAAATGTTGATAGAGTTTAGTTACGGAGACTTAGTTTCGTGATGTTGAATGACGAAGAGCGAATTGAATCAGTTCAGAACTCTCGGTTTTGTGAGAGGATCATCGTTGAAATGGAACGCTATACATAGTTTCTTTATGCGCCATTTTTACCTTTGCGATTTTACTTTTCACTTTTTTTCCTTCTTTTTTGCTGGTCGGGATTTAACGATTCTTGTCAATTATTTTTAGTAGACCTACTGTTACTTTGAGATCGTAGCGCGATCGCTATTATCTTACATTTTCGTTCTGAATTCAATCTATTAATGTAAGGAAAATATGAATTTAAAAAAAATTCTTCATTGTTTCTTTCTTTCTTCTAATTATTGTTTTTATTTTAAGCGATACAATTGAATAGGGGTATTTTGTATTTAACTTTGTTATAAAAAGTTATTATTTTTTTTTTAATTTTTATTTATTTGATGCATGTAAGTATAATAATTCGATTATTTTTAGACCAATAAATCTTCAATCGTTTTTATTATGAAAAAATTTGACTATTAGTTAATATACAAATATTTTTTTTTAATTGAATTAAAAGTTTAGCAATGTTTTGACATTTTTTTAATAATTTAACAATAGTACTTAAGAGTATTTTTTTTTAATTTTTCTTAAAATTTTTTCGATACTTGTTTTATAATTTCTTAGACAGTCAGTATCAATTTGAAACAAATAAATCTTTAGTCGATTTTATTTTCAGAAAGAAAATAATAAATAAATAAAAAACGTACATTTATTTTTACATTTATTAAGTATAGAATTTGACCATTAGTTAATGCAACTTTATTATTTTAAATAAATAAATAAAAGGTCTAACGATGTTTCAAAAGCAGTTTTTTTCAAATAATTTAAAAATGTTTTACTAAAGTAAAAATTTCTTCAGTTTGTTTTTACTTTCGTTTTTTTTCTTTCTTTTAATTTTTAATGCATGTATGTAAAATATTTTGTTACATTTTTATTAATATTTTTAAACCAATGAATCTTGAGTCATTTTTAATTTTAAAAAATTTAAATTAAACTTTGGTTTGTTTTTATTTAAGACATTTTCTTTTGTAATAGATTTATTCCTTTAGTTTATTTGTTGATAAATGTAAAGATTTCTGATATATAATTTTTGAACATGTGCTAAATCGCGATACATCGCTATATCTAACAGACGACGTATCAAGATATAAAATTTCTTACATCGCCCAGTCCTAGCTGTTACTCACTTTTGTGGCCTCTGGTGCAGGTGGATATTCAGATTCAATACACGCACCATCTTTTTTAATGCATAATGGTTGAGGCACAATATAGTCTAGGTGCCACAGATCAGCAGGCACTAAAGCGATGTTATCAACTGCAATGTCCGATTCATCCAATATCTCCATCTTGGCTGTGACATAATTGCTTTCAAGATCAAATATCAAAACCTCTCCTACTTCATTTAAAACCACTTGGCGACACAGGTAAGAGTATCCACAATCGCTTAATGTGACTTTCCCATCTTTGGTCTCTCCTTGGTCAGAATCGGATATTTTGACAGTAGCTGTAGTACTGCGAATAGGCTGAGGTGTGTGATAAGTCATAATAATAACATGTGGGCCAGGACGAGAGACGGTGAAGTCTAGATGTAGATTCTTTTGTTCGCTATCTAACCAGGCCATCCTGTCGGTCTGCAAAATCTAAAGAGGAGGAAAATCCTTAAAACACTTTTGAACAACTGAAAAAATAACAATCAAATTTATAAATTACAAATTAAAAAACACGCATTGAATTTACAATTACAAATGGCATGCTATTCTTTATAATCAAACAAATGCTTAAATAAGTATTCACACTTAAAATTCATAATAATAAACATGAACCTTAAGCATAAATACTCAACCTAACTCTCAAATATAATATTCAGACTTTAAAATTTTGCATAAAACAAAAAATCTAGTATTAAATAAAAATTTTTTAAATTTAAGCTATTCTTATAATATTTTTGTCAAACAACTGTATTGGTCATTTTTAGTTTTGAGAGAAACAAAGAATTTTATTCATTTATTGTTTCTAAGGGCAAGATTAAAAGTAAACTACAGCAATACGAAAAACCCTCTAGAAAACAAATATGTCATTTTTTTAGAATTATTTACAAGTAAAGAAACAAACAGACAAAAAATATTTCAGTTACATGGTGCATAATGGCAACCATACATAAAAGCTATTAATGTTAAATTCACACAAATAAAACGACAGAACTATTGAAACTTTACTAAATACTATTGACTAAATCAATCGAGTTATGCTATTTAATAGATCAGGTAGGTGATTCTTCACCTTTCACTGAAAAAAATATAATTTCATTCAACTGTGAGAATGACAATAGTCGTTTTTTAAAATGAGGTTATGCACTTCATGTTCGCTATAAGTAAATATTTATGGTATTCCTGCTTGTATACTGGCCTCACATTATTGCATGCATTTTTGTTAGGTCAACAAGGATCATTAGATCAAGGGTCAACTGAATACAGCAAAAAATAACACTTTTAATACCAAATGTAATAAAGAACTCATCCAAGTTAGGAAAAAACTGCTATCCCTTTTATTTGAAACAAATTCTTCATGTTTTCCATCACATAACAGAACGTTAAAAAAAATTGACCATCTTGATTCAATGTGTAACATTTAATTCAGTTTTTGTCAACAAAAATAAGAAAGAAAGAATGGAAAATACTCACGGACAGCGTCTCGGTCTCATCGTAAGTGTTGGTCCTAATTTTTTCCTCACCATATTCATCAAGAACGTACCCTGTGTTGCCCTTAGCGATTTCTGCATTAATGGGAAGAGGTGGAAACCTGTACATAAGGCACATCTCTTCATTTGATGATTGCAGAAGACAGGGATTCAAGACATGCTGTTGTAAGAGTGTGGCTTCGTAATAGGATTGTGGCAGCAACACCATGTAATCCTGATTGAGGTTTAAATGGATTATTAACAAACAAATCATTAGGATCAAATATAGAACACAGTTAACAGCAACAATTCTGCTCTCTCTCGTACGCCTGTTAAGTCAGAGTTGTGTGATTGCTCTTGTTTTCCAGCGGCGCCATCTATGGCCAAGAATTCAACTTCCCCTACACCCATACGTCACGCCCATTTATAGAGCGGACCCATGGAGGACTTAGCGACTCGACTGATTTTATGTGTATCAGTCACCATTTACTGCACAGGGAGTCTTTGGCCGGCAGGGTTCGAACTCTCCGACTTGGGCCCAGCGCCCTACCGACCAGGCTAACCCGGCCTAACAATTCTGCTAAATATGATAATTGGAGATAGCCATCCGATTACCCCATATGAATAGTAATTTTGTTTAATAAATACGTAATTATTATGAATGTTTTAGAACAGGGGTGTCAAACTCAAAAGGTAACTTGGGCCAAATAAACAATGCTTAACTTTAGGTGGGCCGCAAAAAAAAAATGAATGTTCATAGAAACAAATATTCTTATTTCGAATTGTAATAAACATATATAAAGTTAAATTATTGTTTAAGTTCTGATACTTCATCTTTTCTCTGCTACTATCTTTTCTATTTCGAAGAGAAATTTTTTTGGCCGAGACTACTTTCAAAATTTACCCAACATGAGCGTTATTAATACGGTTTCGGACAGGAGATTTATTTCCATTCATAACAGTAAATAATTGCTCTCACTGATATGTACTTCCAAACATGGAAATAATTTCAAATGCGAGTTTTTGCATATTTTCAAACCTTGCCGGTAAATATTCGTAAAATTAAAGCACACCCACTTCAATGAATTTTGCCAACTTTGAGTCTCACTGAATCTCAATCACTTCCATTTGCATATAACTGGGTACTGAGTCTATATTTATTGAGAAAATCAAAGAAAACAAACAAAATTTGCCTTTCAAAGAATTATAATCTTTAAACCCTGTTTCAAATTCTGTTCAAAGATTTAATTTTTTTTTTTGCATATTTTTTATATGATGCAGTATCACCTGAACTAGATTTGTTCCTGTTGCGCGTAGTCCGTTAAATTTTCATTTTTCAGTTGCCTTTCCCAAAGAAATAGTTTACATTTGAATGCATTAATTATGTCAAACATGTTCGTAATGATCTGATCCTTGCCTTGTAACAATAAATTTAAATCGGATAAGTGTTTGGTTACATAAAAGATAAATCTTGCAACCATATTTGATCGGAGAACAAGCTTGTATCTTGATTTTTAGTTTGTAAAAACTTACATATTTCTTCTTTCGCATCCCAGAAGGAGCAAGATAACCAACGTACCTCGCTATAGTAGGATAAACCTGAATATGTACTATACTGATAGCTTAGTGTGAAACGGACTCCATTTCAGCCAATTAGAATTTTACATTTTTGCGTTTACAATTTAAAATGATCCGTAGTTTATAAATAAAGTATTATAATTTAAGTATTATAATTTAATAAAGTATTATAAGTATATATATTATAATTTTATATGCTGGTTTCGTTTCTAATTCATATTTCCATTTTATTTTTACTTTGTTTCGGATATATTGACTGGGCCACAAAAATGTTCATCTCAGGCCGCAGCGAGTTTGACACCCCTGTTTTAGAATATTCTGCAAATTACGCTATTCCTCACTGTTCCCTAAAATTTTTCTTCATTGGAGAAATAAACCTTGTCATGTTTACCATACTTTGAGAAATGTTTCAAAACAACAGCACCTTGCACAATTAATATCAACAGTTTTTTTTTAATATTGTTTAAAGTTTTCAATGTTTGAAAAAGTGACCACTGTTAAAAATGCTACAAATGATGAGTAGTAAAACTTCAATAATTTTGCTCCATAAGAGCAGACAGTACTTCGAGATTATCCAGTCGACCATTTTTGCTAGACCTGATATTATTGCCAAAAGATAGCTTCTGCGCCAATAACCACAAATTTTAGCATATTTACTAGTAATCCTTGACTACGTGAGTTAGTTTTCTTTTGAGTGTTGAAATATACTGTTTTTTTTTACTCCGTTGTAAAATGGTTAGAATTTGGGATTTGCCTAGCACAGAAGAGAGTGCAGTTTTCAAACGTATGGAATAATTTGTTTGTGGGGTTTGGCAAAATGAAGAAACAAAAAATACTGGTCCACCCGAAAATACTTGGATTCGTATTTAAATGAATTTATGTGGCGGCAACAGCACAAGGATAATGACTTGCTTATTTGTGCTTTAAAAGCTATCAAGGATTTTTGGCCACAGAAATGATTTATAATAATATATATGGTTAGATTCAAAAATAATTCAATGTGAAATTATAAATGAAAAAAGAAGTTTTTACTTTCCTTTTATTACGCTTTTAGAATACATATTTTCACACTTACATTTTTTTCTATTATTTTATTATTACTATTATTTGATAAATTGAATAAGTTGAAATAAATATAATGTTAATGTATATGTTTTCTAATTGCATATATGTTCTTGTGACTGATATTGTAAGAAATTACTTTTAGTCAATAAAAAGACATTCCACTAATTTGTAATAATATTGAAAGAATAATATGACATATATAAGTAGAGACCTGTAGCCCAAAAGATTTTCAATACTCCAGCTCTTCTCTCAGATAATCATCAACTCACATAGAAAATATCAAATTAATTCACAGTTATTCTTTCATTCTTAATGAAAGAGTTGAATCTAATAAATCTTCCTTTATATTTGATGTTAAACATTATAAATATAATTTTAATGCCAAGAATAGTTTTTCTACTACAGCTTGGCTAATGCCGTTATAATGCAGTAAGCCTCTTGAATGTCTGTAGGATACAATGAAATTGCTGGAGCATGGGAACATTTAATGACCCAGCACTCTTGAGACTATACTTAATAACGCGATAATATATATATTATCCCCTCTATAAGTTGACCACTTGTCTGAGTTAATGTAATGTACTCCTTGTGGTCAAATTACAGAGATTTTACTGTAAACAGAAGTGAAAACTGTTATTTATTTGAAACCAGAACGTTGGAAGTGAAATGCTAATCAAGATAAAAATGAACTTGGTGATTTACCAGAAAGAGAGGCTTTTCGATCCTTAAGGACACTGTCCACCGTCCAGGATTGAGAACAAATGGTGAGGCTATTAGTCCCTGCTTGCCAGACACTTTCATGAACTTTGGTTTTGTGGTTGTTTCAAACACCATGTCACTGCTTTGCTGAATATCTATTGAATACAAATTACAATAATTATTAGATAGCAATTATATGAGACTAAAATGTTATAAAAGCCATTATTAAAACTTGCTTCCATAAAATAGCATGTTATCTAATATTTAATAAAGGCGTTTACATGTTTTGCCCTAAAGTGCAACTAAAAAAAAGACTTACTTCAACACTTAATGCTTTTTTTAAACCAAAATACTTATAATATACTAAATTTTATAATTCATTACAAAATATAATTAATTGATCTTAAAAAGAGTGCTATCTAAGCTACGTAAAATTAGATTCAATATGAAAATAATGAAGTTAGAATCATATTTCAAATAAAAATATTTGTTAAGCGTTATTAGCAAAATGTTTGTTTATTAGCAGAATTGGGAAATTAGCAGAAATATTTTCCGTTAAAAAACTTTTAATGTGCCTTCTTACGTGTTAAAAAGACACAGATATTAACATTTAATCTTTAAATGTTAAAACTAAATTTCTCTTAAGACTTGTTACATTTGTAATCTAAAAAAAAGGAAAAATATTTTAAACTGCATCATAAGTAGAACTGAGAAAAAGAAAAATGTGAGGAAATTATTATTATGCAGCAGTCAAATTAATAAATACTAACCTAATTATTTAACAGTTACAGATAGAATATTGTACTTACCTCCAAACTTCTCTGGAGTAAAGGTTATTGTTCCATAAACTGGCTCACCCCCAAAATTTAAGTAATAGAAGAAAACTTGGTAGAGACTTGGCTTTTCGATGTACAAATCCAACAATACTTCTTTCTGAGGTAAAATATAATTTTTTTTTTAAAAAAAAGCAAAAAATGGATGCATTTTATATTTACAAACACACATTTATAAAAATAATTGTGCCACTACATGCTATAGGTGATAATTTTGAAAACATAAAATAGATTTGTTATGAATGAAATTGTTCATTATGCACTCAAGAATACATTACAATGAAGAAAAAAAGCTTCAAATATATTTTAAATACAATTAAAAATTAAACTCACATAAAGAGTAAGAATCTCTTAATTTTTATATGACTCTTTTACCATTAAATTTTCGATTTTTGATATTATTTGTTTTGTCAAACATCAATAATTTCGTTTCTGAAAGAATGAAGACATTAAGTAAGTATAAGTCATAGGAACTGTTAAAATTAATTTAATACAGTGGCAGTTATACTTGAAGTTTTGACTACATAACAACTAAAATGTTTTCTCATGTGACACGAAAAGACTTAAATAAACATGTCTGTTCCTGATTTTAGAAAAGCTTTCTACCTGTATGGAGGAAAAGACAGCATAGCCTCGCCATGAGAATCTTGGGAAAACAGATTCCTCATAACCATAACGAACTTGAGTGCCAACAGGCGTCCTGCCGTCTTCTATTTCAAACTGGTGTTGGAAAAGGGTGGGAAAGAAATGTGTTTGGAGAGGTTCATCACACTTACGACCACTGATTCTAGGTCGGCAGGCACATTGTCCGCTCTCCTTTTCACAAAAGTTATTCACTGAACCACCAATGTCGCATCCACAATCTGGCAACAAAATAAAACAATTAAGTTTTTGAACAATAATTTTGTCTATTTTCTTGATGAAAACATTTGAGCGATGTTTAGCGAACTTTGATGCATTTTAAAAATATGTGTAATATTATGGAATAGTAAATTAAATACAGTAGGGAACCGATTATCCGGAACCATCGGAACCATCGTTCCGGATAATCGCTACAAAAAGCCGTTTCGCTTTCTGAATCGCTACAAAAAGCCGTTTTTTTATTGTTAAACCCAACTAAAAAATATATATATATTGGGAAATAATCTTAAAAAGAAGAAAAAACGATGAAGTAATACACTAATGACTATTTCCAAAATGATGGTAAGGTAAACTTACGAAAAGGAAAGAAAAATCCTAAAATCTTATGAGGAAAAAAACATTTTTTGAAAAAAATGGAGGGAAAATTTATCGAATTTCGTTCCGGTTTTTTTGGTTTTCCGGTTTTCTGATTTCCGGATAACGGGTTCTGTACTGTACTACATTTTTGCAAACATGCATAAAATTCATTCAGTCCTACATTTTGATTCAATTTAATTCCTGTGTATGCACACCAACATTTCAGATTAATGAGAAATGTTTTTTTGAGTGGAAGGGAAGTAAAGCAGAATTTTTTAATATAAATACAATTTTCATCAAAACATAAGAGCATGACCATATGTCTGTTTAAATTGTTTAGTGGTGATTAAAATTATCATTATTTGAATATTACCTTTTCCATGACCAACAAAAATATTTTTTAAAACAATGGAAATTCCATAGTAGTTGGAAAGTATGTTTCTATACTGCTAGAGAAGATCTATTACATTATATAGAATTTTTTGTTACATATGTTTCCGTGAACGACCGAAACGGGTGGTTGTTGACTTCCACCGGTGAATGTTGACAATCACATAGTCGCTTTGGTAAATGTCCAAAATATATACTAGGTCTACGGGGGTGTGTTCAGGCCGAATTTACTACCGTTTAGCGGTACCTTCACAAATTCAACTTTAGGAAAAACGGTAGTTTCACAAATTCAATTTTCGGAAAAATGATAGTTTCACAAAATACTCTTTCTTAAAATTTTATTTTTGTATCCCTTAAGAAACGATAAATCCATATTTTTGTGTGGATTTTTAAATATAATTTTTAATTTTTCACAAATTATGGCTAAATTTTCACAAAATAGGTATATCTCAGAAAAACCTAGACAGACCCCTGGTCTAGTTCAGTACCACTGCCTGGTATACATTTGCTCAGTATGTCCTATATCAATATTTTTTTAAAGGTCAAGTGCCACTGCCCAGTATGCATTTAACCGGTACCGATGTTTCTCCTAATCTATCCTCAGCAGATATTGAAATATCGAATAAATACTATATATATAATATCAATGAATAAATTAATATCAAATCGGATATAACAAATATTTCAGGCATTCACCAAAGTGACTATGTGATTATTGATATTCATGGAAATATATAGATTATTTCACTTATCATTAATCTTACTTATTAAATGTTACAATGCATATCTGGAACAGTTAAATATTTAAATATTTTGAAATAATTTGTAGGTGCATGTTACTTCAAAATATAAAAAATATGAGTTTAGGTGTTTCTTATTTACAGGTAAAAGAAGATTAAAAAAACTGAAATATAAGAGCATTATATTAGAGTGAACAAAAAAAATTATCAATTTTGGTTTTCCTTATGAAGCAAATCAAAACTAGAATGCGAATACTATCACAATATTAGATTTAGGGATTGTTGCATCTTTGTAAACAATTTTATACCTTCCAACCTCAATTTTGAAAATTGCAAAAGATTCATTACAAAATTGCAGAAGAAATTACTTTATCTACAGAAGATTTAAAGAGGTTCGAATCCTTATGTAAATTTATAGTAATTAATAATTGAAATATTAAATTAACTTAATAGAAATATTAAATTGGGATTATTTATATTTTACTGATGATTAAAAATTAAACCCTGATAGTAGAAACATTTTTGATTTAATATATTTTTATTAAAATAATTTTAAAATATATTGCAGTTAACTGAAGCTATTTTAATATTTTGTTTTGTTTAAATAATGTTTGAAATGTTAAATCTACAAATGTTCCACTTTGGAATTTTATTTCAATACAAAACGTCTTATTATATCAGAAATTTAATTTTATTTTATTATAAAAGAAAAATAATAATCTTGATCATTTTCAACAATTTGCTTAATCATCAATTGCAAAAACAATTACTCATTTCCAGCCTTTAAAAAAAAACAATTGCGTTTAAAAAATTGTTTGTTTTTTTTAATTATTTTTCAATGAAATAAAACGTGATTAGGGCAATTTTTGATCGACATCCCATATCTATTGTGTACAATGAAACAACGAGAAGCAATCAAATTACTGTTAAGAATGCAACAATGACATCGAAAGTAAGTATACTGAATTTCGTACATTAAGAATTGAGATCATAAATACATGCTTTGTTTCTTATATAAAATATGCTACCTTTGCATCCAAACAAGTTGTTGTCCTCCAGTTGATAGTAACCATCTTTACATTCTGAGCATTGTCTCGATCCTACATTTGGTTTGCAAGAACACTGGCCATTGGTTTTTGCACACACTGCTATACCACCCGCTGTGCCACCCAGATAACAGTTACAATCTGCAAGAAAAACCCAACATGTACTACAGCAATCTCTGATTTATAATAGAGATACATAACACTGTCACTAACAGCATATATATATACATTTGCAATGGATAACAACAACATGCAAAATAAAAGAGTTATCCACATTAATTTTGTTCCTTTTATAATAAAAACTAATTCTGGTAACACATTTGAATATAAACTATTACACTATGAAATACGTCTATTCATCTCATTTACCTTCAGTTACAAAAATTTGTTATTAAAATTAGTTTTGCAATTTTTTGGAAATAATTGAACTTTGATCAAATATAGTATTCACAGTCTAAAAATTCATGCTAATTAGAGCTCAGAAGTAGCATCACAATTCAATAGAAAGGATACTTAACTTAATGAATGAAGCAAAATAAAGTATACAAAATACAAATAAAGGTACAGAAGTGAACAAATTAAGTAAATCCATTTCTGTACCTTAATTTATACATTATTCAAGTTGCTTTGTTTTATTCATACACAACGGTAAGTATATCCTATATATCACTTCTAAACTTTCTAACTTTAAAACGCCTGTTAATTTCTCAGAATTATGTTCTGCGAACTCAATCAAGCGATTTTTTAAGAGATGTACCTTCACATCCTAGGGGATTTCCCAATTTGAGGTTCCAGTAAAGTGATTTGCATTCGTTGCATATGCGACCTGTGACTCTCTCTTTGCACTCACACAGTTTCCCACTAGTCACACTTCCACAACCTTCAAATGTTGACAGAACACCAGATGGGTCACAGTTACACTCTGAAATATTAAAAAAAAATCTCATTTATTTAATAATATTCTTTGCAAGCATTACTCACAATTGAAAGCATTTTTAAAAAATTAAACATCGAATAAGAGCAGTATCTGTGATTTATGAATAAACATATATATATAAGAAGAAAATATGAATCAAAATAAATTACTTAATTGCAGGGTTCGTTGATTTAAATCAGCTTGATTTAAATCACGATTTAAATCAGTTGATTTAAATCAAATGATTTTTTTAAAGAAATCATTGATTTAAATCAACTGATTTATATCAATTTTAAAATCAATATATATATATTGATTTTTAAAGTTAAAAAACAGTGTTTTAAATTATTGATACTTT